GCCGTTCAAAATGCGTCTCTCTGGATTCGATTTGGAATATCTCTCATTTGCATATAGCATATATTACAGAGATTTCTGCGATGATTCCAGGCGCGCTTTTTTCATCTGTTTGTTTTCTTAACCACCGCGAATATGGGATTCTGGGTTTTCCCCAATTTCAACCCCAAATGAGTAGGGGTCGACTCAAAGAGTGTATAGCTTGATAAAGTTGTATTTTGCCATAGTGCAAATGATCTCAAAATTAATTCTTAGTTTTAGGACACGAAACGGAACTGTTAAAGGGGTTGGATACTGTCTTGCACAGGAAAAGCACTGTGGTTGCATCAAAACAAATGCATTTGTATACATCTGTGGGCACAGTCACCCACACAACAACACCACACACACACACATATACGCTAATGTTACGTGACCCGCCTTCTAATCTAGTAGTCCTTCCTTCGCTCCCCGCAGACGACGTCGCTGCTCGGCTTCAATTCACAACACTTCGTTCTTTTCTCTAGTAATTTTCGCGTTTTCCCCTAACCAGTAACCAAGCCACCTCTGACTTACTCTCCCGTTGAGTGGTTTGCGCCAATTTTTTCATGTTTTCATGCGTGTTGCATACGGTACAAAACGTGAGACAGACTGGGAGATACCCTATATATGTTTAATATGCATAGGCGGACAGGAAATAGAGATGGCTAATTGAATTCGGTTGTTAGAACAGATCAAGAATATAGAATTATAAGCTCGGAGTGGGTTTCTTTCTTTTTGTTGCCATTACAAACATTTACACAGTCTCACTCTTTTTAACAGAGACAGAGGGTATTCCAGCAAAATACATACAACAACAACAACAAGCTGAACAATGACGACGCTGATTGTAAAAATGTGTAGCAGAAAAACAAGAGCAACAACAATGGCAACAATGTGCGAAGTCAAGTGCCTGGCTAAGGCAATCAACTTGTGTGTGTGTGTGTGTGTGTGAGTGTGTTTGTGGTGCCATATTTCCTTATATTACTGTAGCAGCCACTTGCTACCACTTCTTCTTATTGTTTTTCCTGTTACAACTTCAGTTTCCTTTCGCTATCAAGTCTTCACGCCTTAAAGTATACTTTGTTTGCGCTTTCCCCATCTTGCTTCGATAATGAAATGCCCTCGCCTCCCCCTTTGCTTGTTTACTCTGTTTGGGGTGGCCAAGATTTTTCTGGTTGCCATAGCATTAACTTTCGCCCATTGTCCAACTAATGGCAATTTATATGAATGAAAATGGAAAATTGAAACATGTGTATTCTCGTTTCAGTTGCTTCTGTCGTTGGCTGAAAATTGAGACTGTAAGCAATATGCACAAACAAATAAAGAAGCAAATAAACAAACAGAAGCAGTCCTTGATAATGATGACGATTTTTCATTAGTTCGTTAATCGAATTTTGAGCAAACTCAAATAATTTGACTTAAAAATACAATGGACGCAGTAATCATTTAAGAATTTAAAAATATATAATGAACATATTTATGATCATCGGTCGATTGCGAATTTAATATGGCAGAATATAAGTGACTGTCATGTTTACACACAAATGTACATATCAATTGCCAAGAACATCTTTGTGTGTGTCTGTAAGTTGCTTTAAAAACTTGCTATAAACAATAAAAACTCAAAACAGAAAACATACGTTTTTTCCAAATGATACAACGCTTGCTGAACATCTGCTTATAAACACAGAAAGAAATACAGAGAGACCAGAGCAAAGACTGAGTTAAATAGACAATCAGAAAGAGGGGTAAAGAGAGTGGGTGGCATCATAAATTCCAGTATGAGCACAGCAAATTCCAAAATGTGGAAATAAATAAATGTGTCAAGACTGGAAAACGCCAGCGACCATTGGAGCAATGCGCGGTTGGCTTTGGCGCATGACGCATGCAAAACACAGCAAGCAAATGCAACCCGCACGCACACACACCCACATTAATACTCAGACACAAATAAATACTTACACATTTGAGTACACAATGCAAGGCAGATGGGTAAACATAAATATACACACACACATACGTATATATCCACATTGAAATTAATCCGCATAATCAATGCGAGCGCGTGGCTCCAACGGTCAAAGGAAAAGTGGGGAGCGAAACTGTTCAAGAAAATTCTAATTTCAATTAGAATACGATGCGCTTGGCGCGGATTACGCACGGCCTACGCCACAAATGCAATATGGCCACACCCCTTGTGTGTGTGTGTGTGTGTGTGTGTATATGTCCCCTGTACTCTTTCATTTTAAAGTGCAAGAGCAGCTCGCCTTGGGAGCAGCATTTGTCATATTTTGTGCAGTGTCGATGTCGATGAACACCAAAAATAAACAGCAAAAAAAAGAACCAGAAAAAAATGCGAATATGTCTTTTTAAACTTACATATTTGCAAGTAGTGCCAGAAGGAACGGGAGTGGAGCAGTGGAGCACCGGAGCTATGCGAAGCAAGCAGATGTACAAATAAGCGTGGATAGGGGACGCGAGAGATACCAAAGCGCCTGCTGCTGCTGCACGTGCATTCATGCAGAGGCAGCAGCAGCAGCAGCAGCGGCAACGAATGCAGCAGGAATGCAAAGCAAAACAAAAGTAGTGGAGTTTACGCACACATACATATTCATATACACATACACATACATAAATACATGCATTTTAAATCGCAAGCATGCTTTCATTTGTTTGCTATCTGTGTGTGACTTTGTGTGTGTGTGTGTGAGAGAGAGGAATTCATTCTTTTGAACAAAGTGGCGCTTATTCAGTGTACGTGTGTGCCTTAAAGCATGTGCTCGTTTGACTGTGTGGGTGTGGTTCAGCGTTAGAACAGCCAAATTGGCAGCACTGAGCGAAGCTTGGAAAGAATGAGGCAAACTTACCTTGTAAACGTCGCCATAGGTTCCAGATCCAATTTTCTGTATGAGCTCGTATTCGTCCTGCGGATTGCGCCGGGATATGTCCGAGCTGAGCAAATTGGCGTTGTGGTGACTGTGAGAAGCGGCCATGACGAGAGCTAATTTACTAAGCGGCTCTGCCTGCCTGTTGTATGTCGCTGGGCTCTGCTCTTTCTTTTGTTTTGTTGTTCTTTTCGCGGCTGCTACCGCTGCTGCTGCTGCGCGCTGCTGTTAAATATTCTGGCCGCTGTTTTGTGTCAGTTTCAAATATCGTAAATTAGATTAAGTTGTTGCATTGTTGTTGGGGGCCGTTGGCACCGCTCAAATATTGGAAAACTTCTTGGAAGTTAAATGTTAAGCAATTTATTTGCAAAGTTGCGTAACGTTAACTATTTGCGTATTTATAGAACTGAAATTTGAATGAATATCGAAAATTAGCTTTTGCACAAATACACACAAACGACAACAACAACAAAGTGGACATCACATTCGGGTATCTTTTTAAACGCAGAAATAATCACGAAATACTCGTAACAAACGAAATAGAAGAGAATTGAAGCGAAATTAAAGCGAACACGGGCAACAATAACAACAACAGCCAAAAATAATGATAAACGCGACGGCGTTAGCGTTGGCGTTGCAATGTGAGAGAAAGCGAGAGCGGCGGCAGAGGCGTCGACATCGGCGTCGCGGTCGCAAAAGTGGAAAAACAAGTGGTAGCAGCGACGGCAGCATCAACGACAAAAAAGTTCGCTTAGTTTTTAATTTGATTTGTTTATTTTTAACATTTTTTGGCCGCTTTTGAGTGTTGTTTTATGTGTTGTTTTATAATTTTATACACTAAATGTATATCAGTATAAACAGATGCCAATTGGAAATATATCGCACTCACATACGCGACAGACACGGCGGCGTTGGCAAACATACACATAAACAGGCAGACGCACACATATACGCACACTCACACGACACGAAAACAACACGAAACAAGGCAAAGGCGACAGCAAAGCTACTGCGGCTGCTTCTCTTCAGCTTTGTGCTGCTTTTCGTCCGTATGATTTTGATTCCATGTCGCGTCGCGAGGCGTGTCTGTTGTTCTGTTGGGCACTTGCACGACGCACGCGATATTTGTTGTTGCTGGCGTTAGCTGCTAAGTGCTTTGCGACAAATTCACTTAATTCCACACGTGCTTACTTGATTCTTTTTTTTATATCTATTTTATGAATAATTTTTACGCACTATAAAAACACGCACACACACACATATAACACACGCGACCAACCGACCGACGAGTGCAGCGCAAGAACAAATACAAATACAATGCGCGCACCTACATTTTTTAACCAGGTTTATTGTACTCAAATGGCGCTGTTAAACAACATGTACGAAAAATGTTGCCCAAATTGTGAGTAATGTTGGGGCACATGTTGCTGGGTGAGCAGTGTTGCTTGTGTGGTATTATCACTTTACAACAGTTTGGTTCTTGTTTAACATTTATATATTACTTGCAGCATTCACATATATAATATTTAGCAATAAAGATTACCGAAACTGTCAAAATTGTGCTTTTAGAAATGTTGCTCGGCTGATGCATATTTCTGAATCTGCTAACAAAGCCACTGTTGTAACCAAACATAATGTTAATGGCAATCGATATATATTAGCGATATTTACAGAACTGCTTGGTAAATAATCGATTTTGGCCAAGCAGCTGTTCAGTCAGGGCTGCTAACTAGCTCACATGCTGAGTGTGGCCACTCAAGCGGCACAGTCAAAAACAGTTTCAATTTACTTTTTACCATTAATTTTTATTTAAAATTTTTTTCAATTTTGTACAATTATTATTCGTGATGGTAAATATAAACATGTTCATGGGCTCTCTTTGTTAATGCTAAGAAATTCAGTAAAAAATAATATTTTAAATGAAACCAAAATATTGCACTCGTGTAGAAAATATATAACATAATTATAGTAGAAGAGATAGGGATCATATACATACTGAAGTATGTATGCAAGTGTATTTTGTTTTTTTTTTTTAGAGTTCGACATTTAAATAATCTAGATGACTTCTTTTCGTTTAGTGTATAAATTGCAAACTATTTAGATTGTAGATTTTTACAATTTCCTAATGCTTCGATCCGCAGCAGCTGAGTTTAGTTTCGTTCTGTGAAAAGAAGAATGGGAAACATTAGGGAAAACTGAATTGAAATAAAAAGAAAAATGGGTAATTTGTAACAACAAAAATTAATACTATAAATACATAAACAGCAACAAAACAGATTTTAGGCGACAGCTAAGGATACGAATTAGAGAAAAGATAATTAAAATTTTCGGAGCTTTCATGCTTTTCAGTAGAACATCTTTTTAATTCAATTTCCGAGCGAGTAACGTGTTAATTTTGTTTAACAATTAGGTGGTGACAAGGAAATATACTGGAACTTTAAGGTGCTGAGAAGCTTACCCATTGTCCTACGTTAGAAAACGGAAGTTCAGGAAAAAAAACTGAACTGTTGAGTTGAGCGGAACCGGAACCGGAACCGGACGTGATCCTAAAACTCTCTGCTCTCTGAATATTTTTTTAGTCTACAATATTTTGCTCTTGGCGTCAAAATGACGAAATATTGCATATTTTGGATTTAACTCTTGCACATAAACTCTTGTTGTTACCTTAAACTTTTTGAAAAACATCAAATATATATATATTGTGCTCTTATATTTACTGATCACTAGGCATCCTGTGTCCAAGGTTTTAGTTGTTGTGAGTTGTATATGTTTTGTATGTGTGTGTGTGTGTGTGTGTGTATTGTTGTGTGAAATAGAAAAACATCAAATTATGTTAGAAATCTGTATGAAATAATCATGAAGTAGATGATAGATAGAAAGATAGATAGATAGTTGGTGAAAGCATTTAAATATATGACACACTTTAAAGGATACCCCATATATATTTGTTAGGACGTGCAAAAACAGCTTAAGCAGCTATCAAGGGATAGAAATAAATAAAATATGCCAAATAATTTGGAATCCTGACGCCAATCGCAACTTTTAGAAGCTCAACAGAAAATGTTTTGCGTATAGTAAATATTCAACAGCATTTAGCAGACATTAAAACAGAATATTATTGAATATTGAATATTGTTTTGGATATTTAAGTGTGAGTATTTTAGTTCAGTTAACTATATTCAAATCTCGCTCTGTGAGTACCGGATATGAGGCCCTACGTTGTGGCATAGAGCAGGGGCAGGAGGGGGAGGAGGGTGTAGAGTTCGGGTGTATGCGTGTGTGTAGATGTGTGTTTAAAAAAAAGAGAAAAATAAAACAGAAACAATAAATTAGTCTTTCAATTATTAGGGCCGACCACCGCATATAAAAAATAAAGTGAATCAAAGCGAAAGGAGTTATAGAACTAAGCATAGTAGGTCGCGATCCCCGAACTTAAACATCAACTTACAGTTCCATGGAGAGAACAGTGGGATTGGGGCACGCCTGTGGGGCCCGTATGTGGCATTGCTTGTGACAGATCAGCTGGCAGTCGCGGCACTCGTAGCCCTGCTTGCCTGGCCGCCGGGGTATCGACTTCATGCAGATCGAGCACTGCAGGCCACTGCTGCAAATCGAAATATATAATATATATAGTCTGTCAGAGGAGAGAGAAGGTGGCGATTCTCTCACATACCCGCTCAAATGCTTGGCAATGAACGTGTGGTCATTGTAGATGTGCAGCTTGGTTCCCTTGCGTCGCCAGCGGGGCCTTTGGGCAATGGCCAGCGGCACGATAAAGTGGCTGCAGCAGGAAGAAATAAAGTGACTGTGATTGGAAGGAATGCAATTTTGTACTAACCGCTTAACGCCATTCTCAACCGTTTCTAAGACCAATGTGGATGCCTCATGGACATAGGTTTTGTTGCTGGCCGAGGAGAAGCCGGAGATGGCTGAGGATTCTGAAATTGAAGAGCGTCGTGAGTGGTCGGTGATGGATGAGCCAATTCCCATGCGGGGTCCTTCATTTGCATGATTTTTTTTTTGTTGTTGTTGTGATATTGTTATTGTTGAAGTTATATATAAATATATAAGTGTTCATAGTATGCAAAGATTACATCCATAGCCATAGCGACACACACCAATAAACCCGAATCAATCAAATTGAGGCACACAAGTGGTAAAACATATGAAAATAAATATAAATAAAAGGAAACCAAATATAAGCGCAGTGTATCAAATTATACACAAACAATTTTAATTAAAATATTTCAAAAGTTTTGTGTCCATGAGGGTGTGTGTAGGTGTGTGTGGGTGTGTTTGGGTGTGTGGAGCGTTTAATGTGAGCCCACACATATAAATATTAGATAGATAGAGAATATTTCAAGAAAAGGTACATACAGATTTGTAATTCGTGCAGGAGACAGTTGGGTTAGCGTTGGAAAAAGAGTAGAATAAAGTTGAGGACATAAGACAAAATGAAATATATATGTACTTATACAGGACTCGAAATATAACTAGATTTATATGTGCGTAACATCGTACATAATATTCTCATGAATTTATACACTACGCATAATTATTAATTACGATGCGAAATGATTATGATACGATGCCATAAAAATCAGTTCAAATTGCTAGAAATTATACCTTACTCTTTTAACTTGACTAAAACTGAACTGATTTTCATGCTTGAGCGCACTTAAGTCATAATTTGAATTTTTAAATTAAAAAAAATAAACATAAAATCTATTTTGTATTTAAAAAAAAAATTTTTGAATTTAGAAATCACAAATTTCTTTTTTTTTTGGCTTTTAACAGGTTTTGAATTGGTTCAGTTTTTTTTTTCTTAATCAATCCGAAATTTAGTTGTAGTTTTTCGTTTTGATTATGTGTTTGAAGTATGTTACATGCTTTTATGAAAATTTTAGAAGAGCGCATTTAAGTCATAATTTGAATTTTTAAATACAAAATATTCGATTCGTAAATATCACTATTTCATTTTGTATTTTCGAAAAAAAAAAAAATATTTTAGAAATCACAAAATATATATTGTTTCAGATTTTAACAGGTTTTGAAATGTTTATATTTTTTTTAATCAATCCGAAATTTAGTTGTAGATTCTCCTTTTAATTATTTGGTTGAAGTATATGTTTTTATGCAAAGCGCATTTAATTCATAATTTTTTCCCGTAAATATCATGAAATCTATTTACGAAAAAAATTGTTTTAGAAATTAAAAATATTTTTTTTCCGAATTTTTCAGGTTTTGAGATGGGTCAATTTTTTTCCTTATCAATCCGAAATTTGTTGTAGATTTTCGTTTTATTTATGTGTTTGAAGTATGTTACATGCTATTGTGCAAATTTTAAAAGTGTTTTTGGAATATGAAAATAATATAAATGATGTGCGTGTGTGTTTAGTGGAGGTGTGAATGAATTTTGGGTAATTACCAAGTGAATTGCTTTTAGACAGAGTGGCACGATCGACAGATAATGAACGGGAAGATTCACCATTAAGGGCTCCTGTGGCTGTTCTTGTGAGTCCAGTGGCTGTTGTTGTATTGGCGGAATTGGTGGCTGATTGTGAATTATGGTTGTTATTGGGCTGGTCGGCCGAGAGGGTGCGTGTTTTGGAGCGGCTGAGCCGCTTCTTGAGGGTGCCAAAGAAATTACGTTTTTTGCTGCGACCACGGCCGTCTAAATCTACGCCCGACGGCTGTTGCAGGCCCGAGTACGCCGAGCTGCCGCCATTTCTGGGCAAGCTGTTCGAGTTGTGGGCCAAGGCGCCGCCGCTGCCGCTGCCATTGGCGTGCCCGGCGAGATTGCTGTTTCCATTTAAGCTGTAGTTGTTGTGCTGTGTGTAGCCGCTGTTGTTCGGCGAGGAGGCGGCATTTGGCTGACCAAACTGCAAGCAACGGAAACGGAAGTCAGAGCTGAGTTCCACAATGATGCTAACAAAACTGCATGCCATGCTTGCATTCGAAGCTAATCTGAACGACGTGCAACCTAGTACTCACCTCGGCTGTGCTTTCCTCGATGTAGTTATTGTTACCTGTCGTGTTTGCGGATTCGCTGGCCGGGCCATCTACCAAGTCGGCCGAGGCGGCGCTGGCCATGTTGGCCGCCTCGGTGGCGGCACGCTCGAAGGCCTGGGCAACAACCTGGTCGAGCTCAGTGGGAGATTCGACGACCTCAATCTGACCATCTTTGTTCAGCTCGACCTGGCGAGCGCGTGTGTTTTGTGTCGTGGCATGGTTAGAAAAGCGCGGGGTTAGGCAAACGGTCAATGAACAGAACGAGAAACAAGTTTAGATTAGTTAAACGTGAACGCATATTGTTTAAATGGTTATTAAAATTGAAATTCAAATTCAAATCAAAGAATCTTGAGACGGGCGGCTGGAGACTGGCAGCAAAAGTTACCTTAAATGCATTTGGATTGCTCGAGTTCTGGGCGGGATCACAAAATGAAATAAAAGAAACGGCCGAAAAGATACAAATTATAAAACCAAAGACAGAAGAGAAGGGCTAGCCAGGAAATGGGAGGAGGGAACAGGTGCCTCCATGCCATGCCCCGCAGAACTTACCCGCTGCACGCTGTGGATGATCAGGGTGCTCTTGCTGGGCTGCCCGCCGCTAGTGCCCGAGAGAGTGCCGTCCTGCAGGGCTCGGACCGCGGCATCGGCCAGGTCGGCACCATTGCGTATGTGCTCGTTAATGGCGGGCGTGCTGAGGCGCAGGGCCTCCTTCAGGCGATTCGGACGCGAGCTGGCCGGAATCTCGGCGCCCTCGATGAACACAAAGTCCACGGTTATGGCGCCTGACACAGGCTGCGTTTCGTAAGGTCGCGGCTGCAACTGCAGCAGTTGCGTGGAGGCGGGCCCCACAGCCAGCTCGTCGATGCCAACTAGGCCGAGGCCAAGGAACTTGGGCGGATCCGATGCAATCACTGGATGGTCGTAGACCTCGAAGAGTATTTCAGCAGATTGTGGGGAGAGTTCGCTGAAATGGATAAGAAAAAAAACAAAAACAAACCATCAGCAAATGGCGTTGGACTCCGCAGAAATGATGAGCTAACTTACAAGAGGAAGTGCTCATCCCAGTAAGGCTTGCTGCCGCGCTGCGTGCCCGTTTGGTTTTTCTGCGCCGGCTCATCCATCTCAATGACCACATACGGCTCGTGAGCGTCTCGCAGGCCCTCGCCCTTGACGATCTTCACAAGCAAACGCCGGCCGGACACCATGTGCTGGGAGTCGCGCAGGATACCCGCTCCCAGGTGCTCCATGTTGTGCTGTGTGTGGGCCAAGCATGCAATGAGCGAGCGACAGTGAATGAATTAACAGAATTGAATACACAGAGAGAACTTAGGGTAGCTGAAGCTTATGAAATTCGCCTTTAATCGCGATTGAAGGAAAACAACAACAAAGGGGGAAAAGGTGTTGAATTATTTAGAAATTGTAATAATATTGAAAGTATTGATTGCCCTGAAAAGAGAGAGCGCAAAAGAGAGAACTTTTACTTAAACCGCAAACGGATATATATGGAAACACGTGAGCTTGTAATGACATGTAATCCGAATAAAGACGAAAGGCGAATTTCATAAACAGAACAATGACAACAACTATGAACATCAGCTAACTTATTGGATAGATAACAAGATATATAGACAGAGAGTTGATGGTGGGGCGTAAGAATAATGAGAAGTGTTGTTTCTTGTCTGTGTGGAGTCTAGGGAGACAAGTTAGGGCAGCCATTACTGTACAGTCTCCCAGTTGAGTTCTGTGTAAAGCGCAAGAGGTTACGAATATGTCCAAAATCAACTGAAAATACAGTCAACACGCAACACGCAACACACAACACGCTTCTCAGTGCTCTACACGCTCACCGCCAACGAGTCATAATGCACGGGATAGATTACAGGCAGCTCCATGGGCTCCACCTCGGCGCGCGGGCAGGTCGAGTAGATGGAGAAGTCCACCGGATAGACGGTCTCACGCAGCGCCGTCGTCAGTATGTCGCCGATGACAGTCTGCAGCTGCTGCTCATCCTGATCCAAGGCCTTGATGGCGCCCACGCTGTTCATCGCAATGCGTACCTGTGCGCGATATACAATGGAGGTTAGCAATATATAAGATATAGTATCTACATGTGGCATGGCACTTACGTCCGGATAGCCGTCGACACGCATCTCACCCTTAAGCGTATTATAGTTGATGGGTATGGACATGCGTGCACGGAATCGCGACACGGTAACCTTATAATGCGAGGTCTCCACCTTGCCCGCCTTCTGCCGGAAGGTCTTCACCTGCAGCACAGGCATCGCATCGCAGTCGAAGGTGATCAGCTGCAGGGAATAAAGCTTTAGTTAGTATCGGGGCAACAGAGAATAATTCTAACGGACTGCTTACCATTTCAGCCGGATTGTGCTCCTCGCAGTTGCAGAAGATATTGTTCAGGCCCGGTGCCGGACTGTCGGGCAGCACACGGACCACTTCAACGGCCACGCCATGCTGCAACGGAAGGAGCTGATTTTAGAGCCTCAGTACAACAAAAGTCGGAAACCTGTTGGCGGCTGTTGCCGGCCCCCAGTTTCAGGTTTTTGTCACATTACGTAAGCGACAGCTACATATAAAAAAAAAGTAGTGCGCGATCCGACAAAACAGCAACAGCAAAAGCAACGGCAACAGCAACAGCAAAAAAAGTCATAAAACTGCGAAAATGACTAACATGATGAAACACTCGTAAATAAAATGCTGACCTTGGCCTACGTTCAGAGAGCGGGCTTCGGCGCGTAAAAGCCGATAAAAAGCAACGCAAGCTGTGCTCAAACGCGTTTTCATGCCAGTTACGGCTGAGCGACCAGCCAAGTTTCTCAAGTTGAAAGTCGAGGCCACGTAACCAGAACAGAGTTCAATGCACGCGGCAACTTTCGAGAGCCAATATCCTAATGACATCACAGCTGGGCGAAGGTGACGCTGACGGGGACGGTGACGGGCTGCTAATGATGTCAAAGCTGAGGGCTGATGTCATGTACTCACCTCCTCGACGGACTTGCGCAGCGTATCGTTGATGGCTATCACCCAGGACATGAGCAGCTCGTTGACTATAACTAGATCGCTGTACAGCCAGCGGAACACTTGGCTCGTCCACGTAACGGAGCTCTGTGTTAGAGAAAATCCATTAGGAATAAAAAATACCACCCGTACAATTTGTAGGATTCACTCACCGTTTCTGGTCCGACCACATTCGAAGGCGGCGGCACGTAGCGTTTCTTGCGATTCTCTGGTCCCGTTGAGCTCTGACGCACCACACGACGTCGCGGACCGGCAGCAGCGCCGCTGCCGCCCATGGGCGAGGCGGTGGAACGTCCACGCCCCGCTGAGCCACCACCCGTAAGTGGCTTGGACAAATCCTCTACTTTGCTTTTGGTGGCCAGCAGATCGCGTGGCTCAGACAGCCGTTTTTCCTGCTTAGCACCGCTGGCCCCCAAGGCACCACCGGGTGCCACACTGCCCTGACGACTGTTGCTGGCGCTGGCGGAAGCGCCCTTGTTGAGATACTTGTGGTAAAGCAGCTTGCACAGCCAAACGGAGAATAGGGCCAGCACGGCCCACAAGAATATGAATATGGCTAGGGAATCCATTGTTAAGTCACCAAGTCCCTCGAATGAGCAAATATAGTCATCGATTTGATCTGCCAGATCCATTGTTCAGCAGCGCATCGCGAATATCCAGCGGGCGGTCAGCATCATTAGAATCACAGTTAAGCCTGAAAGTCGCAACAATCACTGAATGAGTTGCGATTTCGAAATCGATATTTGGAATATATTGTCGGTATCTACACATAGTATGTGCTCGTATACGGAACAGTAGCTACAACAATGAGCACCACGGGCTCTGGGATCTCTGAGATCTGTATGGGCAGCCATGAGAAGACCCATGTCTATTTATAGATACTTTTTTTTTTGTTAATTTTTCTTTAGAAAATATGAAAAAGTTGGTCACTCACAAAGAAATGTGCACAAGGAAAACCCCACAAAAATATTCTTTACAAAACGTTTATGAAACAAAATAAATAATTATGTATTGATTTTTAGATTAATTGTGTTAAATAATTAATTTTTAAAAAAATAAATACGAGTAAAAAGAAGAAGAAAAACTCAAATGAAAATCGTTATGTTCTAAAACCGAACCGAAATGAAACTGAACACAATTCGCAGGCCCCTACCGTGTGTATCTCAAATAAGAATCTGAGAATATGTTGACAATCCAATTATGCGCCGGCGCAGAGAGCTTGCCACACACTCGAGAGAGAGAGAGGGAGGGAGGGATAGAGAGGGAGAGCGTCTCTCACTGGAGCAGCAGGCGGGTAACTATTGACGTCATGACTTTTTGAGGTCGCGAACATGCCAAAAAAGCAAAAGAGGAAAATGAGAAAAAAACACATCTAGCTTCAATGAGTCGAATATTGAAGACTCTAGCAAGCATGTCTAAATATCACGACGAATTATAATAAAAAAAGAAGGGCTATCTTCGGCACACCGAAGATGCAATACCCTTGCAGACCCAACCTTTTTATAATGCTCACAGTGGTTTGCCCGTACCTAAGAAGCGCAGGGAAATTAGTTGGGGTCGAGTATGGCTAAGATATATAACCTACTTTTCGCCCGATCGTTCCTATGACATCTATATGATATAGTGGTCCGATGTAAATAAGATTTTGCATAAATGAAGGGAACATCGTGAGATATCTAAAAAAAAAACAAAAAAGTTTTTCATAAAAAAACATAGTTTCGACCGATCGTTCCTATGGCAGCTATATGATATAGTAGTCCGATGTTGATAGTATTTTGCAAATATATGAGGAGCATAGTATAACTAATAAATGCCGAGTTTGGTCAAGATATCTTGATAAACAAAAAAGTTTTTTACATAAGGACCTTCTTTTCGACCGATCATTCCTATCGCAGCTATATGATATAGTGGTCCGATCCAGCTGGTTCCGACATATACACTGCGTGCAACAGAAAGAGGCACAAGCAGAATGACAGACGGACATGGCTATATCGACTCGGCTGTTGATACTGATCAAGAATAAATATACTTTATGGGGTCGGAGATGTCTCCTTCTATGCGTTACACGTTTCACAACAAAATTATCATACCCTCTGCAAGGGTATTATGTTAAATGTTTCTTTTAAAGCCTACGTCTTTGGTCGACAAACAAGAATATACATATTAACATAAACGGGTTGTTCAATGCGTTACAAATTGCTTGGAAATACTATAATACCCTTTGCGAGTGAATAAAAACAAAAAAGACTGCGCCTATTGTATGTAAATAAATAAATATGTACATATACATACATATATATAAATGCTCATTCGACAGATAAACACAAAAAGAAATGACGTAAGATATTTGGGAACGTTTGGAGCAAAGGAACACGTATGAGAAACGCCTGCCAAGGCGGCCTATTTTTCAGTTAGGGGATGGTTCAACAAATTAAATAGTTTCTATTTAATAGGGATTATTTCTAGATTATAGGATTAAAATGGCAACCTACCGCCCGTTGTATACATTTCTCAATATTATTACAGGTTAGGAGAACAACAAACACTGAGTCGTGGAATATCCTCCCTCCCCCCCCCCCCCTGCATTCCAACCCATATATGCATTCCACTTGAACGTTTGGCACTCGCTGCAGTTAATATTTAAACATTTGCTATTTGCTTGTTGTTAAATTTTGGCAACGTTTCGCTTTGTCTTAGCAAGGCCATTGGCTATTGGTCATTATTTTATCCATTTGCTGCTCTCACTGAAAGCAAAACAATAACAAAAATAACAATTAGATATCTTTGTGTCTAGTTTTGTTTAGCTCCAGGAATCTGTTTCGTGTCATTTGCGAATAGCTCTCGATTGAATATCAAAGATCGCACGCAGCAACTGTTTATATATATAGACATAGATATATATATATAAATATATATATACATATAAGTGTATGTGTTTATACTGTATATACTTGCACATAAATCTGCTTCGTCTTATGCCATTCTAACTGCGCCGTTGACTTTGACTTAGCGGCTCGGCTTGCTCATCTGGCGGAGCGCGTCTATTGACCCCGCAGGGCTAGCAGAGTGCGACAGGGGCATGGGGGCGGGGCGCTAACGACGCTATTACAAGAGCAACAAGTATTCGTGGGTATTTTTAAGCATAAAACAAAGGCAAAACAGCGAACAAGCAACTGAGAAAAATACCGAACGCCTTTGCTAGGCGTCGCAGCCGTCGCCCCATGGATTGCTGCCAAGGGGCGGCTGGCAGACCCCAAAAGATTTACAAGTGCTAACAATGAACAAATGTTCCTCATTGTTGTTAAGGCAATGCTCGCAGATTTTCCCAATTCATTAGACGTATATACACAGTTAAAAAGATACCACTGTAAAGGTTTAGAATGCAACGTTTTAAGCTTGAACTACAGTTTGGTGAAAAGATCAATGTGACCAAACAAAAGGATAAATATACTATAGCGATAGACATATATCGATAAAATTAGGCATATAAGATAAAACTAGACGGTCACACAAGCCAAAGAAAAGGAAAAACGGATGAATCGAAAATAAAAGAAAAGTGTTGCGGATGGAGAAAAAACGAAATTGAAACGATTTACAAGAATTAATTTGAAATTAACATAGCTTTGAAAATACTTGAATAAACGTAATCTTTATACATAAGTTACTCCTCATAAACAATCAAAGTAAAAATGGTGTTTTTGAATGCCGGAATTTTCCAGCCCATCGAATTCGATAATTTACAAAGAAATAGGCAGATGGACAAGACTTGAGTTTGAGAGTGAATCTTATTGGTTATTTTAAATTTGATGAAACTGCATATTTAAACTTCAATTAAGTGAGGGAATTGCGCAAAACCTACGACGCTTGGGCTGACGACCTGCAACATGTTACCAAGAACCGGCTCCACGACTTTTATTTCCGTTTAAATTGCGGGTCGAACCGTTAGAAGGGTCATAAACTCCGGGTTTATTATTTTCATTAAAATAATGGGAATGAGACCATGCTCTTGATTCTCACCTGGTCTTTAAGGTCTTCGAGAGTAGAATGCATTAAATGAATAGCAGCCCTTGCTACTTAGAAGCATAGCTCATTAAATTTAAATATGCACAAGCATAGCAAATGGGTTTGCTGGGTTTGAGATTCAGTAATGTGATATAGCTAAACGCAAAGCCAGCCAAGTCGGGCAGCTTTAAGGCCAGACGAGAAGTGCTTGGAATATCAGTAATTTGTTTAATTGATTAGCCAATAATATTCGCAGCAATTCGAACGTGATACGAATGGTAAGTGCTTTGAAAGTCTATCCACAAAGAGCCAGACCGAAGCTTATTCATTCACAAAAAGAACTGGGACACTCTTTGGCTATCTTATCTGGGAGCTTATCAGTGAAGGTCAAGCAAAGCGAAGCAGCGACTCGACCTGTAACTGAACTGGCCGAAGGTGCTTTCTATCAATGGGTCAATAACATATACTAAGTAGTACGCACTTTGAGTGAGACACGTGCTGATGTCATTTCAGCGAATATATGAATTCTTTATTCCAATTGATAAGACGTCATCGTAAACAAAAATGGGTGTTGCCTATATGCAAACAATTCGAATTCCGTGTATTTAAATACACTCACACCAACTACGACTAATTCTAAGTTGAGTTGAGTTGTGATTCAATGCCAAAAAAGGTTCTAACTCTTATCGGCAAATTTCGCATTTCTCATTTCGCAGTTATTAAAGTCGATTGGCGGTTTCTAAAGTTATAAAGCAAACATCAATTGCCGTTCAATTTAGCTTTTAAAACAGTCAGTAATTAGCGGCATGCAGGTTTTATTTATAAATAAATCTAGCCGACCTTTAGCTCTGCTGCCTTTCCTTACAAAAACACCGCAAGGTTACGGCTAACTGGCGCTTGGAGCTCGAATTCCAACGGAATAAGCCATTTTTCGGTGTGCCAAATGTTTGGCGGTCTCATCGTCATCATCATTACGCAGCTTCCGTTGCGACAATAGCAAATATCTGATGCCTACGTGGCGTATGCGCATTACGTGCACACTAGAAATAACTATGGCATTACGCATACGTACAGTTAGCGCAAAGTGTGACAACATGGGATATGTAAAATAGGATATATACAATTTTCCCTTTTTTTCTGGTATGTTTTATGATGTTCGAGTCGGGTATGCCTCTAAATCGAGTATATCTCGGTGTCTGCTTATAGAGTTAACAATTGTTGTGTAGGCAAAGTTTAAGTAAAGCGGCTGCTGCTCGTTTGCGAGCAAAGTTCACCTGCAAAGTTCACATAGCTTTCGTTGTCAGACCTTACGACTTCGTACGCCTGTGTAAACTCGTTTACTGTTGGGGCTCGGACTCAAAAGGCCCCTTTATCGATTACAAAATACAGCCAGGACAGAGCTCAACGTAAATAAGTCACAGTCCGTCTACTTAGTACCAGAACGTTTAGGGCTTAAATGGCTGGGTCACACGCGCTAACAAACTATTGAAAAGACGTCGCCTGCTCAATAAAATATATACGAGCTTAATTATTCTCCTATAGTCTTATATCATCAATATATATACATACATATATTGCAAATCTGTATTTGGGCTTCATCAAAATGAACAGTTCTCATTCGTTTTTTATTTCGATTTCGAGTTCTGCTGTTGATATTGATTTTCGTTTTCGACACAAGGTTAACTCCAAAACTGAGACCTCTCGACTTGGCGAACAGCTGCTGCGTCTCTGGGCTTATTTGAGGCGCTGCTGAGCAAGGCCACTTTGTATATTTTAAGATTCTAAAATATTAGATCTAACTAATTCGTATTTGAACTCTGGGCATGTGTTGTGACCGCAATACGTTGTCAAGGCAACATATAGATGACCCCAGCGCATGAAATTGATTTATTAACATTTCGTTTCAATCAAAAAACCCACAAACAAAACATATTTGATGCTTAAGTCTGTTGGCTCTGTGGTCGCCTGCTGTGCGCGAGCAAAAAGCTAAGAGCAAAAGCTTTCGAGAGAGACAACAGCCCTGCCCTGAGAGGTGGGGAAAAGTAAATGCAACTCGGTTAGGCTATCAGACTAGAAGGTGGTGGGTGGTGGGTGGTGTTTTGGTGGGTGGTGATGTCAGGGTGGTGTAACAAATGGCAGCTTCTGCCTTTCACGGTGCAGAACTCTGTCAACAAATGACGTGACCCACTGTTGTTGCCTCTGGGTGAGGTTGCGCCTTGCGAATGAGCGAACACTGTTAACTGATGTCGGGCACGGCAAGTGGTCTCCAGACGAGGGGACAGCGGGTCGTCTACGGTGACAACACATGCATTCAGAAGTTTCAAAATGGTTAAATATCTTAAATATCTCTTAAATTGCTCGACTCAACTTAGCCTGCACCCTAAAAAGCGTATCCTTAACTGAACTTATTTACGTACGTTTGTGCCACATAAAAACATGAACCAGTTTTAATGGACACGGGGTACAAATCCACACCCAAGTGCCGAGCCCATTAAACCCAAAATGGGGTAACTGCAAATTGTCTAGGGGGTTGCTTCGCTATGCTTAATTTACTCACATTTCCATCCAAAGCGGCGTAATTTATTATTGTTTCCAGGATATGCGTTGTAATTTTATAGATTTTGCGCATTTTCAAATTTTTGTGTTTCATCATGGGTTTTGGGAGAAAAAAAACATATTATTAAGAACGCGTTTATTTGTTCAATTTTTTGCAGCAAACTTATAAATAGAATAATAGAATAATAATAGATCTGGGGGTTAGTTGGTGGCAGTAATGCATACATGTATATATATATATATATGTGTGTGTGTGTGTGTGTGTGTGTGTGTTAATAACATATATGTATATGCAAATATTAAAAAGGAAAGCACAAAATGAGCGCAAGTTGAAGCTTCTGTCTACTCACGCTTTTGGCAAAAATGTTTTTGGAGTGCTTTTAAGTCGTTAAGCGCCACACAAAAAAAAAGTTGTATTAACAGGATCAACAGTTAATTTTTTCAAACTTCTTTAACTACGGTTAACTGTACTAAAACGTTATCGCTTATTTTCGAAACATATAAAAATATCGTCGTTTAGTATTTACGTTTAATTTGTATTAAATAGTAACAAAACCGATTTTCAATATTATTCTTATTATATTGGTATTATTATTAATATGAACGCAGTTATTGTTTTTTTTTTGTTACTTTTTGACCAGTCGAAAACTTGGAGGTTGGCGTCTTGACGTGTGATGAACTTTACAAAAGTCGTAAAATTAACTGAAAGAGAAACACTTGTTTCAGCTGAAATTGGTTGAAATCAGTTGCTTTGGCTGGCATTTGGCCAACTAGAGACGGGCGCGTGTTGGCCTTTTCCAACACAAACACACCACGAACCGCATTTATCTAATTAAATGTTTAAAGCTTCTTTTTTGTCCCACATTCCCTCAAATTTCACGGAAAGTCCTGTTGTCGTGTCGATCTACTTCGCGTGTGTGTGAAATAAAGAAGTTAAACAGGCTTCCAGCTGTAGCTCCGACATATTGTTGGTGCTATCAATGTCGCGCTGATAAGATCGGCGGACGAAATTCAAATTAGGTTGCGTTACGATCGAAATGTTGGGTATTTGTACCGCTACAAACAACACACACTCACACACACACACACATACAGAAATATTTGTTTTGACCGTCACGTTTGTGGGCTACATTTTAGCTACACACACTTGGCCAACTTAGTATATACTTATAAACATACATGAGCTTTAAGCCGTTGTTAGAGCGGAACAACATAGGCAACAATAAGCGAGCAACCCAAAGCAACCGCACAGCTTCATTGAGAACTGAATGCACTCACACATACATGCATAACATATGTGTACATGTAAACAGTTGCTTAGTGATTCTTGTTTGTTTACCGCATTTCGGTATTTACAGACAAAATGTAGAAACTGTCTGCAAATTGTATTTTATTTTTGCAGTTTTCATTTTGCATAGCTTATATAGCAGGTATATATGTACATATATTTCTTTTCTACACATTTTATCGTTAGCTGCCAAATTTCAACCGCAAGCAGCACACACTGATAAACACGGGTTCTTGTTGTTACTGCTTGTTCTTTCTCTGCACTTTCGCATCGTTTTTGTAGGTACTTCCTTAGGCGCAAGCAACAAGATTTGCCGCTGTTTTACTTTGCACCAAACACAAACACATGCACACAAACACAGTTCTATTTGAGTTCGCCATAAGAGAAGAGAGTGAAAATTATGCACCACATAATAAATGTTGTGTACATTTGTCTTTTTCATTGTCATTTTTGACTAGTTTTGTAGATTTAAGTTAAGGCTTTTAAATATTCAGAATAAAATTTTCCGTTCGTACCACCCGTTCGCGCTCAGCTGTCCAATAAGACTAACTGCCTGTGAGTTGAAGTCCGATAACGATAACTAGTTCCCATTGGAACTAGAGATGTGCTTTCGTGTCACTGGTTCACGAAATCTATCAACTTCTCAGGTGAATAAAGGATATTTAACTATTCGAGTTAAATGGCAAATTATTTCTTTCAGCTAAATGATTTTTTCTTTTTAAATTGATGAACAATTTGGGCGTAGTGTATTAAAAACGCAGCATGCGCACCTCTAATAAAGTTTAATTGAAAAGCTTTCGACTGACGTTCTAAAGCTAGCTGCTATATAACAGCAATGCATTTAATGGAAACTTCATATATAGCTTGAAAAGCCGTGATATTTTGTGAAATCCCATAGAAAAACCCATATAAAAATGTCCAATTTGATACTTTTTTTTTTACATACAAACGCTTGTTTATTTCATTTTACGTTCTTTAATTTTGCTTATTATGCATTCTATTTCGTTCGCTTCGATGCGATATCTGCTTATAAATTATGCCACTTAAACGTCTAAATGAATCCGTTGCTGATTTTTATTTTGATCTCAAGTCAAGATTTTAATGCTGTTGTTGCTTTCGACTTTCCGAGGCTTGCTTGTAATATGCGTGTATATTGAATATTTCTTGTATATAAGTGTATAATATATTTAATTTAATACATAAAATTATGCGGTTACCACTGCACAAGATCTGATCACCCTCATCATCTTGTTTTTAAAATAGTTTTTTTTTGTTTGTTAATATTAAACTTGTTGCAGTTGCAGCCAATACAAAGATCATATATAAAAATACAAAAAATCATAACATTTTCATATACATTGCCCATATACACATAGAACTAGGATTAAATATCTCTAAATCGACCTTACACAATCAATATAAAAAATTATTATTATTTAAAATTAATGTCCATCCGCATTGTTGTATAAATAAATGTTTCACTTAATAAACAATTTCACTTCGTTATGGTTCAGTCCTAAGAACTAAACTCTTCTCCAACGACTTCATATTCGTATGTTTGCTTACGTCTCATTCAAGTTGTATAAATTTCACTATTTAGTCTTAATTGTATATGGAAGTTGAAATTGGTACTCAATGTGTTCAGGATCAACTAGGAAAACAATTTGGGTCTCTAATGGAGGAGAAGAGGTGTATCAATTTACTGGCTACTTGGTATTTAATCATGTTTTATGTATGTATATTTTAATGCAGCAGTCAATTTGTTTTATTTGCTCTTGATTTTGAATTTATTTTCGCCTTCTCTGTAATTCGATAATAGTTGAGCGTTTATAGATTATCAATATCTGTTTTCTAATGGTAAGTATTGTAGTATGTATATAACGCTAATGCTTTCAAAAGTGCTGAACACTACACTCAATTCCACTCTGAAATGTTTTTGAAGACTTTTTACTTGTTAGGTATATTTCTGGTTTTATCAATATTTCTTGTGTTTTAATGAGATCGTGACTTAGGAAAGTGTTTTGTTTTCATGTCAGTTGTCAACTGGGGAAATGTTGAAGAGTTATCAAATGCATCGACGTTATTCTGTTTTGATTAAATTGATGATCCCATGACGCATCTATGGGATTGCGACTCTTAAATTTGCAATCGTCTTTTTGTAATACTATACTGCCTTACAACGCGTATATCTAAACTTGTATGTATTAGTGTAGGTGTGTGAGAAAGTGTGTGATATACTTATATGTAGAATAGATAGATGCTTGTTAAAATTTTTTGTTTCTTTCTTTTCTTGTATAGGTTTATTTTTGGCTTATGTTTATATGTTATTATTTACGAGTTTTTGATTTTTTTTGGTATTTAAGAAAAGCGAAAATGAAATGCATTTGAAATAAGTGCTCCTCATAGGCTAGGAGGTTAAAGGGGCGAAAAGTACGCAGGGTGAACACAGAACAAAAGTATACAATGCATTTCTTGTTCACATTTAAATTGTTTTATACTTATGTAAAAATAATGTACAGTTGTAAAATTACATACTAAAATTTTACTCGCACGAAATTTGCGTAACTTAGAAATCGATTAGAATTAAAATTATTTTGACTAAAGTTTCTTGTAAAAAGCTGATACATAATTGCGTACTTTCGTATATGTATAAGGTTTATATATATAGAAATATACATATAAATATATATATTTATATATGTATATTTATATATATTTTGATATATATATACATATTTAAATCTATATACGTATGTAGATATATATAAATTTGTATATATGTATATGCTTGTATATACCCATTATGTTGGGCGCGATTTGAATATATGAATGAAATACAATTAAAATATTTAAAATTACACATTTAAATATTTGACGCGGTTTCTGTTTACATGCAATATAACTCAGTTCGTGACACGTGCGCTGGTTGCTGAAGACACGACTACGCCCGCCCATAGCCGGGCTCACTTTTAGGACAGTGTTTGTGTAATGTGTTGGTGTTTCTTGTTCTTATTCTTGTTATACTTGGTGTAGGCAGTAAACAGTAGACAGTGATAGAGGTTGCTTTGAGGCTAATTATTTATTTTGATCTATCTACGATTGAACTCCGATTTGATAGCTGCAAGGCATATAAAAATGTGCTTTAGAAGAAATGTAAGCGCAGAAAGCTGGGATATCGAAATAGCTTACCGTCTATGATTTCGTTTTTCACTTTTTGTATCTCCAGCCGCATCTCACGCACTATCTCAGCTTTCAGGGTGTCCAGGTCGCTGTTGGACAGCGCCAGCGACAGACCATCGCCATTGACCTGCTAAGCGCGACGAGGGTCATTATCGTTAGTTTAACAAATATATAAAAATCAACTCACCTTGAGAATGGTCTCCTCGCTGGCGCTGCCGAAACGCTTGCGCATGGGACGCGGCGATTCGCCACCGCTGTTCGTTGTGTTGTTACCGCTGCCGCCACTGCCGTTGGCTCCGCCTTGTGCACTTGACGTGGTGTTGCTGCCGCCGCCACTGCTCAATTTGTGGGGCAACGTATTTGACTTTTCCCACGGCCTTTGTTTAACTTCTGGCTCAGGATCGGGCTGCACAGTGTCGAAAAGTAGTAACAAATAACCCAATATAGAAATTGTCAAATATACACAACTCACCTCCTTTTTCTCGGCCTGCGCACGACGCCGAGCGAGCGTCTTGGCCATCTCGTCCATCATGGAGGCCATGCCATTGGAGCTACGTCCAATGGTTCCATAGTTACCGCTGCCGCCGCTGGAGGTGCTGCTGCCGCTATTTTCGGGAGCGGCTGTCGTGGACTGAAAACAATCAGCAGAGCAGAAATCGATTAGCCAATGTGGTTCATTCTAATTGCACAGCACTAACGTACCTTGTTCTTTTTTAGTTTGAACTGCTGCAGCTGCGAGGCCAACGAGCCCATAAGATCGGCTTGCGGATCATCCTTCTTACCTGCGGCACCGGCACCCACAGGAGGCGGTGGTGGCGGCGGTGGTGCTCCAGGACCGCCTGATCCACCTGATGCGCCCCCCTGAGCCGGTGGCGCAGGCGGTGCCGGTGGCTGTGGTGGCGCTGGAGCTCCATTAAACATCTGTGGCGGGGCCGGCGGTGCACCACCGAATGTAGGTGGCGGTGGTGGTGGCGCCGGCGCAGCCACCTGCCCTGGACCCCCGCCTGTGCTGCTCATGCGATTGAGCGGCGGCGGCATTGGCACACCACCGCCCTGTTGCTGCATCATAGGTGGTGCCAGCGGAACTTGCCCATAAGGATTCTCCGTCTGCTGCTGCTGCTGGCCATTGTGCTGGACATACCCAGGAGCGGGCATACCCGGCGCCAGCGGTGGCTGAGGTATCAACTGCTGCTGACTGGTGTAAACGACACTATTCGAGCTGGCCGAACTCGGTATATGGGCTGGCTGCGTGGACCCATATATGGGTCCGACCCCATTCTGATGCACCGGCGGCATCGGTGGCTGTGGCTGTGTCGGGTATTGATGTAGATTGAGATTGGGATTAGAGTTTGAGAGCACATAATGGGGCTGCTGGTACTGCTGGCGGGTGGTTGTTGTGGTGGTAACGGTAACGGTAGCGATGGTGGTGGTGGTGGTGTTGGTTGTTTTGGTGGTAGTGGGTTCGGTTTAGTTTTTGGGGAAATTTCAAGCCAATTGCGGACGTGCGAATGTTTGGAATGAAATGAAACAGAAAGGTAAAAGTAGCAACATAAGCGGACCTCATCAAGCGGACCTGGCTGAACGGTACAAGCCCAAGTCGACCAAACCTACCTGTGGGGGCGCATAGCCGGCTTGCACCATCTGTGGCTGCTGCTGCTGCGTATTATAGACGGGCTGCTGTTGCTGTTGGTACTGTTGCTGCTGTTGCTGCTGCTGCTGTTGCTGCTGCTGTGTCTGACCGGGTGCAGGAGGAATTTGCATCTGTGGATTACCCTGCTGCGGCAGGCCATTGGACGTTGGCCCGTTTGAAGTGGGTCCGTAGTGCGAGCCTGGCTGTGTTGCCAATTGCTGTTGTTGCTGCGGCTGCGGCGCCGGCGGTGCGCTAAGGGAATTCCTTTTTGTGAGCAATTTGTGATGATTCGGCAGTTCGATTCGAAGATCGATTCAATGTATGTGTGTGTTAGAGAGCATGAAGTGTTAGGTATCGAGAATCGAGTATCGAGTACGACGACAACAAACAGAACGATGTGCATGTTACAGGAAAGCATGTGTGTGTTTGTGTGAGTGTGTGAAAGAGAGAAGAAAAATGAACGAAATCAAAAGATATGTCGACTGATTGATTGATAGATGACCAGTGTTGCCAATTGCCGTTCCAAAAAGAAGCTGAATTTAATGTTTAATTGCAGCTAAATTACCGTCCTCGGCAAAAATAGTTTTGCTAGATCTTGTCATTAAGATGCCAAAAAAAGGCTAAATTAGTTTAAAAATTTAGCTGCGACTTGTGAAATTAATCAAATATAGCTAGATAAAGCTAAATTGGCAACACTGTTGATGAGATGAGTGCCCTGGAACTGAAACTGTGATCATGGACCCACCTGCTGGTGCGATGATGTCCCTGCGGCGTTGGCGGACTCTGCGGTATGTTGTTCTGATTTGTCTGCGATGTTGGCGTTTGGGCCGACGGTGTTATGTGGCCGCCCATACCGTTGTTCTGTCGCAAAATTGCCGCATCTTCGCTGGTCATCGTACGGTAGCCCATATCCTCCTCGTATCCATTGCCATTTGTAGGCTGGCCGGCAGGATTGTTGACCACGCGACCACTCAGCACCTGACCACAAGCCGTTGGCGAAAGAGAATGACACAGTTAAGCATTGTTTACGGCAAGAAACAGGAGAGAAACCGACACTTACCTCCAGGGCGTGCATCATGGCCCGAGCAAAGTTCTCCGCGTCGCTCTGGCTGGAAAAGTTAAGACCGTATACATACTTGGAGTCGCGCCACTGATGAAACGTGGCCGTAGCCTGATTATATTTGAGACCCTTAAGTATAGAGCAGTTGATGACCACCTCATGGTCTTGCAGCTTGCGTCCCACCACTCGAAATGTGTTATTCTGCTGGTGATGATAGATTTGCACCTTGCTCAATCCTGACGAGCTGCCCGATGGCACCCACTTTTTCTGGTTGTCATCGTAGACCATCACAGAGGCGCGGGCGCCAATAATGCTTTGCTCACTGCAAACAAATAAAGAAAAAATACGCAAGACTAATTATTTAAGGGAGCCCAGGAAACCATTAAGATTCTTAGAGCACTAGATTAATGTATCCAAAACGAAAATTGCACCACAATCAGAAAAGCATTAGATGATTTATTCAAAGTGCAACTAACATAGACTTGACAATCCGACCACCACACCTCTGGTTTATTCTGTTTCTATTTACGTCTCGGCTTTCACAAAGTTTCACACGGTTGAACTGAAGTGCAGTGATCTCTCTGGATGAAGCTGTAGCTGGGACTGGACAGGAAGCGCTTGGCGTTCATTGTAAAGCCTCTATTCCACTGAGAAAACTGCACACCTGTCATGCAGTTGTCATTGCCGCCGCCGATTAAATAGTTCTAATGAACCTTTACGCAACCTTTAACATATTTTTTGCAGCGCATTGACAATTAAACCGGGAAAACTAAACACGATGCCATAGAAGAGTTTCAAATATGCTGCAAGCATGACGTTGAAGGCAAGAACATGGATCTCAGTCTCTGCAACGAGTTGCAAGAGTTAATGACAGCCTCAACTGAAACAAAAACAAAACGAGTTACGATCGCCGTCTTTTTGCTCTGTCTAGAGCTGGCTTCAGTATTCTGGCAGCCAGCAAAACTTGGCCTGTCTAAAAGTTGACTTGTTTTGCACTTAAATGGAGCCCGATATCAAGCGCTATGCGCGAGGGAAGTGAGGAAAATGGCCGAGAAGCAAGTCCACAGCTGTGCGGCCTTATATAACAAACGTACTGTGTTGGGGTAGTTGGTCATTTACGGCATACGATGATGTGATTCGTGGAACGAAAGTGAAGTTTATCTATGAGATACGTGTAATTTGTTAGATACCAACAGGGACGAGACGCGGATTATCTTACTCTCTCATACTGGCTGGCATTCCCCAACGATTTACAGGCTCCGGCACCGAGTGCGTCGCTCCAAATGAACAGCAAGAAAGTGGGAGGTTTACTCAGTGATTGGAAATGAGCATGTGGTCAGGTAATGAGATTAATGCAAATTACATTCCATTCATGTGGGTCGTTTAAAGACTTCATTACGGCGGACGCAGGTGAAATTTTGTGTTTATATTTCGTTTTGAGCTCGAGTTGTGGATTAATTCGTGCGTTAAGTTTAATGCACATTTCCAGCACGAAAGCAATTTTCTTTATAGGTTTAAATTTTCGCTCAATTATATACAGTTACGAGCACATTTGTAGCAGGTCGACACGGGAAAGCCCTCTGCGATCCAAATTTAACTTTGGATATACGCAGAAAATCTGAACTTTGCCTGTGATACGACGGGATGGGCAAGGGAAATATGTAATGGAAAATATTTAGAAATTGGATCACGTTTTAAGATCTGTAACCTGTAGAAAAAGGACGTTCAAATTGAAAAACTGATCTCAGAGAAGAATGAAAAATAATATGAAAAGAAGAACATACGTTAAACTTGTTGGGCCCCCAATTAATTTATATTTGACCGAATTATGGCGACGTTGAGGGATGCGTTGTACGTGTTGCTGTTGCTGTTGTTGCTGCTGTTGCTGTTGTTGTTGTTGTTGTGTTTGGTGGTTTTGTTGTTGCAGTAGCAAATAATGATGAATGTTGCTATAGAGATGCTGATTTGCGGCTGTTGTTGTTGTTGAACGTGGCGCTCTAATTGAGAACGACATAGAGCTGGTCAGTCTGGACGGAGCAAAAGCAGGGACAGCGGAGCAATTGGATGTGGAAGCTGGGTCAGCGTTAGCTGATATCGGGTTGGTCACTGAACGAGACTGGGACGGGAGCGGGGACTGGGGCAGAGCTACGCACTTGCGTAAAGTAGAAAATATAGCAGTCGATGTGGATAAAGTGTGGGCAGGGACAGGGACAGGGGCAGATACTGTGGGAGTGGCTGGGCTAGCTATCAAGACAGAGTTTGTGGTCGCGGTGGATAATGATGTTGATGTTGATGTTGATGATGATAATGATGCATCGACATGTCTGCTGTGCATTGCACCAACATCTTCGCCCGTCGGTACGTACAAGGACTGGTCATTGACTACCGATTGTGTCCATGTGGGCGCCTCATAGATGGGCGTGGGCGTGCCATGGGCCATGGGCAACTGCAACACAAGTTGCTCATGCTCATGATAGGCCGTGGCACTGCGCTGGCGCAACAAAAGATCCTGCTGGTAATGATGGTACATGGGATGGCGATAGTCCAGCTGATCCAGTTCCTGCAGCTCCCGAACGCTGTAGTAATCCCTGCCAGCCGCCGGCAGACTTCGGCCCTTGGGCGATGCCCTATTGTAAAGACTTTGGCTGCGCTTGATCAGCAGATCGGGATCCGGTTGTTCCTCGTTTGCCTGGAACTCGCACATGGCCAGCTTTGCATTGGCGGACTGATGATAGGCCAGAATGGGTCCAGCTACTGCGACACTAGCATTGGACTTCTTGCTCGTAAACGAGGTTTTGGCATAGAGTTTCTTCATGGCCATTAAGTAATAGCAAACATTTGCACACAAACACGGTTCCTCACACAAGCGTTCGGTCACACGATCACAGCACTCAATAAATAAATGGAATTGATGTTTGTCTAGGTTCGCTTCGTTCTCAAACTATCGTATGTGCAGCCGTGGCTGGTGCTTGCGGCTGATCGTAATCGAACCTCAATTGAGACTGAACGCGCCAAACAAGTCTCGGCCTGAACTTGGCCCCAGAAAGAGAGAGAGAAACAGAGAGCGTGGAGTCTGCCAAGCCACTCACAGAACGGCCACTCGACTCGCGGTGAGCCGAAGATGAAAGAGCAACAAGAAAAGAGCAGACAGCGAGAGCGCGCAGGGCAGAGCGAATCGACGATCACCGATCACGGCCGAGAGTCTGTGTAATTACACTTGCCAGACAATAAAATAATGAGATGTGCTACTGAGATCCATCCGTAGTCTAGCCGGCCCATAGATCCCTTAATATTGTTTGGTCTTCTCTTCAGTATTATTCGGTTCCCACTTGACGATGCAATTAAAATCCCGCTCACATCGCATCGCATCGCAGCTTAAGCTCAGCTCTAGACAGCCTTCCTCCCTTCCCCAGTTGCCCATTCTGTCAGATAGTCTAGTCGCTCAGATCAGTCAGTAGATCAGTCCGTCCTTCTCTCTGCGATAATTACTTAAGAAACGAGCTCAATAATTTATATTTCCCCCCGAGCGACTATAAAGTTCTTTTTTCTTTTCAGCTGTTTTGTTGAGGCGGCAAAGCAGTAAGTAGGAAGCAAGTTGGCAGGAGGAGATTGGGGGTAATTCACAGCTTGTGGCATGCCATGAAAAATTCATACAAATACAAAAACATATACGTAGTAAGTCTGTCTCGCTGCCGAGCTATAGAGCTGCCTGCGGTTGAGTAACTGAATCAGTTTGAATTTTTTGTTCCACAACAATTCTTAAGCGTACATTTCCAATTAACATGGTATTTATCTATTTAGAATGTTGTTGCTCTTAGAGCTCGTTATAATGCGCGCGTCTGGTCTTTAAAGCTGTGTGTGATTTTTGTATGATTTCAGCTACGATTATTCTGCGGCTTAATGGCTTTGTAAAAACGGGCTAGGCCTGGCAGGCCACAACTCGCACTCGTGCTCGTACTCGAATTTAACACTCTATAGATCAAGCCGTGGCTTAAATGATTTGGCAATTTTTCGGCTATAGCGTCTTTATTAGTTTATAAAAGGGCTACACGGCGAACATGGCAACAGATGTAGGAATGTAAACTCTTGCTGAAATCATTCAATACTTTTCCAATCCTCCAGCATCAAACAGATTTGATTTAGTCTCGAATTTGTTTCTCTTTATCGTGCTTTACTCTTTACATATTTGATTCAAATAGCTCCCGAGTTACCTATTCCAAAAAGTATAAGCAAATGATTCAGCAATGCGACTCACTATGTCGGTCGTCGCTCTTGAACTGTTTCTATTTTGGAAGCATTACTCAACTATGAGATAAAAATGCACTGGCTGAGTGAATACGTTGCAATTAGACCGGAATTCAAGGGCTTTAGGGAGATCTGTGCACTTCAAATCAATTAAACAATTAAAGTAACCCCGAACTTTCAAGAGCTGCACAGTCATTTTCTCAGTACATCATTGAGAGAGATCGAAGCGATATATTCTACTTTGGGGCATATCCCACCTTTAATTGCAAATTCCACTGCGGAGAGTGTACTGTAATGGGCTAAGCTAAACTGGGCAAACAGAGCTGAACCAAAAGCTGAGGGCCCAGTTTAAAGCGTGCCGAATTTCCGCGGAGACTACACGGCAACGGCAATAAATGATGACACACCCAGAAAATGAGCCCCAAATTGACTGCGTTTTTGCTTATGAATCAGTTATCAAGCAGAACGGGGACAAATGCCCTGACTAAGCACACAGTCCGACTTGGCAGGAAGCCACCGGATGTGCCACTCCCCGGTCGCGTAAACGTCATTTGGCTAAACAAATTATGGGTATTAAAATAGATAACTCCAGGCCTCTAAGGGCTGGGCCCCACATAGTTTCGCTGACCTATAAACTTTTGGTAGCTTTAATGTAGGCAGGTATTCCGTAGTGAAATTGTACCGGCCCTAGTTGGACACATGCCAATTGAAAAGTCGCTAGCAGCATCAATATCGTCAATTGGGTTAACCAATGACAGTTAGAATGACAGCGAGAGTGTCATAATTGAAATGTCCTTGAATGGAATCGAACGTCGTGGCGTCTGATAAATTACAATAACTTTGCGACAATGTAATATATCTTTAAATATATACACATTTATAAATATACATAAGATGAAATCAAACTTGAAATTCGATGTGGCACTTACGTCATTTCGTTTTTATTTGTTTTTGTTTGTTTTTGTTACTGTTGCTTAAGAGGAAACCGGGCGGACTTTTGATGTATGGAGCGGGGTTAGTTGTGCTTCGCTTGGCTTCCACCAGGTGGTGCTCGTCTCCTCGCTTTTTCTCGTTAATTATATTTATGATATCTGTAAATGTATTAAAACAGAATATCCCGGTTAAACGTTCAACTGTACGACACTTTTTAAAGAAGAGATGTCCATAAACACAGTTTTATGCCTGAGCCTAGGTAACAAATCGATGAAATGAGACCTTGAGATTAAAGCTAGCCCCATGAATTAGCTAAAGTAACCGTCGAATGACAGCAAACGAAAGTAGCTGCAGATAATAATAATAATATTAGCGAAAACCAAGCCATGCTAATACAAACCGCAGAGACTTAATTTAAATACAACCGTCGATAGACAATGAGGCTTATTTACTTTATCTTTCTTTTAAACACGAAAATATCTTTATAAACTGTGGCGAGAATAATGAAGACAACAGATAGCTAAGCTCATTTGCATTAGAAATGCAAGCAGCGTCCCTTGTCTAATGAATACGGTCAATAAATAATTCTAAAGACCTAACTAGGCAAAACCACCGAATTGCTTCGGGGCCGTACAACGCATAAATGCAGCCAGAGCTACGCGAAATTTGTGTCACGCTCCTAAAAAGGTTTTTGACCCAGTTTTGTACGTCGCCTCCTCCACCGACATAGAGCATGGAGCATTGTTTGCGTCATAGTTAGCTAATAACCTGCCCTTAGCGCGACTTTGTAATCGTTATGCGGGCTCGTTACTCCAACGTCCGCTTTGTTGCCGGAAGTGTTCAGAGAGCGCAAAATTCATTGAGTATAGTTTATCACAGCGACCACATTTGCGATGTAATTATCAACTACTTCTGGCCTGTAAACTCATTCTCTGTCTGTAAGTTATTAGGCGACAAATCGACTTACTCGTTCGGTCTAGTGAGAGAAATCTCCAAAAATAGCTTTGTGCTGATTCGAGCAATAATAAAAATGAAACAATTGGCACTCGCACATGTGGGAAATATGATAGCATTTGACGAGTCAATTTTCTTGAATATATGTAATTACATTGTTGGCTAAGCAAACAAATCCCACAAAGCCATTGAAGAGTTCGTTGAGCGTTAAGCGGGATAGAGGCACATGTTCTGCTTCTTTTGCTTTTTTGCGTTTACCAGGATAGATCCTGTCCCGACTCGTGGGCAGTTAAAATGTAAACTTCGGATGAGGGGTTCTACAAACACCCCTTAAAACCAGTCGTAACTTGCTGTCATTGCTCAATTTGCTTACTTTGGGGGGTGGCAAGTAAGCCAAACCGATCGGAAGCAGACAGGCCGGTACACAAACATGAAAACTGTTTGTTTTACGCACTTAACCCGAAGGCAATGCATCCGGCTTCCGGCGCAAGGGTTAGTAGTTCCGAGCTCCAAATACCGTGCTCCCATCTCTAGCCTGTTATTTTTTTCATTGTCATTTTGTCGACAAAATAAACGAAAAACATTTCCAGGAATTTGCATGACTCCTACGTGACGTTCAGAATGATGTCAGTTGGCAAGTCACAACTTCAACCCTATTCCGATACCAGTCACAGTTTTCCGTTTTCTTCTTTGCAAAGGACACCAAATGTTTGCACTCAAAACAAAAACAAATTAATGTGCCGCATTGCACATGGAAATTTCCCGCATTTGTTTTGTGTCTTGGTTGTTCGCGTGACTCGTTGGATTGTCAAATTGACGCGGTATTTGTAATTTGACAGCTTCAAAAGCAAACATTGACACATTAACGCAACTTGCAATTCCACCTCTAACATCATCCCTCTCCAATACTATCCCAAGGAGAGTAATCCGTGTTCATTATCATATTTTAGTCTGTCAATCCAAGCCAACACAACTTCTAATGAGCCCCCGCATAGAGCTCTGTTGCCGCAGCCGTCCATTCGTCTTTTTTAGCACTCGCTTTGGAGCTCAATCTGGCCAAGGCGAATGCGTCGCAGTTGATATGGTCAAGCAGATCGCAAACGGGTTTTCCAAGCAACGCAGGCAGTCACCTTTGCATTTGTCTACCTCTGCTCTCTTGGGTTGGGCAAAAGTTTGCTTTAGTTTGGATTGCGACTGAATTTGGGTCGCTGTCCTGGCTGTGACTTCAGCATTGTGCGCTGTTTACCAAATCGACTTAAGCTGAATTTGCCAAGGCACGAGGCACCCAGCGGCTGCTGCTGCCAAAATCTATAAGGCGAATCATTCAGAAGACTAAAAGACTCCCAGGCATATCAAAATCGGCAGCCAAGCGTCAAGCCTTTTGCATTTTGCCATGGCTTCTCACGGCTTCTCAGCTCAGCTGCTAACAAACTATGTTTGCATCTACAAGCAATTAATTTGTTGTAATCCAGTCTGAACTTTGCCTACATTTGTCTTGAGATTGTGGGCATTGTTAGGCTAGGCCGGGGGGCTACCATATTGCTTTCGCAAATCGACCCAAGATGAATCTAAAATCAATCGACTGAAACACACATATTTAAAATCTGGTATTTATCGCTTTAGCAGTTATGATTGTACACAATTTTTATGAGCTGTTGTAGTTGTCATTTTGCCTCAATGGTGAACAGCGCATCAATTTAATGAAGCGATGCAACTCGAACCGAAAAAATTTGAGTAACTATTATATAATGCTAATAACAAATAACAAATACCAAAAATGAAATGAAATAGGGCGCAACAAAAGACGAAAAATATCTATTATTACATTACACACAACAATGGGCTTCGGCCTAGACTTTTCCCTCAGCCGAACTGCCACTTCTAAGCCGCTCGAGTTGATTCCAGCACAGTGCAGACAGCCCACAAAGTTCAAGTGAGAAGCGGACATATCATAATCATAATATAATCAGCTAGCACCTAGAAAGAGGGTAGAAATCAACGAAGTATGGAAATGTGCAGCAGCGACAAACATCAATTTAGCGCAAAATAACAATAATAACCATAACAGAAAAAGCTTGCACGAATGTCAAATACCCAGTAACGAAAAAATAATTCGATTCACTTAAATCTATTTCCTACCATTTTACTAATTCATCACTGTTTACAAACTACAAGCATTTGTTAATGTTTGTCTTAGATATTGGGGAGCACATCACTCCCAAAAATCCTGGCACCTTGGTAACGTTGCATCAAGTGTCGCCAACTGAGCTTTGTGTGCGTGTGTGTGTGTGTGTGTGTAAGCAGAAGTATTTGGATGCAATCAAAACGAAAAGAAAACTTTGCCGTCACCTTTTAGTTGGGAAAAACAAAAAGCAACCCGCCGCTTGGCTGTAAATTGTCTGATTCAGCACCAGTCACAGCAACCGTCCCAGACCGAGCGGAAGCACTTCAAGTGCTTGCAATTCCTCTTTGAGCATAGTCAGTGCGGAGACGGAATGGAGACTACAGGGAGGAGGTACAGGAGCCCTACAGCTATTGACTTCATATCAACTTTGGTCACTGTGGCAGTTCAATTTAATACTTCTTCCCACTTCGAGTTTTTTTTTATTTAATCAGCGTATGTGGCTCTTCCCGTTTCAACTGACGGTGCCGAGCGGCAATGTCAATGGAATGGAGAGATAAAAATGAGAATAAACATTTTAATTTTAATATGATGTATTTTTGTTTTTAAACTACACTTTCGCAATTGCCTCTTTCCATTTACGCAAGAAAAAAGGTATTTTAGAATATGAATTCCAAGCAACGTATTTCTAGCCACGTTGATTATTTGATTTTTAAATAACAAATATCAATCTTTACTTGGAATTTTATATTATATATTGATATATATTATCGTTATAATTCAACTTAAACTTGCAAGATATCTGAGTGCTGTATTTAACTGCCGCTGCGAATAGCCGAGCGTTAGACCGTAACGTTAGTACAAAACAAAAAAAAAACACCAAGAGAGGAGGAGGTAATTTAGTAAAAGAATCAGCCGGAACAGAGCAGCAACTTCGGCAAATGTCTATGTTCGAGTCTGTTTGTTGTGGTAAAATTTCTAGGCCGTAAAAAATGGTTTAACAGCGCGCCAATTGCTTTAGAAATATAACTTGTTAAAGGCGGAGTTGTATAGTACATATGTAGATATACACATTTATATAATAAATGGAACACAACAGGTATTTGAAGAGACTCGCTTGCTCTGCAATGCTCTTGACCGTATCTATTTTATAAAATACTTACTTTGGACTGGAAAAACGTAACAATTACATGTGTATATATTTGCATATATACAATAACTAGATTAAAAGCTCTAATAACAAGCAAAGTAGAGTGGAGATTTCATTTAACTTTTTGATAGTATCATTTGCTTTAAATGTGTATACTACTCGAATAAAGCTGACAAAACTTTTTATATATATTACATATTCCTGCTGAATTTCGCTAAGTGCATTGCTCAGCGAGTGGAGTCCGCTGCTTTTTTAACTCGAATTTCACTGCATTTATTTTGCATTTTTCCGCATGTAGGCGCGTGTTTGATTCTGTGTATATTGCTTAGGATTGTGAATGATAATTTTCGTTCATTTAATGTGCACTGTTTGTTGGTACTCGAGCCAATGCAATGGCCTCCAATCCAAAGCCAAAGCCAAAGCTATAACAGCCAAGACAGTGGAAAGAAACGCCAGAAAAGCTGCCGCTTAAGCGAATTTCATTCTCCGTTCTGCTTATCTGTGCAGTTCGTATATTTGTATCTACAATTTATGCCATTTGAGCGGTATATTTATCACGCATATGAATATATTATACACTCTCAGGCCCATCGGTTTTCATGTGCATAGTCCATAATCTACGATGCTTTCCTCTGCGGGTAATGCGCATTAAAAAGGAAACAGCTTTTTCTCCGATATTTCACAGACAGCACAATTGCGCTTGATGTGGAGCTATTGCTTTGTTCGGCGAAGAAATTCTCAAACCGAAACGGGATTATCTGACCATTAGCATTAGCATTAGCTAATTGCTGCCTAAAAAATATCCGAGCTGACATTCCATTTGGAAAACTTACATAAAAATCCCAGTGCACGTTTAAATTGCAAATGAAATACAAGAAGAAAACCCCCTTTCTTTCAGCAAAACCAAAGCGAATCAATAATAAACAAATTATTAAATAAACAAATTTAAAATAAGGCAGCGAAAAATTATTTAGCTGATATTGTATGTATGTAGGTAAGAGTCATATAAGGTATGAGCTCCCATAAAAATCAAAACACGTTTCATGCATCCGATGGGCAGAGACGAAGACGGGCAGGCCCAAGAAGACTCATGAATTCCAATGAATTATGCAGGTGACGATGGCGCACCATAAAATTGATTATAAGTATACATTGTTTACAGTTTAAGGGAAATAGCTATGCAGCTGTTCCTATATTTATTATAGTTGTGGCATTAATAAAGTCATTCGACAAAAGTGTCAATATGATCATCTACCGACAAATGGAAGGAGCCCAGCGGTAACAGAGCATCTGACCACCCAGTATAATGTCAGGCAGATTTAAATAAAGAGGCTGGATTTTTTTCTAACCCGCATTGTGAAGCCTCAGCGAAAATAAGTAAGCAGACAACAGGAAATATAGTTTTATTGAATGCTGCGTGGGAGCAGGGTCACACTGGCGAGCAAAGCGAAAAACTTAAATACATTTGCGCGACAGTCAGAGTTCAGTGCATTGATCTGCATTCTGGCTGCTATGACACGCGTTAAAGTTTAGTCACAAAGCAAAACAAGTTGGGGCAAGTTAATGATTCAGAGCAGTCGCCGCTACGAACACATAAACAAAACAGAAATAAAACCAGGGATAAACCACAAGGAGAAGACACGAATACTTGGAAAACTTGTGGCGATTTCTAAGATTTTTTTTATTCAAAGTTTTAGTCATCGTTAAAAATGCCGAAAAGCAAACTGAAAGTGAACACAACTACGAGAAGATGCGTAAATAGGGCGCAAACATACCGAAAAGGGGACGGATGGCTGATAAAAAAAAAAAGAGAAGTATAAACCGCACACATATTTCGATTTGGTTCTTATCTTATCTAGTAGTTGCGTGACTCCAATAGCAGCTGCTGCTGCTGCTGCTTATGACTGGGTGGGCAACGTTGTTTAACTTGTTTATACCATAAATTATTCACAAAAAAAGGGCAGCCATTTGTTAGCAGGAGCCGCTATGCAACACTGGCAAGCAACTACAGCAACAAAAACAACAGCAAAATATAAGTATTTTTGAAATACGAAATCTGGCAACACGAATAAATTCAATTTTGCAAGCGTCAATAACAAATTGCGTACTTTGATTTACTTACTGTATGTTTTTTGTTTTTGTTTCTGAACGGGTTTTGATGTTTGGCTATTTTGTTTTAGTCTATCGGTGTACATGTCGGTGTGTGTGTGTATGCGAGAGAGCTGCGGGTCTTTGGCCCGCTTCATTTGGCAGCGAACGAACAAAAAAAAAAAGAGTGAGTCATGTGGCGACTCCAGTGATGCAACTTGGCTGTCTTTTCGTGGGTGGCAAAGGAAGGGTAGAGAGATATGTGAGGGAGCCCGGATCGTGTCTCTGCGGTGCATTGACATTTAAATGCTGCAAAGAGGAGAATGCAAACCCCACTTTGGCTCGCATAAATTAAAGTTCAAACAAACACGATAAAGATGAAAGAGAAGTATAAATATCAATAGCCCCACCCGCGTCGCCTTGCTCTCTTTATCAGGCTCTCGCCTCTTTCCTCTTACATTCACTCTCAAATTGGCAACGCTGGATATTTGTTTGTTTGGCAACATTTATAAGGAATTGGAGAGTAGTGCACGAGAGAGAGAAAGAGCATATCAATATAAGAGCCTGCGCCCAGCAACACAAAAACAAGCACCAAAAACGAGAACAACAAAAGAGGAAGGCTGCCAACGCGGTGGAGCCGTCGGGGGAAATGCACAAAAACAATTAAAGCTGGCGCAGGACAAATCCAACACACACACACACAAACACGCGACACACACAAAATATAAAATGAATGCAAAAACTGGTTTAGACGCTGCAGACGCGACAGCTGTTAAAGTCTCCAATCGCCCGATGAGTAGGTAGAAAATGGGAAATACGCAAATTTAAATTATTTACCCAAACGGCATAATTATTATTCTGCTATGCACACACTCACAGCCGCATGCGAAAAAGGGCGTGTTGTGTGAAAGAATAAGCAAAAAGGGGAGCAGAAGTGAAGCAGCAGCTATCGACGTCGCTGCCACAGCAGCCGCCGAACTAAAAAGGGAGCACAAAGCGGAAGTCGTGGGCAAAAACATGCGCAGAAAATGCAACGGCCGTCGACAGGGCTAAATTCTGCTCTAGATCTCCGCAGACACAGATTATAAATAAATTTAAAACAAAAACTTACCACATCATTTTCGTTAATTCCACAGTGAAAATGCGTTGGTGTTAGTATCTGCTGCCTAGCAGCTACTCCCTTTTTCCTGCTGTTGCAAGCACGCACACGCACACACTCAAATCGAGTGGCGGCGGGCAAAGACAGCACAAACTAATCGCCGATAAAAGTGCTTGCTGCGTGTCTTTCCAGGGTTTCTTAGTTAAATTTTTTTGTTTTGTTACAACAGGAAAGAAGCCGCAATTTTAATTCAATTTGTTTAGTTTTCGGCAGCACTTTACTCGAACATCACTTACACAAACAAACACACACACGCACACACATTAACGGAGAGCGAAAAACTAAACTCCTTTTCAAGGAGTAGAGACACAATTTTTTCGGCTACTTCGTTTTATACTGCAACTCCGTTTTTTTCGATGCAGTTTTAAAAAGAACTTTGCACGGGTGTTTTGCAAAGATTAATACTGCTTCTGTTCGCCTTGCGATTGCGATTTTGTGACTTTTTGTTCACGACGCGATTAATTCGAATTAATTTTGGTCAAATTGCGACAGCGACAACAACACACCAGCGCCATATTTGATCTGATGTAAAAAGTAATGTACCAGGGCAGCCCTGGTTTAACAGCGACCAAGATATTAACATTTTCTAAAATGTATTAACAGCGAGTTCCTAGCAAATTTGCCGTTACAAGTTTTTATGTATTTTAATCAAAACTATTAATGTTGCATATTGCCTTAAATTGCTATAAATTACTCAAAACATAAATAAAAATATAATATTCCAGTATTTTGCTAGTTTGAGAGAATAATTAGAATTTAACAGCTGCTAACTAGATCCAAATAACACACATGTGTTATTGAACAGCGGCATAACAGGGTATCGCTGTCGAAAAATCGATTTTTCTATGTTATATAAGATTGCGATAAATTTACTTCGCAGGGTAAAATCGATAGTTCGAGTTTATTAAAGCAATAACAGAGTGCACACACTGACCTCGACGGTGACAAACTTAAATTTAGAAGTAAAAGCCCAACACTTTTGTATCCTATAAATGACTACTTTAATTTGTATGCACCGTGTGATTAATATTGTAACATGTTGCTGTATAAAATTAAATTTAAATACTCTGTTGCTTTTATAAATAAATTACATCCTACATTCCAAGAAGGAATCCTTGTCTAGTAGACTGCATCGCGATAGGTCTCCAGGAAGTTTTGCACCAGTCTCGGCATCTCCGGAGCCCGACATAAATACTTGTGGCCGTAGCCATGACTCCCGTCGAAACGATGAAACTCAACTGGTCCCCAGGAGCGACTGCGCGTATCAAGTGCATTGCGGTAGAGTCGATAGCCCAAATGAAAAGGCACCACAACATCGTCCTCAGCGTGCACAATCATGATGGGTTGAGGAAACTTGGCCACATGCTTGTCCGACTCAAAGCGCAGTCTGTTACTATACATTGGGTCCGAGATCGTAAAGTCATACCAGGGCAGATGTCGAAAGGGTCGCGAGAACGGATGCAGCCGAATCTCGTCACGAATGTTTGTAAATGGACTTTCCAGTATGACGCCGCGCGGACCGCGCTCCTTTAAACTCGCCAGCTTGGCGCACATGTGGGTGGCCACACCGGTGCCCAGGGAATGACCCCATATGAAAATCGGATTTGATGTCAAATTCGCAATGTATTCAAAAACCATCATTGCATCACGCACCACGCCATCCTCTGTGGGCGGCACAGGATCCGAGTCCGCGTAGCCGCGATAGTCGAATGAAAAGACATGATAGTTCAGTTGCCGTAGGAGCTTGTATACCTCGGAACGATGACCGCTGCCCCTGGTAGCAGTGTTGCCATGCAAATAGAGGACCACGCTGCCGCCCGGCACGCGTAGTAAACGCTCATAAAATAGCTGTTCATTCTCAGGGACAATCACCGGAAATTCAGCTCGCAGCGCAGGTGCCAATCGCTCTAGCTCCTCATTGTTGCCGGCGATGTTGCTGGGCAGGGACAACTGCTCGTGCAACGCAGCTGATGCCGCATCCTCCTCATAGGCCGCCTCCACATGCAGCTCTCGCCTAAATCGGCGCACTGTGTTCTTGGGCAGCACGTGCCAGACACCAATGCGTACGCCGTCATCGTCTTCGTCATGATCCTTAACGGTGATATAGAAGTTGCGTGTTGCATAAAGTCCAACGCTATCCGGTTTAGTGAGGTCAAGTCCTTTCGGGTAGGTAACTACAAGAAATATTGAATTTCGTATTGGAGCGCACCTCGGAAACTAAGCCGAATCACTTACTGAATGTGAGGAAAAGTATGCCCCGCTGCAATGTCACCGAGGACCGAAAAGCCAGAGGCAGCAGTACGAAGAAGACGAGAAACAGCAGCAGGGCTATCACCAGACAGGGTAGGCCAACTCTGAGGAGTAATCGCATTGTTTACAAATTAATCGTTAGTCCTGTGCAGAGTCATTACAAAGAGTACTTAAACGTAACAACTACAAAAAAAGAAAAACTACACACAAAATGATTTAAATTATATACAAATGTAATTTTGATTCGAGTGGACACAGCAGCTGGAATTCTTGTCAACTTTCTGATACGGCAACTAGAGGAGCTGAAACGGAGCACAGTGAGGTTTGCCATCTCAAGGATCCCGAGCGAGATGCCAAATATTTATGCCACGATGCAAAAAACTTCTTTCAAATTACAAATCAAATGAAAATAATAACAAAAAATATATATGCAGTGTATAAAATCAAACAAATTTTATGTTACATCCATTTAGATATATTTTTAAATGTGTATATTTTGATATGTGTATATTTATATATATATATATATATATATATATATAAACTTTTTTTTATTAATGTAGGGATCGTTGCGATCGAGCATAAATACTTACAGCCCAGTCAGCCAACTAATAAGGATCGTTCCGGGAATGATCGTTGCATAGAAAACTAAATTTAAACAACTATGAAGCTCGTACATTGCGGTTGACGAGAACTTCCCGCGATTACGATTATTTAAAATTGGTATGATTGTACGATCGAGCCTTTGGTTAATTTTAGCAGAGCGGTATAAAAATTGGGGCTTGGTTTTGTTTTTCTGTACAAAATATTTGTATTCTGTGTGAGATTCACGGATTTTTCTTTTACAAACGTACTAAACGTCTAGCCGAAAATAGGGAAGAGAATAAACAAAGTTACTTGATTATTAGCTTATTATACATACAAATTAAATAAATTAAAGCATGCAAAAGGCCATACTAGCATCCAACTGAGAAATATCCCAAGCCAAAAAAACAAAAAAAAAAAACAATTGACAAATGCACTGTGAAAAACTTTGTACCCTGTTGCTGATTAGGCAGAAGGCGGCTTTAAATAATTATTACGTTTAGTTAAACAGCAGTGCGTGATGTATCGTATTATTTGCCGAACACATAAAGATAATGGAGAATGATAACGTATATGAATCGCTGACCGACCGATCCCGTTATCAGCAACAGACTACACACATAAAAATAAACTAATACAGTTATGACTTATGCAGCCTTAAGGAATTTCGAATTTCTTGAAATCAAAATTCTTTAAAAATATGTTAATTACGCGTTAATTATACAAAACACTAGAATTCACCTCTTGAAGAAATGCCGCCTACGAGCAAGGAGCATAACTGCAACAACAACAAGAAGAAAATGAACAAAGCATTTAATTAGAAAGTTTGGATTAACAAAAAACAACACGGTTAGCAAACGATTAATGGAGAGTGGAGAGAGTGCAGACGCAGACTAAACCAAATGCAAGCAATTGAATCATTAGGCAATTAGGTAATTTATATGATTTGACCGATTCTCAAACAATTTTGTAGACTAACAAACTAAAAGGCAACGTTGAGGCCTGTGCGTTTGGCCTTATACGACTGACTGGCCCCAAAACAAAACAAATGCAAAACTATGTTCGCGAGTGAACGCAAGTTTTTCCCGCTCTCTCTCTCTCTCTCTTTCTTTCTCTTTGTTACTCTGTGTCTTACGCCGGCCAGCTGATCATGTGCGCTCTGTGACTTTTCACAGGCATTTATTTTACTTTAACTTGAATTGAATATGAATGGTAAATTGTATATGCACTTGTTAATGCTTCCATTAACGCTAATTGAGTTGATATGTTATGCGACACTTACCGGCGCCTTTGTTGCAGTCTACGTGGCAAATGCTGAAAGTGTAAAGTTGTGTTTCAGTCAAAATATTTTGATGTTTCTCGTCTTGTGCTGTAATCAGCTTTGTTGAGATCTGCAGGAGTACGTTAGTAACTTGTAAGTAAAAGTATTTATCAGACATATATGCCCTATTGCTTTTGACTTACGTATGGCCACGATTACTGTTAGTTCTGGCTATATTTTATATAATATATTCAAATACCAAGACGACGACCAATACCAATGTAAATACACTTAACCAGATTGTCACCAAACTCACAAATAGCTTTCTCGTAGGAAGCTTCTTTGGCTTCACTTGATGATAGTTTCAAGTATTAAGAATTATAATCTTTGATTATTTTTTCTTTCAATAAAGAACAACAGTGTGCCAGTGTGTGCACTCCGCTAAACGAACAGCTGGCATTATATATTTCGATAGATTTCTAATCAATAATATTTATTACTTTGTTGTACTCTTTTAAAGTCAACTTTTGAAATTGCGACACTTTTAATTATGAATTTACATTTGGAATGCATAAATAGAATATTTACAACCGACCACAGGGTGGGCTGTCGATTACCGTCCCCAATCGATTAATACTTGTCGTGTGAAAAACAGTATTGAAAAATGTTAAAGTTTTGATGAAACAAGTAAGAGTGCAATTATGAACTAAATGAACGACAATAAGGGACTCAGTTCGTATGTTCAGTTTAGAAAGTCGTTCGATCGAACCTTTTTCGAACAATTCGATACAACTCTAGTTAGCAATTAGTAGAACGCAACGGCAGCGCCGCAACGAGAGAATGAAGAGTTTGGACGAAGTTAAGTCAGAATATCCGCTGCACTGGCAGATCTGGAATGGGAACGTTGAAGAGCTGCAGCAACAATTGCAGACCGAACAGGTTTGTAGTCGGGTGGGTGGTGTGGTCCCCGAATTCTAACGGGGACAGGCATAGGTAGGTGTGCGCTACTAATTGAATTAGTGCCCCAAATGACTCGATTGCAACAATAGAACAACGTTAACAGCTCAACTTTCAGATTGATAAGGAAAAAATCGATCCGCGCGGCCGCACACCTTTAATGTTAGCAGTTCGTCTAGCAAATTTGCAATGCGTTAAGTGCCTTTTAGCTGCCAAGTGCAATGCGACCTACGAACATGCAGGCTGGTCAAGTAAGTCGCATACCCGAGCTGCCCTTTCAACTCCTTATCCCCCTCTATCTCTTTCTGCTGCTGTCACATATATATATATATAGTTGTGCAGGAGGCTGTGTGTACCGGCGATGTGGATATACTGACCGCCATCATTGAAGTACGCGACTTGCAACGTCACGTGCAACGTGTGACGCACGTGCCAAAACTGCTGCAGCATCTGCTGGACGCACCTGACTTCTACATAGAGATGAAGTGGGAGTTCACGTCGTGGGTGCCGTTGATGTCTCGCCTCTGTCCAAGTGATACCTACAAGGTGTACAAGCGTGGTGCTAACGTGCGCATCGACACTACCCTCCTTGGCTTCGACAACAACACCTGGCAGCGCGGCAACCGATCCTACATCTTCAAAGGCGGCAGTGAGTGCAAAGATATGCGATAACTATACACTTCATAATGCCAGCATCGGTTTGTTTGTTTAATAGAGGACACGGCAACAATGATTGAAATTGATCACGATACACACGAGGTGATGGTGGAGCAGATGAGCAGCGATATTGGTGATATTGTGGCCATACCGCCACCGTTGGGCACAGTTCGGGCGCGCCTGGCGGCGCCCGTCATCACCAACAACATCGAAATGGAAAAGATCAGTTTCGAGCGCAACAAATCTGGTATTTGGGGCTGGCGCAGCGAAAAGTCGGAGGTTATCAATGGTTACAACTGTAAGGTGTATGGCGCCAGCAACGTGGAGTTTGTCACAAAGACGCGAATGGACCATCTGAACGAGGAGCAAATCAAGGTTAACTTAAGCGAAAGTACAAATAATTAACAATTAATTCTGATTATTCTCTTTTTGCAGAACAAAACGGCTCGCACGCCTCTGCACAGTTTGTTGGGTATTGCTGACGAGGATTACGTGCCATCAACGGATGTCCCTGCAATCAAAGAGCGCGTAAGTCGCAGACTGTGAAGGCATCCCTCTAGGCATCTAATGGCAACTGCTGATTTCTGATTTATAGACATATTTACCTCGACCCGTCGAGACAGTTCCTGCTGTTGCCTACAGTGAAAATGGCGACCGTGCATCACCCATTCTTCAAGCTGAGAGCAATGGCAGCTCTGCCTGCGGCTCTGGCGCTAGCACGCCTCATGTGGTTATCACACCCGAGGAATACTTTAGTGCTGAGGTTGATCTGCAGGGTCGGGATATTGGCAAGCCAAAGAATTTAAGCACAAAGGTGCAGCGCTTTAAGGCCAATCTTTGGCTGGCAGAAGAGTATCCCATTCGCCTGCAGGAACAAGTGCTTCCCATACTGGACCTCATGTCCACAATGGCCAGCCCGCATGTATCCAAACTGAAAGACTTTATTACAATGCAACTGCCCTCTGGCTTTCCGGTCAAGGTAGAGATACCGCTCTTCCATGTCCTCAACGCCTGCATTACGTTCGGCAATGTGTTCGCCATGACAACGCCGGTGGAGCACGTGACCACACTTCAGGAGCAAGACCGCACTACATGTTTGGTGGACGATCGCTGTTTTGACATACCCAGTCATTATGCCAACCGTGGCGCGGACTCGCGCCGACAAATACCGCTGGACGAAGACGACATGCTGCAGTACGCCATCGAGCAGAGCCTGGCTGAGTCAAGCGGCGCAGTCGGCGCATGTGGCCTAGACAATGAAACTGACAAGGTTGACATCTGGGAGGTGCTACGCGGTCAAAATGCTGTAGGCACTGAGCTGCTGCCTGAGGACGACGAGCAGCTGCAGCGGTGAGCAAATCACATATATTTTTTACTTATACATCCGATTTTAACAAGTGCATCGTAACGTAACGCTAGTAACTCCCACTCCTATTTAAATAAGCGCACTATGCTCTCACCTAACCAACTATATGGGCGCTATTCGCCTTCGCCTTTGCACACTTCTCACCTGGCACCGCCTCCAGAGCGGCAGCAGCGAAACCGCTCTGTCTCGGCGGGCGCGCAGTTCAAGAATGATCTTAGCTACATGAAAAAGATCTTCAAGTAGATTACATTCTTACTTTTCCCCTTGCCGTTTTCCAACCTATTGCTAGCAATCATTTTACCCCTGCTTTTTTTGTGTGTTTCTCTGTTCCGTTCACAGTGTGTTGCACGAGTCGCTTCTTGGAGCCCGTGGCAACGCGAGCGGTTCACCTGTCTCCGAGGATGATGATGACGGCGGCTTTCGGTACATGGACTCTGATCTGGCAATGGCCATGCGTCTTTCGCAGCAGGACCAGCAAAAATACGAGTTGGAGCGCCAGCGTGAGCAAGAGATGATCGAGCAGGCGCTTAAGCTCAGCCTGCAGGAGCACTAGCCATCCTACCATCCATTGAACCAATTAGGTAACCAAATGTAACCAATCAATCAATCAGCAGTCACAAGTCTGTCGTCAATCAAAAGATTCCCCTTTTGTCGATACCAAAATTGGAATAGTTTATATGTAATTATAGTATGTAAAAATTACGCCTATGTTGTAAATTTTTTTTTTAGTTTATGTTGGTTTGTATTGTGATATGTAACTAAACAACATAGCAAGAACAATTTTCTTCTGAACTCTATTCTGCTAAGGAACGCTCTTAAGCTCTCAACTCCGAAACTCGCGCGTTTTTACAATATCCTCATAAATGTATATCACATTGTATGCATATTAAATTCATGTATTAGCTCTTGCTAAATAACTATTAAAGACGAAAACTCCTAGGCGACAAAAAAAAAATGCGTCACGTGCAGAATAGTCATTGCTAACATTGTCAATCTTCGGCTGTCGGGGAAACTTTTCTAACATTCTGATTTATTTATACACATGTGTATATTGATCTAATCTATTAGTTTACTACTAATCAGCATTATCAATATTTTAATACAAGTAAAAATTTTTGTGAAAATTAAAATATACAAATAAAAAAGGAAACTTTATATTAATTACGCCTTACCCAATCGAACAAAATGACAACGAAACCGACTGCGTAAATAAACAATTATATTTTATTCGACCGTATATACAATGTCATCTCTGACTTGGACAGAACTTAACATTAAAAATCTTACAAACTCTTTGGGAACCTCTGTTCGACTAGCCGAAGCTAAAACAAATATGAATTCAAATTCCATATTCATATTCATGGCAGCTATATAATGTATTTACATATACCATTTCGATAATCTCACAATTACGCATGTTATAGCCACTTACTGATGGCTTGATCAGTTGTATTGTTAACTAGATACTTACCAGCTAAAATATAGTAAAAAGGATTAGGCATAAGTACGCCCGCTGTGGAGTCTCGAATCTAGATGTACTTGAAGCATTTCTGCTTGTCGTGCGGAATTCGCGTCTTAAAGAGTATGGAGTCGGCACGATATTGCGTGTTAAGCAACGGTGTGTAGCCAAAGACCTGGCTAAAGAAATTTATGCACTTATGACGCTCCTGAAAATGTGTGTCGTCCTCGCTAAGGGACACCGGACAGCCGGGGCAGCGGAAGGTCCAGCGCGAGGTTACCTTAACGGGCGGACGGCGCGTCAGATGGGAAACGAGAAAATTCATGGCGATATCCTCGCAATTCATATACTCATCCACCTTGTCGCGTATGGCCTGCGGCAGGTGATAGGTGTACAGGAACATATAGTACTTGTGAATGAAGGCGGCGCCCGTGAGCACCATGCTCAGCTCACAACTATAGTTTGAGTTGTAGTGCCACATGTTATTGCTGCTAAGATCCCAGGCGTGGTAGCGACCCGGGAAACCGACGACCCGATCGCGATGCTCTCGCCACACGCGAAAGCCAAATAGAATCTCGTCATGCCGCAAATGGGCGTCGTCATCCACTGAGAGAACTGCTTCTGTTTCAATAACATCGAACGGAAGGAAGCGATTGTTGAGAGAGTTGCGTGGGGCTCGCACCACGGCAACAGGCACACCTATATCAGGCCAGCGTAGGTCATCCAAAGGCGGCTTAGGCGAGTTCCACACGACGACCACTTTATGCAGATATGGCAGTCCGTAGAGGCGACCCAACGAGTCCATTAGCACCTGCTCACGTTCGTAGGTAAGGATAACAATGGTGAATTGTTCGCGCGGGTAATTACCACCCAGTGCTTCACTGAATTCCTTTCCAGCTCCGCCAATCCCTTTGCCAATGGGTCGGAAGCCTGTGTGAGAGCCCATGAACTTCGCCTCGGATGGTAGAGCCGGATCAAAGGGAAGTTGCGGATACAAGAAAAATGGATCCATCCAATCATTCCAAGCTTCTTTTGATTGAATGCGAAAAATTGTATAGTTGCGTCGGAAAGATGGACTCGGATACGGCGGCTCAATTGGGCCCAGGGACTCCTCCGGCTCCGTATCCATTCCCACAGGCGGCTCCGATTTCAGAGGTATAAAAGTGTTATTGAAAACGCTCTGGGCAACAACTGGTGGCACCGGACGTGGCGGTATTCCCAGTCGATCGCGCATACTGGCTATTACAGTGTCCACAGTGGCTTGCACCGAGCTAAGATAGCGTTCCCAAATTAAACGGCCCTGGCGACGTAATTGCAGTAAATCCGCATCCTGGACAGCCCGCAACAAAAAATGCAATTCCGTTATGCGTGCCTTTGGCAGTAAAAGTGCAGCACGGCGCCAGTCAATCGTCTCAGCATATGGCAAGCGCAGTTCATCAGCGCCCAGGATGACAGGAACAGCGCCCGAGCGCAGCGCTTCGTAGAGACGCGCCAACATCAGCGTGGAACTAACGCGCTGGCCCAATGGAGGCAAGATCAGCACATATGTAGAGTCCTTGAGTAGCTGCTTGCGCGAAGAGTCAGAGCCGCAAAGCGTCCAATCGCCTAAGGTATCCGCTTCCTGTTGCTCTGTTGCAGGCACGCATTGGAATTGTAGCTGAAAGTGATCCTGTGTGGCGGTGCGTGACATATCATTGAGATGATCGATAATAAAGTCATCCAGCGACTGGACTGCTAATTGCGGGAATTGTGTCGGTCGCAGCTCCCCCTGGAACGTCAGTAAAAACTTTCGTCGAGCTGGCACCATACTGGCGCATTCCTGCCAGACATCGCCACCTGGAGGGCCCAGAATGGGCGGCACAATCAGATCATAGCCGGGTCGGAACTGATCACGTTCAAAAGAGCTCTGTACGATGATGGCACGCATGGTATTCTGCTGAAGCAGCGGATTGGTGCGTGCTGAATTTAAGTCGCGGCGCGCAAGATTCAACAGTACATGATTGCGTCCATCGCCTCCCCAATATGGCAGCTGGTACAGCTTTTGCATATCGATGGGCGAGCTTACGGCGTCATTTGCGGCTGTCGAATGCTGCGGCTGGTGTGCGACCTCTTGTGCTGCATAGCGGTTGTTGCGCAGAAGATCTTGCTCTAAAAGAGCTTCACCCACTAGTACAAGGTAAATACAGGCCAGTTTGGGATCTCGCACGATGTGCGCATTGTAGCCTAAAGTTTGTTTTAGAGTGGTCTTCAAAAAGCCATCGATGTCGTAACCCGCACGTTGCACGTTGTAAACGTCTGGATCGTAAAGGTAGACTGGAAAACCGGAGGTAAGACTGCAGCGCGAATGATCAAAGCAATTGTGCATCTCACAGACAGCTGCAATGCCTTTGCTGACTGCGTTCATCTTGCGCGGAAGAGAGCTGGGTAGTAGTGTGCGTGGCAAGGCTAATTCTGGAGTGTTGCGTTGAACGGCTTCCTGTTGCGCCACCTGAGCCTGCTCCACAGAGATTTTCAGACGCTCAAGTTCAGTCTGTTCCCGTAACAGCTCCTGCTTCAGTTCCTCGATCTTCTGGTTGTACTGGCTGATGTCCGATTGAAGTTTTTGACGACGAGATTCTAGTTCACGCAGCTCCACAGATACGGTGCTCTAAAACGGGTGCACACAATTTAAAATATGTATGAGCCTCTCTCTGCCGAATTCCTTCTACCTTAATTCTCAGCATTTCTTCAATGCGCATCTTCAGATCGCTCGCCCGCATGGCACTAAAATCCTCATAGGCGTCCAGCAGCGGTCGAGTGCGATGCACATCTGTCGGCGGTGTATCCAGCTCAGCCTGGCACAAAGAATGAATGATTATTATGGATCAGCACAGCATATTTAACTCACATTAAGCAACTTGCGATGCGCTAACAAAGGCAGCAGCACCAATAGAAGCAATATTAGGATCGTAAACTTGTAAAGACGACACTGTCGCATCCAGACAGCGCTCATGCTGTATCTTAGATGCGTTGATGCTGCTGGTGGTATGGATTTTGACAGATTTTTATCCATATCGCTGCAGTCCTGTGATATGCTTTGATAGGCATTGGTGCTATCCAGATCAAAGGATAGCGACATTTTGCTGTTTCCACTTTCAGTTGGAAATTATTAGCTTTGCAAATGCAAATTGTTTGCTTTTATCAAAACATTGCACTAAACATAGTTAAAAGCACTGTCTAAATATATCGAACTCATCGATAATTTTTAACTCGCGATTATTATTCTATCGAGCTATCAGACAAGTATACCAATCTTTACAGCTGATTTTGTTTACATTGCAATGCTATTGTTTTAAATAACAGCCCTGTCTACCTATTAAAAATGTGCGCTAGCAAAATGTCGCTTTTGTTTGTTGTGTTAGAGACGTATGGCCCCTTAATATATTTCATTTCAGCAGGTTTTACATAAATGCATGTGCATGTTTTTGGTGATATTTTCTTTATTTTTTGTGCGACATAAAATATATGGTGGCAAAACACACTATTGCCTCTTGCTCTTCCACCAGCACACACACATATGTACGCATATGTAAATATGTATGCAATTCACCAAGCTTGCTGACAAGAATCCAAAACCGCAACTAAAGCCGAAGCTTTGAAATCAGTCGGCCTGCGTACGCGCGCCTAGCTTGTGGCCATCGTCGTGTTTAGTCTTTTGTGTGTGTGTGTGCTTGATTGTTTATTATGCGTAATTTCGTCTTTGACCGGCGGGAGTTTATCTTAGGCAAAGCGTAAACTAATTAAGCACAGAGTGTTATAATTGATCAAACCCAATGAGAAATAACAAAAAATGATTCAAAGTTGCAAGTGCATTTAGCCGGTCAATAAAAATTCATCCAAAAACTTGCCAAATAACTAACGTTTAGAAAGCACCTCAGCAATAAAAGTGAAAATGGGTAAAGTGCCATAGTAAATATTAGTAATTATATTCCAATGTTGTTAGCTAGAGCATTTCATTTTATATTATAAATAAATAAAATTAGCATATGCATACATAAGTAGCTGTACAAACGTATTTAAATGTATATTTTTCCCATTATCCATTATTTTTACCATCTAAAAATGATTTCTACAATACAATTACGATACATCATGTTGTGTAAGTTATGTCAAAGCATCGTGAGGAGGGGGCTGTTGATAAATGACTCTCTAAAATTCCCGGTATTAAACTTGATTTCCTGGTTTCCACTTATCTTAATTATATAAAAGCTGAATAATCGAGGAACTAAAAAGAATTGCATTTATTTCAACTAAAATTTGGAGTTTTACTTAAGGTAATTTTGAAAAAGAACGCCAATCTAAGTCAGGACCTACCCAATGGGTCTTTCATTTGATTTACTAAAACAAGTAGGCATATTAATGAGAACAGATAAGCAAAATTAAATGCAGTCATCAAAAGCCGTTCTAATCAAAATAAATTAATCGACCAAATCCTTCTGGCATGGCTCCTGGCAGCTCCTTTATTTCACTGCCCGAAGCAGCCCAGACTTATTCATGTTGTGATTGTGTCGTAGATTTCTTTGTCGTTGACCCCAAACAATGCGATGAACACACTTTTGGATTTGGAACACACAGCTTATCGTGTGGGGCCTTATTAGGGGCACATTCAATGCATTGAGAACTGTCGGCTGCGTCTGTGGCTCAGGCTGTGTGTGTGTGTGTGCGTGAGCTTCCGTCCATGCGCTTAAAACCAGTCAGCACCGGGAACCCAGAGGGAGCCGAGGGCGTAACTGAGCGACCTTTGTGCGGCTGCAGCACTGCGGCCCACAATTACCTTGTCTAATGACATCCGTTGAGCGTTTTGGCGGATTCAGGCTCGCCGTGCGACTATCGCTTATAGAAGCCGCAAGAAACTGGCTCACAACGCCGTACGGGTACGGGGGCCATGGGTACGGCTAGGGCTACGGCTACGGCGCTTGGTATTTGTATGGTGGTCAAGTTAGTCCGTTAGCTGGACATGCACTGATGTAGGCGCAGAAAGTCGCATAACTTATTTAAATTCAGTTCGCATTGGCCAAACACACGTTGCAGTTCAGTAGAACAATGCATCTGGAATTACGCCTGTCTTATCAGAAATATGAAATCTGGGGTAAGTTGTTGTTTTAATTAGCACTTAGCCTTAAAAAAAAGACAAGTAAAATGGCGGTGTCTGGAATTTATAGCATATGCAAATGAATTTGTCATGCCGTGCATTTTAAGCATTTGCTCGAGTTGCACCTTCATGGTCTTTAAAAAGAGAGCTGCCGCTGGCGTTCTAACTTCAGTTAGCAGTTAGCCGTAGTTACAGCTCAATACTCGCAGAGGCGGAAAAATGCGTAAGTTTCTAATATGAAAATCGAATTGGGAAATATATTAATACTAGCGGGTAACACCCGGCCTTGCTCGTGGCACGTATGTTATAAAATCAATGTTTTCAAAAAGCTTTGAAAATGATTTTGAAACGATCGGACGGCAATCAAACAACTTTTATGCAAATCGGACAAAACTTAAAATTCACCAAAAAAAATCTTTGAAATGCATTTTCCACCGAAGGGATTTAGATTTTGCGACAAATGTGAAACACGTCTCAAATAATTTTTCTTATAGATCTTTGGAAATAAATTTGAACACAAAACGTCACCCACCAAATCTTCGACCCCCATTTGCACCAAGGAGGGATGGATTTTTCAAAAAGTGTGAAACACCCCTCAAATTAATTTGAATATAGATCTTTGAAAATGAGTTTGGGGCCGATCGGATGGTAAACAAAAAACTTTCATACAACCGTTTTCCGCCAATTTACCACTGTTGCGGGTGGAATTTCCCAAATCGCTGAAATACGTATTCATTATGTTCTTATGTAGAGCATTGAAAATAAGTTTGAAGCAAATCGGACACAACTTAAAACTTCGCACAAAAAATCTTTGAGTCGCATTCCACCCGAAAAGTTTGGATTCTGCGAAAAGTATGAAACACGTCTCAAATGATTTTTCTTATAGATCTCTGGAAACGAATTTGAGAGCGAAACGTCACCCACCAAATCTTTGACCTCCATTTCCACCAAGGAGGAATGGATTTTCATAAAAGTGTGAAACACCCCTCAAATTAATTTGAGCATAGATCTTTGAAAATGAGTTTGGGGCCGATCGGATGGTAAACAAAAAACTTTCATACAACCTTTTTCCGCCAATTTACCACTGTTGCGGGTTGAATTCTCCAAATCGCTGAAATTCGTACTTATTAAGTTCTTATGAAGAGCTTTAAAAATAAGTTTGATGCAAATCGGACACAACTTAAAACGCCGCCCAAAAAATCTTTAAATCGCATTCCTCCCGAAGAAGTTTGAATTCTGCGAAAAGTGAGAAACACGTCTCAAATGATTTTTCATATAGATCACTGGAAATGAATTTGAGCGCGAAACGTCACCCACCAAATCTTTGACCTCCATTTCCATCAAGGAGGAATGGATTTTCCGAAAAGTGCGAAACACCCCTCAAATGAATTTGAACAAAGATCTTTGAAAATAAGTTTGGGGCCGATCGGATGGTAAACAAAAAAGTTACATACAAACGTTTTTCGCGATTTTTCCACACTTGCGAGTGAAATTTCCCGAAACCCCGTCTTAACGTGCACCTACATCACATAAGGTAACTACAGTGAAAATTTCAGCTTCCTAGCTCTTACGGTTTGGGCTGTGCGCTGATCACCAATCAGTCAGTCAGTCAGTCAGTCAGTCAGGACAAACAGTTTTATATATAGAGACCGGAATATTTTCAAAAATCCGTTATAAATTGAAGCCCGCTTTTCAGCGAAGCTTTTTCCAATATACATATCTGTCCTTGTTCACTTACCAGCTGATAAGCATGCAAAAAGATAAATAATACATCAATAACAAATAAAACATACCATAAGTGCAAGCGAAAATCAATTGAATTCGTCTATTTGACCGGAATATTTTCAAAAACCCGTTATCAACTGAAGCCCGCTTCTCAGCGAAGCTTTTTCCAATATATCTGTGCTTTTTCGCTTACCAGCTGATAAGCATGTAAGAAGATAAATAAAAAAAAAGAAGTGCGGCACAACCGACTAATGCCCGCCTTAGTGTACTTTTGGCTGGCAAGCGAGAGAGCAGCAAACGTAGCTCGCATATCCCATCCTCATAACGCTTGTATTATGGGCTTAAAGAGATTGTTTAAATGTTTGTCTGACTATTTAACTATTGTTGTTATTCTTTTACACTATGCGTGGCTTAAGTAATCTAAACAAAATGCTAAATGTGTGGTTACGGCAGTGCTTCTTTTTTCCTTTTTTTAAATATTAATATCACGTTTATTTTGGGTCAGTGTGTAAGAGAGAGGCAAAAAAAAGAGAGGGAGAGCGTTAACTTTTGCGAGTGTGTGGGAGAGCTTGAATGTGCTGAAGAACAGCTGTTCCGGCTACACCTGTTGATATGTTGAAAGCTTACCACGGCTTAGCTCTGATGCATTCTTAATTTGCATTGCTTATTATTTTGTTTAGCTTTTGTTAAGTATACGCCATATGCACACGCGCATTAAATTTTGTACCGTCAATATACATGACCGACTGCTTATGTTTTTAATTACATTGTTGCAAAACCTGACAATTAATATTGGATTCCATTTCGTTTCCGTTACGTTTCGCACACTGATTTTCAACATAACAAATGCAAATGTGAGTACATATTAGACCGTAAGAATTAAACGACACAATGCCAGATAGCTGTGCTTTGAATTAAGTCTTACAATGCGTTGACATTGGCATTGACCAATCGTTTAGCACAGGTACAGTACTTACGAGTATGTATATGGGTAAAAAATATGCCCTCTTTGGCTGCTTTATGTGTTATCCGCAACTGATGTATGTATCTTATCAGGAAGCGGAACGAGAGCCCAAAACAAAAAGTGTTTTTTTTATCTGTGACTGGTCTACATTGCAGTGATAATTGTTTTACTGTTCATTCTCTTTACTTTCAGCTCTTTCACTCTCTTTGCTGGTCATCGGCTTCTGTATTCTAAACTTCACATTAGCTTTGATTATACTAAACAAGGACATTGATACTACGCGAGGCATGCTGTATCCGCGTGAGTCAGAGACGCGAGAGGTGCGTGCCCTGGACGGTATCTGGAACTTTGTGCGCTCGGACGAGGCAAACCCTACGCAGGGTATACGTGATGGTTGGTTCAATGATGACTTGAGCAAAAGCAGGCCAACCATTCCTATGCCAGTGCCGGCATCGTACAACGATATCACAACAGAACAGGCTTTGCGTGACCATGTCGGCACAGTTTGGTACGATCGAAAGTTTTTCGTTCCGCGGTCCTGGGGCCAGCACCAGCGAGTGTGGCTGCGCTTTGGCAGTGTCCATTATGAGGCCTTTGTTGTGAGTAATCACCGAGAAAAAACTGACCCCAATGACTATGTATGGCTTGTCTGCTTTGTCTGCAGTGGATCAACGGCCAGTCGGCCATAAAGCATGAGTTGGGACATTTACCCTTTGAGACGGAAGTCACACATTTGCTTAAATATGGTGCAGAAAATCGCATCACCGTTATGTGTGACAATGCGTTGATACAGACGACGGTGCCGCAGGGAAAAATCTCCGAGGTGGCTAACGATGACGGCGTCACCATCATACAAAGCTACACATTTGACTTCTTCAATTATGCGGGCATCCACCGTTCCGTGCATCTGTACACGACACCCAAAACATTCATAGAGGAGGTGGAGATCAAGACGAATCTGTCCGAAGACAACAGCGGTTAGCATCCGATTCAGACCAAAGTAGAACTATAATATCCGCAGCTTATTTTCAGTGGGCACCGTGAATTACAGCATTACCGTGAATGGCACAGCCGCTAATGAAGCGGACAATGCTCTATATGCACGACTGCAGCTGTACAGCCGGGAGGGCGAACTAGTGGCCAATGCCACCTCTAACAGCAAGCTCTTGGGTTCATTGCAAATTGAGAAAGCTAAGCCCTGGTGGCCGTATCTAATGCATCCTCATCCGGGATACCTATACGAGTTAGAGATCAAACTCTATGCAGCCAAGGAGCAGCTTCTAGATGTCTACCGGTTAAATGTGGGCCTTCGGACGCTTAGTTGGACCAACACTACATTCCTTATTAACGGCAAGCCTATCTATTTTCGCGGCTTTGGGCGCCATGAGGATGCCGATGTGCGTGGGAAGGGCCTGGATAATGCTTTGATGACGCGTGACTTTAATCTGCTGAAGTGGATTGGGGCCAATGCTTACCGCACATCGCATTATCCATACTCGGAAGAGTCAATGCAGTTTGCCGATCAACATGGCATTATGATCATCGACGAATGCCCCAGCGTGGATACAGAGTAATAAATATAATAATTATAACCAAAAATTAACGCTTTCTTACATTTTCTCTCTTACAGAAACTTTAATCAAGCGTTGCTGGACAAACATAAATCCTCTCTGGAGCAGCTAGTACATCGCGATCGAAATCATCCCAGCGTTGTGATGTGGTCCATTGCCAATGAGCCCCGCACAGGACAGCTAAATGCCGACACATATTTCCAGTGAGTAATTAGATTGTACAGTTTTCTTGGTCATTGATTATCCTATGCAGCGTTTCTTTTATAGATTTGTGGCCAACTACACACGATCCTTGGATAGCACGAGGCCAATTACAGCGGCTATCGCAGTGCCCTCGAATGATGACAAGGCGGTAAGTAGCTTATCCAAATTTGAATTACATACTTAGCTATTTTTTCATACAGGGTCGCCACCTAGACATAATAAGCTTTAACCGCTATAACGCCTGGTACAGCAACACTGGTCGCTTGGATATGGTCACACAGCGTGTCATCAATGAAGCAACCGCTTGGAACACAAAATATAACAAGCCTGTTATCATGGCGGAGTATGGCGCCGACACGTTGGAGGGCCTACATCTGGTAAAAGGTAGCCAGCTGTCATCTTTTATAGCTAATGCCCATTTCTTATTACAGCAACCCGCTTTTGTATGGTCTGAAGAGTTCCAGACGCAGGTATTCTCGCAGCATTTTAAGGCTTTCGACACGTTGCGGCGCAAAAAGTGGTTCATTGGCGAGTTCGTGTGGAACTTTGCCGATTTCAAAACGGCTCAATGTGGGTAACAATTGACAGGACCGCCGATATAAGCGTACTAAAAGTTTCGATTTCCCCCAGCTTATACACGAGTCGGAGGAAACAAGAAGGGCGTCTTCACGCGTGCACGTCAGCCCAAAGCGGCGGCTCACCTCCTGCGCCAGCGATATTTTGCTCTCGGCCGCGAGGTGGATCAGTGCAGCTTGCCAAGTGACCTGTTCACCTACATTGCTGATGTGGGTTCCAATATAAGTCATGATTCCAGTGATTTATAAAATAATAATTAGAAGGTTTTCATCTTCGACTGTGGAATACTTAATCTGACAACAACATAACAGTACAATATTATACACATAAGTCCACGCGAAAGAAAAGTATTGTAGATATTTATACTGTTTTTATAATCAATGTTTTACTAAAACTGACCACAAATGCATTTCAGTAGCTACACCTTCTACAATGTTATATTCTTTTTAAAATAAAGAGTTTTCGCCTTTGACTCAAATTAAATTTAAATCATGCCAAAGTGTACTCGACTAGAAGCTTTTCTTTAAGAATATATTATATCTATACTGGTTTTGGTGTGGGCTCTGATCAACTAAAGCTTACATATTTTGGTAATTTTTTAGTAACGTTCATAATAATATTTTGATGAACTTATATGAGGCTGACTGGCTCAAAGTAAATGCTGTTTATTATTTGTTATAACCAACAAATAATAAGGTAAGCCATTTGTAATATGCATGTGTATATTCTCACTCACTCTCCATTACGTTGCTTCACCCGTTTGCTCTCTTACATTTCATTGCTACTCTCTTCCGTCTCTCAATCTCTTTGCCAGTCTCTACTGCTATTAATCTCTATCTCTCTTGTTCTAGCAATTCTCTATCTCTTTTATTTTTCCTATCTAACTAACTTGGCCTCGTTGTTTACATACAAGGAAATTTAATTGAACAAGTGTAATGTTAGTTAGAAATGTTCACCGAGAATCTAAGTCGGGCACAAGTTAAGACTAAAATATCTATGAAATTGCCACACAAATATTTTTTAACAAAACTCCAGAGCTCAGCAGTTTGCTTCATTAAAAAAGTAGCTAACCGAACACCACAAAGTTCACAACAGCTGATTTTTATTGTATTTGATACGTTTATCGATGACAATGTTTTTGTTATCGATAAGGCCAAGGCGGAGAACTGTGCTTAAAACTGCTAAATATAAAATATTGCAATGCTGTTGTCTGTAGGTGTTCGACGGTAGTTAATATTTTCTCCCTTCAACAAAGCGTAAATTTATTTTTGTGTTACAGTCATTGCCAACTAGTAAAATGTTTGTTGTCGCGTAAATACTTTGGTCGAGCATAAATGACCGCAGAGTAATGCGGCGATACGACCGATAGAAGCCAAGTATTTATTAATTGACTCACATATGTACGTTTGTTTCTTTTTGATGCCAATATTAATATTTTTTATTATTTTTAATGAATTTTCATTTTTTCTTTAAATAACAGAATTATAGCGCCATAATGCAAAGAAATACATGCTTTTTGATAACTTTATTGAGCTGTTGCCTCTTGGGTGTAGTCGCATCCTGCCCCAAAGAATTTACGAATCTAGAGGAGTCTACGAGTGCGCATCGAAACATATATACTTACACAAATGTGAAGCCACCGAATCCTACAGTGGGTCTGCTCTATCCGCATGAGTCCAATACGAGAGAAGTGCGCTCTCTGGACGGAATATGGAACCTGCTCAGAAGCAATGCCAGCGATCCGCTACAGGGCATACGGGAAAAATGGTACAAGCAAAACCTCAGAGTGACGAATCACGAAATAACTTTAATGCCTGTACCAGCATCTTACAACGACGTGACCGTAGACCAGCGACTACGCGACCATGTGGGAACAGTTTGGTATGAGCGACATTTTTTTGTACCCAGCCGATGGCGTAAGGATCGCATGCGCGTCTGGCTTCGTTTTGGTAGCATTCACTACGAAGCTATTGTTTGGATCAATGGTCATACCACGTTGCGCCATAGTTTTGGTCATCTGCCGTTCGAAGTGGAGATTGGGAGTTTTGTCAATTACGGCAGCGAGAACCGCATCACAATCATGGTAGACAACCGCCTCAACAATCACACCATTCCTCAAGGTCAAGTGCTTAAGCAAGTTAATGACGATGGATTCGCCTATATACAAACATACACATTCGACTTTTTCAACTACGCCGGCATCCATCGTTCAGTACATCTTTATACAACGCCACCAACTTACATAAGCGACGTGGAACTGAAAACGCAGGTCTCCAGAAATCTAATGGGCCGCATTGATTATCGCTTGTGGCTTGGTAATGCTGAAGCCTTGGATGTGAAGTCAACTCATGTGCTAGTACAATTGCGAGACAAAAATGGCAATGTTGCGGCCCATCAAATAAATCGGGATATTCGCAATGGTACTCTGCTTGTACCAAATGTAAAGCCTTGGTGGCCCTATCTAATGAACCCGGATCCAGGATACATGTACACACTGGAATTCCAGTTGATTGCTGAAGGCGGGACTGAAGCAGAGCCAAATAATGAGCTGTTGGACGCCTATCGAATGCCCGTTGGCATTCGCAACCTCAGCTGGAACGACGACGGCTTGTACCTAAATGACAAGCCGCTTTATTTGCGTGGCTTTGGCAAGCACGAAGACTCGGATGTAAGTTGTGTAAAACCGCACAGTATTCACAGCATGAATACCTTTTTATCTGACGGTGCTTATTACAGATTCGTGGTAAGGGCCTGGACAACGCGCTGCTCACGCGCGACTTTAGTCTACTCCAGTGGGTTGGAGCCAATGCCTACCGCACCTCACATTATCCCTACTCGGAGGAATCCATGCAGTTTGCAGATCAGCATGGAATTATGATCATCGACGAGTGCGCTAGTGTTAATACGGATTTGTTCCAGCCACAGCTGCTGCTTAACCACATGTCTTATTTGGAGCAGCTAATTCATCGCGATCGCAACCACGCTTCTGTGATTGCCTGGTCGATAGCGAATGAGCCGCGCACAAAGAAAAAAGCGGCCGAAGCTTATTTTGGGTAAGTTATTAAAAATCGAATTAATAGAAAGTATTAATTTATATGTTACGACAGCGCATTGGCCAACTATACTCGGGGCATTGCCCAAGGACGTCCTCTAACGGCTGCTAGCAATGTGGATAAGCCTTCTGAGTGCATGATGTCACAATTTTTGGACATAATTGGCTTTAATCGTTACAATGCCTGGTATCACAATGCAGGACGCACCGACATGATTGTGCAACCAATGTACGACGAGGCCAAAAATTGGCGAGATTGGTATCAGAAGCCGGTTATTCTGTTTGAGTATGGCGGTGATACCATTGAAGGATATCACACAGTAAGACGTTAGAGAAACATTTAAGCGAGTTGCGCTTTAATCATTTTCAACATAGTTGCCCGCATTTATCTGGTCGGAGGAATATCAGACGACGCTGTTTTCGAAACATTTCAAGGCATTTGATCGATTGCGTGAGCTTAAATGGTTTATTGGCGAATTTGTCTGGAATTTTGCCGATTTCAAGACAGAGCAAGGTAAGTAACTAATATTTTCCTAACTACTAAATAACTAATCTAACTAATTGTTCGTAGCCTTCACGCGTGTAGGGGGCAATAAAAAGGGCGTTTTCACACGTAATCGGCAACCCAAAGATGTAGCGCATCTGTTACGAAAGCGTTACCACGCACTCGCATTAAAACTGGATAACGCCAGCTTGCCTGCTGATCTTTTCGATTACATTATCGACTGGAATTAGTATACATTCGTCTTAACTTATAATATTCCCCAATAGCATATATGTAGCTGGAGATAAAGTTGATGATTTCAATCTTAAACAGGTTTATAGCACTCTTAGTTAAAGCAGAAAGCCAAATATTTATATGGTTTATTCATTTATATCTTTCATTGCACTGAAAGTAAATTCCAGGAAATATAAAAAGCTTTCGAAATTTTTTGAGTAAATACTTCCTCTAACTAGAGCGAATTAAGTAAATACTGATAAATTTGATAGGCAACCGCAGTACAAATTTAAAGAATTGCCATAAGAGTTTGTTGCTGAAATTATTGTTGATTGCGCCTCGATGGGGGAAGCACAACTCTGATAAAAGCAGCGACAGCATTTATTTAAAATGCAATCACACCAAATACTCAAGCGACAATCAGTATTGAAGTTTACTACTGACAAGATGCAAAGCGCTGTCCTGCTGCTCCCATTGTTGATCTGCCTAGGAGCTTATGGCGATTTGTCTACGCCTCTTGTTACGGTCCATATGGAGGACTATATAGCTCAGAACCAGAGACAATACGACGCCAAGCTTAAGATGTGGGAGGATGAACTGGCTATTTTTCGGAAAACCTATACCAGCGAACTACGATCTATTGCGGTGCATGCCGATCAGCTGGAAGCAAAGCTGGAGGAAACGAAAGCACGTCTAAATCCAATTGAGCTTATCGACTCTTGGCACAAGCAATGCGTGCAAAACTACAGCGCAACAATTCCTTTAATTGCCAATGTGCGAACCGCCCTCAGCAGCTGTGCAAATACGGCGCAAAGCAACCTGAACGGTATCCTAACGAATTCACAGAACACCTTTAACAACCTAAAGAACTTCTACAACAGCAACCTTAAAACATTACTGTCCGACTGCGTGAAGCGAAACCCCAATAGCCAACTGAACTACACAATCTGCGTTATGAGTGCAGTAAGTATGAATGAATAGTGATAAAGTGTTACTCGATAGGTTTACCTATTTTGAATATATTTTGATCATAGGATATATACCAAATGAACTCTCTCTTCTAGATTACTACAACCAATACCCATACTATAAACAACCAGAAGAACTTCAACACTTACATGCAACAGGCAAAGTGCGCTGCTGATATACGCACTACACAGACCTGGGAGTGTGCCTTCACCACGGTCTATAGTACTAGCTCATCCCTGGGGGCATCCATTCGTCTTATCGATGATTGTATTGCCAATAAACTGGCTTGCGCTTCCGTATCCTGCGCTAGTAGTTGCACCAATCATATGGTTATCAGCTTTAAGGAGAACGACTTTCTTAACGCTACCATTAAGAATCCGTTTTATGGATTGGATAGTAAGCTAGGTTGCTTAGAAATGAAGTTTAAATATTAAATCCCAAAAATTTAAATGCAATTTTCCTGCATGCGAAGCTGTAATCACTTGGTCTTCGAGTGAAATATATATTTATAATTTCAGTATATGTCCATATATTTATACACTTGGTCGCAAATTGTTAACTTGCTTAATTTCTAATTAATACAAACGTTTGACAAACAGGTTTCTGTTAATATTGCAAATATCTGTTTTATTATGAGCTCGGGTGGTTTTATAAAAAGTGTTTTGTTGTCCATGATCTCTTGGGCGATTAAATTAAACAGAAGCTGTAATGTTCGGAATCACAACAGATAATATTATGCAACTCAATTTGAAAATCTTTGTGGAGCAACAATATTGTGAATAGAATAACAGGCGATCATGTTTGCGAGCACGTTACCACTCGGTAAGGATTTCTACCTGAACTTGGTGCGGTTATACCTGTTTCTGAAGTATATTTAAAAAACTACCACCAAAATGTCTACTATTTCGTTAAGGTTTCCTCGGGTGTCTCTTTTGTGTGTTCTTAAGAAGGCAAACGCTGGCACTTACCCTCTCTTGAAGTGGTTTCATCGCACTACGTCTTGGTAGTTACTAGGGCAACAGCAGATTCAGAACAAGTGTCTTTACTCAACACACCAGACACTGGCTTACCTGAAACGTCTGCTTTATTTTATGTCTGACAAGTCAACATCCCTATTCAAGATCTTCGTTGACATCCGGTAAACAATTATTATTATGTATTTATTATTATGGCTCAATGGGGATCATCAGGTCACTGTTTTTGGTGATTTTTTTGAAGAATTTCAATCTTGACAATTCAGCAGGCGTGCAGAAAAACTACACCCCTTCCAACTAAGCATGCCAAAGAAAACGGAAGTAAGCATGAGACGCTTGAGACGCGAACAATGCTATAAAAAAATTACAGGAAAAAAAAACTCATTTTCTAAGGGCACCTCCTGCAGATAGGGATCTTTTTTAACATAAAATAGGTTTGTTGCCAGCATCGTACAATGTATCTTGACGTTGCGTGGGAACTTTCAGAGAATAACCTTAAATTCTGAACAGGCGAGCAGACAACATTGAAGAGCTAGAATCTCACGCTGAATTACTTAGAAAGATCCTCGATTTGTTGTTGTATTGGTCGGGTCGTGCGATCGTGGAGGGCTTCGAGTTGCTGTCGAGCTCGCCTGTCTTTACACAATCCAAACACATAATTGTGAGCGTGAGAATTTTTCACGCCCTGTGACATACGCCTGCCAGGCGAGCAGAAGCTGACTTATGCGTGACGGAACTTTCTATGCTGTAATAATAAATAAGACTAGAACGGAATTGTAAATATGAGGCCTGTGAAAATATTTATATCTACCTCATGTATACATAGTTTTTGTTTTTGTCTGTCTGCCTGTTATATTGGCAGACAATTTGCGATCATAAGTAAAAATATAAGCAATGGTAGTTTTTAGGGACACATTCCTTTGCTGTCATTGTTAAATAATCCGGATCACTTTTAAATAAAAGTTGGCGTTGCGTGTGTGCTTAAGCACAAAAAGACCCTGATATTTGTCACGATAATTTCATGTTTTTGAATAGGCACACAGAAGTTGACACAAGCACTCGACAAAAAACAACCACCAAGGGCCTCCAGACGTAGTTGACGATGCATGCGTGGAATTTGTATTGAATTACATTCAAGCGAATATACATATAAGGAAGTCGGTCTTGCTTACCTTTCTGAGTGCCAAGGCCCATTTTTCGTCCCATTGAAACGAACAAAGTCAACAAATTTGGAATATGAAAAATTGTAAGCCCAAAAGAGTTAAAAAGTGTAGCAAAGAAACAGGCAAACAGAATAATTACCAGGTTTTACGTTCACGATTCTGAATGTGAACTATAGAAAGACGAATCAATACCAGCAGCTAGATGCTGTGGACCTGTTCGAAATCAATTAGAAAAGTAAACAAAAAATACATCAATCAACCGTTTCCCATCATCCTAGGTATTAGTGGCCCGGGCGGTAGGTTGAGGATTCAAAATGCAATCAAACCTAACGAATAAACAGGTGCCGAGAATCTTGCCGAAGGTTTAAACATGAGTTGAGATTTTTATGCGTGCTGAAATTTCAGTAGAAAAAAGAATTTGAGACAAACCAGCTTGTTTATAAAACTATAGCCAATTTTCTGCTAGCCTATTCGAATGGACCAGTTTAAAGCTGACATTTTCATTCACTTTGCGGTTTTTTGTGCGAGAAAGTTTTAATTATTTATTCTTCCTTAGTACATATCAGTTGAGAATAAATATAGCAGTTAGTCTTCACAAATCGTTTATAATATTAAATATATGCAAATAATACAAACAGCACTACGGCAGAAACCCTGAATCAATGAAGCGTGACCTCAACGATGAAAGGAATAGGATTACAGCATTGCTAAAATGAGATACGTTTACGATTTTTAAGATCACAACAAGACAATCTGTGAAACTCGTATTTTATTATCCCCAGCAGGTGGCTGGCTCTAAGCCAACAGATAATGAGACATTTGTTTCAAGATTTCAGTGGCTTCTAAGTTATGCAGGCCTGTTAGAAATAGGAACACGAAAACAAACAAAAAACTCACATTTTTTAGTTTTCCACAATGAGGAAAGAGCTCAAGAAAAGATGTTTGTCTGCATCTGCTGGGACAAAAATAGGTTATGGCAGGTAGCAAACTATCTAGAAAAATCTAAGTCGGCCACCCACTTTTATTACTTACTGTGCTCCTGTTAACAATAAATAAGCTAAACAAACAACCAATTTAGGAAATTAAGCACATTTTTGGTCAACAAATTGTAACAGCACTGCAGCAATATACCTTAAAATCAAAATGCGCATCATGAGTAGAAAACATAATATGAGTTAACTATACATACATATGCACATATGTATGCAGCCGAAAATGTTCCAAGATGCCACAATGTAAACTCGAGTAAGTCTCTTGTTGAAAAATCTGTTCGCCTCGGCGAATGTTACACTTGGCTTCACATGAGCAACAATGATTCATTGTGATGCTGCACCCAGTCCACAGCTTGTCATCTCATTTTTATATTTTGTTTGTCTAATTATTGACTTTCATGGGCGCCTGCTATAGCTTAAGGCTGTGGCTTCAAATTTCATAACCGATCTAGCAGTGCCAATATTGGGGTCTCTATCGTTAAGGAATTCGATTTTTGTTAAGCGCGTTGTTTGATTACTTTGGCAAGTATTTAGTTTTTCATAGGAAAAAATCTGGCCTCTGTTAAGCAAAAATTGATTATTTATAAAAACAATTTGTTTGGTTTGACTATCTGATTTGGATCATATTTGTAATAACTAAAGCAAAACATATAAATATTTATAATAGTTATATTTTCTTGTTTGTTTTTAACTTAAAACGTTTATTTATTGAGTAAGATGAAAGCAAATATGTTAGATTCCTAAAAAAACAGTACTTTGGCCGAGGCCGCTCAGCAACCAAGCGTAGCCGTGATCGTCTAGTGGTTAGGACCCCACGTTGTGGCCGTGGTAACCCAGGTTCGAATCCTGGTCACGGCAGTGCTGTAAACGCATTGTCACGGAGCCTGGTTGTACTTTTTGTTACGAAAATAAATGCATTATTTTAATTTCCATCTAAAAACATAAGTCATCAAAGTTGTTTTTTTCACCAACCCAACCACTTATTAAACCTTCATTATTTACAATAGGAAATCACTACAAATGAAACACACCCGCTAAGTACCCACGAAAAAATTTAATAATTGTCAAAGTATGACAAATTTTAAATAAAATGGTTTGTGTATACAAATGTATAATACAAACTGTTTTTTGACTCCAGTCATTACGATATTACTACATAATTATATATTGTGCTTTAAATTGTCGCTGTTCTAAGCCTAAATTTTATACATACATACAATATTTTACATAAACTAGCGTTGTAAATCCATGCAAACATGAAATTGTTCCACTTAAGCGCAGCACAAGCGCCATCTATTTTTCAATTATGGTTGTCTAATTTTCACTAAAAGTGTTTGTGTCATTGCTTGTAAATTAGCTGCGACTTTATAAAATCAAACTGCACTCAATAGCCATCTACCTTTTGTCTGTGTTTCACGTATGCACAAATGTGTATGTATGTGATTGATTGTAAGACTAAATTTTAGTCGGCCCGACAACATAACCGATGTAGCCGTGATCGTCTAGTGGTTAGGACCCCACGTTGTGGCCGTGGTAACCCAGGTTCGAATCCTGGTCACGGCAATGCTGCAATATGCATTGTCACGGAATCGGATAATTTTTTATTATATTAAAATATATAATAATAATATACATTCTAAATTAGTCTCCTACAAATTTAGTATATATAAATAAATGCAGATATTTTATCCCACATAATATTAATAATAACTGTGTAGACTAGTGTTAATTAAAGTGGGTCAAAAGACGACAACATTTTTAAATATCTTTGTGCCCGCTTGATAAAGCCCATATCGATTTAGTTTAACTGTATCTTGATTCTTTCTCTTCCGTTTTTGGCAAAGCGTTGTTCAGTGGATGTAGTAATATATTTTTGTTGCTTAAATTAAAGAAAACTCTGTGAACTTTATCTAGTTAAATAATATTTAACTTATCACTCGAGGCTTGTTGAATGTATTCAAATCTACTTGACCTTCCCCAAAGACTAGACTAGTCTATCTCCACCCCTTCCCTACACTTAACAGACACAAAGATACATGCAATACTTTTTTTTTACCAAAAGAAATGTAATTATATCCCAAAAAGCGGGCAGATTTGAAATAAAAACAATAATAATGTTAAAAAGAAAAAATACTAGTTATAATTTATAGAAAGATATTAAACATTAAAACTTGAAAAAAAAAAGTTTGTATGTTTTGGATTTGTTTAGTTATTTGGACAACGGCTTTCAACAGCCAGACGTAGCCGTGATCGTCTAGTGGTTAGGACCCCACGTTGTGGCCGTGGTAACCCAGGTTCGAATCCTGGTCACGGCAGTGATGTAATTCACTGTCACCGAGTCGAGGCTTATTTTATAAATTTGAATTCATTTTTACTTTATTGGAGTCTGCACTGCGCATCTCGTGCAAGTACTAAAAAATCGCAGAAAAGTAGCTATTATTTGTTAAAACTAGTTTTATTTAGCATATGCATTATTAGTTGTATATTTAGGGTTTTGATATTTACAATTGCCGTTTTGCATAACATACATACGATATTTTCATATAAATATTTTTCTAATTATAATAGACTATTCCTCGTAATTAAAACAGTGGCATAAAGCTTTATCATTTTGCATCTATACGTCGAATTGCGTTCGAATTAGTGAAACTGTGGTATGCTCTTACAATGAACTCACATTTAGAAATCAACCATGCACACCCGCGGAATGTGTAAAAAAAAAATATAAATTGTATTACAAGAAGTTTTATATAACTGCAAGTTTTCTTTTCAAAAAATACACAAAATAAAACGCCTAAAATTACTGAAAACAAATACGGGATTTTCCATCTGAAACAAAAGCTTTAAAAGCTATCTTCACATTGGCTGCTCATTGCTGCCCATAGAGCAGTTCAGAGCCGGGCGGTATGGTGCTGGGATCGACATTGGCATTAAAGTAGTTTGCGGGCGTGGCAACAGCTGGAAATACACTCTCAGCAGACTGTTGCTGTGGTTGTTGATCCTGCGGCGCCTGCTGTAAAGTTATATTATAGGGGTTCTGCACGTATTCCTCATAAATGTCAGAAGCATTGCCAGTATGTACTTCTGGCGCCTCGTAGACTGGTGCGAAGCTGTGCACAATGGATGCGTTCGGCATCTTGGGCAGCGATGGATATGCATTAGAAGCCAAGAGATGGCTAAGGGGTACATTACTTGGTGTATGTGTATGTGTCTGCTGCGTCTGGTACTGCTGATATTGGAATTGCTGATGCAGGGCCTGCTGATGCTCGACTGAATTTGGCGGCGTAGCTGGCAGCTCAATAGCGTAGCTATTACTGCTGACGATGGGCGTAGAAATGGGCACTTCCGCACTGTAAACGGGTGTTGTGTACGTATTGGTGTGAGCTCCAGCCGCTGCAGCTGCCTCATTGATCAGATCGGGCAGTAATGTGTTATTGTTAATGAGAGACTCCAGTTCTGCAGGCTGTTGCGGAGGAACCAATATCGGCTATATCGGGAGCATGCAAAGTTAAGATAAGTAGGAAACAATATTAAGGGCAGAGACAAGTTTACCTGAGCAAATGTAAAGCTGGGCGCTTGTTGCAGTGCCTCCGTCGGTGGCGGCTGAAGAATGATGCTGCGTCGTGGCGATTCAACAGGTGAGACCAACGAGGGTGTGGCAACAACACCAGGCACAAGAGCAGCAATATCGGCAACAGTATTGAAACTCGGCTCCGTGTGCTGCTGTACTTGGCTAGGCAGAACGGCCGCAGACAACATCTGTTGATCGGTTGCAGTGTTTGTCAATGTTTGGGCTCTTTTGCCTGCAAAACGAGCAGTTAAGAGATTTAAATTAATTGATAACTAAATAAATTAGGAACTAAAACATCAATCTAAAGGCACAAACTAAATAACATTTCATTTCATCTTCTTGGCCAAACCCTTCAGCAACTTAAACTTAAAACGAAAACGGGCCCAGGGTTTCTTCTGCCTCTTAATTTGCACTGGAACATTGGTAAAACCGACACTTTTGGCTGTGGCCGTCGAGAACGTTGCCAGGTCGTAGCTGCGCACCGGCAAGGGCAATGACATGGAATGTTCATAAGTGATTTTTGTTATGTCCAGCGAAATGGCTGGCGAGACCAAATCTGCAGGCGGACAGGTACCGGAAATTAAAACGGGGTGGCCCCTTAAGGCTTGGCTTGACATTCGACTAAACACCCGACGCACCTTCATCGTGAAACAGCTCCGTTTTCAGATTTGGCAGAAACTCGCCAATGCGCCGCCATGTAAGATCCCATAAAGCTTGCTGAAGTGTACCGTCCTGATTATGAAACACGCGCACAGAGTGCATCACCAGTAGCATGTTTTTAAGAATCTCCTGCATCTGTTCTGAGAGCGTGTCAGAGCCCACCTTCATGAATCTTTCAATGTAGTCCAATATGTCGAGCCACAGCTCGTTGAAGGTTGCTCCTAACTCAATAAGCGTCGTCAGGTGCTGTAAAAACATTTTGGACATAATAGTGGCGGTGCGTATGCGTGACTCCTCCAACAGAGAGCCTTCCAGCTGACTGTTAGCAACGCTGTCCGGCAATAGTTCATTCAGTAGCGGGAACAGGACATGCTGGAAGCAGGAGCACCATTCAGCGCCCGACAGCGTCTGTAAATCATGCACCAACAACGCACGTTGCTGGAGACAGGATATTGCATGCGTGCGCACCTCACGCCGGCGATCCATGGCAAGCCTTGCGATACCCTGCAGCAGCGGACACCAACCGGACGTCCACAGCGCCGCCGATTGTGGCACCGTGCAACCCTCTTCAGCCCACCAGCGAAAGATCTGTGCGGTGCGCGTGTACAATGTGTACATGAGGTCCAGTAACTGAATCGACAACTGTTCGTAGCGCTGTGCCAAATCTTCCTGTTCCGCAGCATTTGGAGGATGATTTTCGCCGATATCGCCAACCATCGAATTTAGGTTACCAGTGGACGTAGACTTAACAACACCTGGTTCACGTCTGCTTTCCTGCCGCTTTTTTAAGTTACGTTTTTTGACATTGACTTCAAATTTTCGACGCTGGTGTATGCCACCATCTCTGCACGCTTCCACAAAGATCCGAATGCAACGCACACAAGCCTCAAAGTTGTATGGCGTGATGTGAGCCACACTGCGCACGATGAAAGCAAGAGAATCCCAGCACTTAAACAGCGCAAAGGGCGCATGGTCTAGTAGCTGGCAGTTAAACATCAGTGTGCTTACAGGTGCGACGGAACTGGGTGGCGACTGCGGCCTATAAAAAAAATTAAAAATTTTAAACATACGGGTAAAAGGATGAGTAAAAGTAAAACATACCGAGATGCTGTGGTCAACTCGCTATCCTTGCCAACCAGTATCCAGTTCTCAGTGCTGGGACTTGACGTGGGGGGTGCTGCACTCGCCGATTTACTCAATTCCGAGTCAGATGTATATCCGCGCTCGAGAGACGCAGCTACATCGTCTTCGCTACTTAACGCGCCATCTGATGTGACGTTTCCATTGGGCGGAAGTGGTAATTGCAGTCCAACTTCAAAGTTAGGCGGAACAGCTCCAGCGCCGACACACTCCAACAAATTAAAAATAATCTGCCAGTCTTGCTCTGAATGAATGTTTTGGGCAGAGGTCTTAAGCAGCTCGTAGATGCCAATTGAAATTTGCTTCGAGATCCGCAATAGCAGTGCCGGCTGCAGTGATAACAGCTTCTTGAGCGACTGCAGCACAACGGGGCACAGCTCCTCATTGCGCATCAGATAGATGGCTAGCTTCAGCACAGCCACAATGCAACGATTAAGTAAATAATCATAGCCGTTCTGAGCACTGGCATGCAGTAGATGGAACATTTGATCACGCACAGCTGGCCACAGAGGAATCATGCGATCCCGATTATGAACCACAATTTTTACAAGAAACTCCATCCAAAATACGGTTATATCTTCTGCATAGGGCTGAGCAGAGGATTTATGTGTTTCTGGTACCTTCAATAGAGACAGTACGCATCTAAGAAGCTCCTTTAACGACTCCAGCTGCACAAATTTTGACTCCTGCAGCATTTGCTCTAGCTGACACTCCTTAATGCACTTCCGGCCATGTTTAATAAAGTCCTGCTCTTCATAGGTTGGCTCACGCTGGCCTTCAGAGCTGATAAAAGAGTAGAGGCTGGAGAACAGACCCGACTCCTGCTTCTCTCGGGGTTTCTCCAATATCAACATAGCCTTACCATTAGGCTCGCAGAAATCCTCTACTTCGATAAGCGTTTTGGGTAGAAGTTTTAGACGAAACAGCTGAAGAAACAGATCCAAAATGTGCTTCCAGCTGTCGCGCAGACTGTCACCATAGCCGTGTACTAGGAGAAACACAGTTCGCATTGCCGCTTGCGCCTTAGCATTTAGACCAAAATTAACTGCCAGTTGGATTTCATTGTTGGCTGGCACTGGCTCATGTTGCTCTACGCTGCTCAACAAAGTTGTGAATTTGCACAGGGTCAATATAAGCGCATCAAAGTCCGCATGTAGATTATAATGGGCCGATATAGCTGCCGATTTACTAAATCCTGCAAAAAGTACGTTTTAGAACATTTCAGTGAATTGTCCACTATATATTTGCCGGGTATTTTTTACCTGCTAGTGTTCGCTGATAGCCCGTCTCGGTGCTCTTGTCAAACATAAAGCTGAGGGCACTTAGTGAGGCGCCCCATACAATATTGAAGATTTGTACATCGTAGGCAGCATCGTTTACGTAGTGAAAGTAACCGTCGTGGGTAGCGCCACGACGCAACAACATCTTCCACAAATAATTTTCTCGGACGAGACCAGTCTGCTCGGCCGGCATAACAATCTCTTCGTTTCTGAGGAAATAAATAGTAAATAGAATAATATTTGAATTAACGTTGAACTTCTGCTCACTTGATGCCATTAAAGATCTGCGCTAGCATTTCCTGATCAAAATCCTGTCCACCATTTAAGCCTCGTAAATTCTTTGTAAAGTCCTCTAGGGTCATAGGTACATTAAGACGCTTAGCATTTGAATTGTGCTGATCCATGTTTAGCATGATGATGGCATAGGCCAAACGGAAGGCGGCATCTGTATTGGCAAAGGGCTCCTTGTTTTGATTCTGTAAACCAAGTCACAGTTCATAAAAGTTGTTGAATAGACGACACATAATCAAACTTAGAAAATGTTATAGTTTTATCATGAAAAGTATTTGTACGTCTCTCTAAACATAGCTAGGTCAAGTAATTTAAAAACCTGGAACCACTAGTTGTGTGTCCTTCCAATTACAAAAAAAAATAAGTCCATAAAATAAAAAATATATTTGTAAAGTATACTCACATGCCAATGATCTGAAAAGTGCTCCAAGACGAGGAATATCAACGGAGCCTCACCAGGTAAGCGGAAAGTCTCCAAGTAGAGACGCAGAGCTTGATCAACGCGAAGCCCAGTGAAGTCAAAAGAGTCCACAAAATTGATAAGAATTTTAGAGTCCACGTTTTTCTTTTTGGAGATGTATTCCCCAATCATTTTCTTGTCCAGCCCTGGATTCTCGCGCAGGAAAAGTGCTACTTGCATGGGATCAAGCTTAGCATTTAGAATGCCATGCTCTTGCAGGTACTGAATGCCTTTGTCGGGTCGCTGATTAAACCACTCCGTTCCCTTGGACAATAGACGCTTCTTTTCCTTAACGCTGGCCAGCTGTTCACTTGTAATATTGCCACCCTCGCCTCCTGATTGTAGTCGTAAACGGTGTGAGCTATTGTTGATAAAGCTCGCTATGTTTTCTACATGCTCCTCTCCATTGTCAATTACTATGCCCTCAAGACCGCTGTTATGACGCGAATGACGGCTGCCAACAACACCTGTCGTAGGAGTCTGCGCAAGAGCGTTGTTAGCGCTGTTGTTGCTTTTCGCAGCAGCACAATTATATTCGATGCAATCGATGACACTGATCAGGGTATCCATGGAGATGATGTGCGTGCTGTAGACTGCATTAGTGGCCGAGAGCGTGTACTTGCTCAGCATATTAGTAAGACTCTCGAACATGTCCGTACAGTACAGATCGCAGTCGTAATTGATGTAGAGTTCGGTGACAAAGCCGGGAATACGCCACAGCTGTAACAGATTGTCTAGCGCCAGTTCGCGCATCTCGTAAGGAGTTTTCGGATTATCACTCGCTATAATTTCGCTTAATTTCTTAAGATAGCACTCCAGCTGAAACTTTAGGTGTCCGCGCAGCGATTCAAAAAGTAAAAAGCAAAGTTGCAAATCAGCAGCAAAGATGCTGAGGCGCTCTGAGCTAAGGAGCTATTGAAGAGAAAAGTTATTATTAATATAAAATAATTGTGAATATTTTGCCAGATATATGCAAAGTCCTAGATTTGTTATTCATGGTTAACTCACCGATATTAGGTTTCTACACAAATCATCTTTGACCAGGTCTAACAGTGCCTCATATTTTCCAATGTTATCGGCAGCCACCTCAAAGGCAACGGTAAGCAGACTCAGACCAGTATGCATCATGCTGTCCGAGTTTTGTTTATCCAGCGGATTGCATAGTATGATAAGAAACCGGAACAGTTCCTGAATAAAGGGTAGCCCATACGGCGTGAGTGTTGCTGACAAATCGGCTGTATTCTGCGTAGACGATTGCTGGGTAAATCGCACGCCTACCGAATTGATGTATTCGCTGCTGTTGGCATCAATTAGTGCGGTAGTCGTGCCCAGTGTAGGCTCCTCTTCGCCATCAGTTGGCTCCTCAGGTTTTGTGATGTCCACCTGTATTGATGGCACATCTATTTGAGCATTGCTTACATTACCAGGATCGCCAGCATGGTTAACAGCTGTTGTTGTGGTGGGAGTTTGCGCGATCTTGCCCTGCATATCAAGAATATTGCCTACTGGAGAAGCAGGAGTCGTAGCAAGTATGGGCGCCTTCAAATGAGTGGGCACCACTAGCGTGCTCTGCGGCGTTTGGGGCGGCTCCTCGGTTGTAGATGACTTGCGTTGCACAGCTAAAGCCGACTGTGTCTTGGACTTATTTTTCTCTGTGGATGCACCAGCGGCTTCATAAATAGTAAAGCGCTTCTGCAGTACAGTGTCGCCGCAGTCTTCCGTAAACTGTGGTAGGCGCATGAAGAACAGCAACACCATGTCTTTCAGTGATTGCTCTGCGGAGCGGCGTAGCAATTCGCTAAGGCGCGGCTCAAAGCAGATTTTAAAACAGCTGAGCATCACCTCACACATTGACTCATTGCTAACGGCGACTCCCTCTGGACTACGGATCAGAGCATGTAATACTTCGATGAAACGCATAAATGTCACACTATCCGAGGACTGATCAGTGCCCATAAAGCGGGCATGCGTGACAGCATACGCAATCTTCTCTACAATCACAGCCAGATTTGGTGTTGTGGGATCTAAATTGCAGAAACGTGTTTAATTATTAGAATGAATGAAAATTTGACTTATCGAAAGTGTTTATTATTATTTTATTTTATCATAAATAAAATACTGAAGTAGTCCAAATTTAAATTATTGAAAAATTGTAATTAAAATATTTTTCTTACCAATCAGGCCATATGACAAGAATTTGGTGACCGAGGCTAAAGCGAGACTCGTTAATGGTCCTGTAGTCTCCGCTGTGCGAATTACCTCCAAAAAGGGGGCCAAAAACACATTCGGTTCAATCAAACGTAAATCCTCAATGCGGTTCAGCACCTGCTTCAGATCGATGAACAGTTTCAGCAAGGCGTCCTTTTCATCATCCTGCAATATTATTAAGTTGCCAATGTTCTTTGTATATACATATATATATATATATAGATATGTCAGGAACTTACCACGTAGGTTGTTGCATTCCAACGCGTACCACGTCTCATGGCTGTCATGAGTGTGGCCATTTCACCGCGCACCACATAAATACCGTTGCCTGGCAGTGACATTGTGTCCAGATTCAATAATTGCACCTTATTGGCTTCCACCTTTTAGAATTTGGCACGCAACGAACAAATTGTTGAAAACCCCGCTGCTGCAGTTCTTTTCTCACATATGTACATACATATGTTTTACTGCCACTTAGACCCAGCAAAGCTCACATACACGCTCATACACACATACACGCGCCAAATGTGTACGTTTAATTAAACATTTTAATAATACGAAATTTGTCAATAATTTGTTTTCGACTACGTTTTTGGTGACGTTTACGACGTGTATGTTCTGCCTTAGTTTATTCAGAAGCAACCCTGCCAGATTTGTTGATATGTGGTCGATATATCGATATTGTTGGTATTTTTGATTTCAATTTTCGATACCATAATAAAACCACCGACGTATTTTTAAAACAAGTGTCTTTAAACCGCTTCTTCAATTATCTTGCTACGGACGACAAATTATTATTCAACACAGTTTTGATGAATGAATTATTCATTATACTTATAAAGTTTCAGTAGGACAGTTACTTAAATTCTCAATTATGTTAGTATGATTTACTCCCGTTGCTGTACATCGCCGTTGGTGTATTTTCAGATTGCATTTCTGGGTGAATGCCTTCAAACAGTGAGCGCATTGGTGAGGACGTTCTCCTTTGTGTCCGCGGATATGTGTTTGGAGTATGTGGTTTAATCCAAAAGCCTTTGAACATTGGGGACACTGATATGGCCGTTCGCCCTTGTGTCTGCGAATATGCGCCGTAAGATAGGGATTTTGGGTAAATGATTTCGGACAATGCGGGCATTTAAATGGTCGTTCGCCGGTATGCACACGTATGTGCTCGGCCAGAAGATGATTTAAAGAAAAGGCCTTTGAACAGTGTGGGCACTTAAAAGGTTGACCTGTGTGAGTGCAGACGTGTCGCTTAAGATGGTGACTCTGGGCAAAGTCCTTTGGACAGTGGGGACACTTATATGGGCGTTTACCCATGTGTCCAGATATGTGTCTCTTGAGATGTTGGTTTTGAGCAAAGGCCTTTGGGCAGTGAGGGCATTTATATGGACGATCGATACTACTTGGCATGTCTTTGCCGCCATTCTCATCCATGCAACTGTGGGACATATAACCAGATAAAATAATAAAGTCAATAGTTAGGTGTATTTGCACAATTCGTACTTCAGTTCCCCTTGCTGGGTGTCCTGGTTTTCTATGGTCTTGCTTCTCAATTCATTCTCTATCTTGATGGATCCCAAATCCATTTTGCGGATATCAAGTCGATCTCGTGTTCTTAAATTGACGTTGGTTTCTTTACCGTCATCTTCCTCCATCTTTAAGCAACGCGTTTCCATGCTTTTGAGTCTATCTTCAATGGTTGTGGCAAGTACCTCACCGGTACTGGATATTTGTCTCCTTATTGTCGCCGAGCGTTCATTCTTACCCATTTCTGCGCTAGTGTTTCGCCGCTCACTAAGAAGCTGGCAAAAGAAATGGTAAGTGTGATTGCACAAACGCCTAAACTTAAATGCTTGCTGGGCGTCTATAACGCAGCGCATGCAAATTTTTTTTGGTAGTTCATCTTCAAGCTTGACTTCGCAGTTGGTGCATTCGTTAAGTATGTCATCAAGTCTAGTACTGCCTATCCCTATCTCGTCTTCCATTACTGCAACTTCAGGGCTCCACTCAAATATATTAATTAATTTTACAGAATGGGCACTTTCTCTAGCCATACAAACTCGGCACACGTCCATATCTTCCATCACAATGTGTATAAACAATTTTTGTGTTAGCGGAATTATAAACAGTGTTGATAATTGGTAAATTCAATAACAGCTTACATTTACTATCGATTTTATCGATAAGTTTCATTAACTGGCGTTATTTCAGACATATGTTAAGGTGTAGACGCTGTAATATAACATAAATGATTTAATTTACATTTTTCACGGCGACCACGCGGTTGTGTTTAGAGATAACAATTCATTTTACGTAATTTTTATGCTGGACTGATTTGCTGTCCAATGCACGCTCGTTAGTTTAATAACCAAATCTTTCGGGTGCTATTTTTCATGGACAAAGAGTAAATTTACAATCTTACCAAAGTGCTGCACTAATTCCTGGTGCACCATTTTCAATAAATTGTTAAACACACATTCACGCTTAAGTTGAACAACAATTAAGTTGAAATTTATTTTATAAAACTATGCTGGAATGATTTGCTGTCCAATGCACGCTCGTTAGATTAGTAACCAAATCTTCCGGGTGCTATTTTTCATGGACAAAGAGTAATTTAACAATCTTACCAAAGTGCTGCACTAATTCCTGGTGCAACACTCTTATTAAATTGTTAAACACACATTCATGTTTAAGTTGAACAACCATTAAGTTAGTAGTTATGCGTTCAACAGTAAATTGTCGCCGATAGATTAGTAGGCGACAGTTATGCAAGGCAACGCTAGAATAAGCAGACGACATTTAATAATGCATTGGCCGATAAACTCTACGGCCTTTGCGTTTTGAGGTGTCGCCACAAGTTTTAAAATAGGGTTATATGTATTTTTATTAAGAGTAACATTACAGACTATATTTATACGTTAGATTATGGCTTATTATAATGGGAGCTGCGTTTATGCTAATGTCTGCGATGCTCCGAGCAAACTCTTCAAATTTTCATCTTGAAACAGGGCTGTTTTTACGGCCAGAAGTAACTGTGAGTCAATAGTTTGGCTATGCTGCTGAACCAGGGGTAGTCGACTGAGACGTTTGGCCAACTCGGCCAGCTTGGGCTGTTGCTGCAGAAACTGGTCCAGTACCTGGGGCGAAATGTTGGCCATCTGCGCGAGCTGCTGAACATGCGGCGCCACTTGATCGGGTGATGGCATCCTTGTCTGTTTAGGTGTGTTTAGGTGCGGCGGCCTTAAGTCGTGTGTGGATCGATTTGAATTCGTGGTGTTGTTGGTTAAAGTTGAAATAGACGTAGACTTCACGGGTTGCGACATCAATACGGAGCGTAATGGAATGGGAAAGTGATAAGGTAATGGCTGTCGTACGAGTACGGGACGCATAGCTGTCCCATGTCTCTGCTGAGTTGGCTGAACTGGTGGCATCAACACACGCTTGTACGACAAAGGTCTAAGTGTTGTACTACTACCCGACCACAAACTGTATTGTTTCATAAATTCATTTAGCCTCTGCATTGAACTACCCTGCTCCAATTCCGACTTTGATGGCTTCATTTTTGTTGGTATATTTAGCTTGGAGGTCGTCTCATCGTAGTCAACATCTATATCTGCATTGTTATCAACATTGTCATTTTCGCTGTTTTTCTCTCGAGGCGTGTTATCGTTGGCGGTTAGCTCGTAGTCAAACGATTCCAAGTAAGTCTTCATCAGTTCTATTCCCTGATCATTAGACATCAGAATGCGAACGTATTTTATGGTTTCGTCGGCGTTGCCCGTGCCCAGCAGCTTACCAAGCTCACTGATGCTGGGCAGCTGATCCATGCGCTTTAGGCCCAGCCTAGTGCGTGCAATATGGAGCAAATCACTGGGATACTCGTCGACTACCATCGGTGCTGTTGTTTTCGCTGTTGGGTTACCCGTGCTTGGATTGATAAGTTTATAGACGGGTATATTGTAATAAAGTGCATTTTGAAGCTTTGAATTCAACCTAGGCTTGTCAGTGTCTGCAATTATTTCACTGTGTTGCCCGTAGAACTTTGGCCCATGGGACAAACGTCCGTTAATGCACTGCAGCAAGGCCAACTGCAAGACGAATTTCAGTAACCGGGCGAACATTCTGCTCGATTCGACGTTTAATGAACAACTAATAAAATATCACTGATCCCATATTCCAAAAAGCCTTGTAAAAACTATTTGCTTTACTATTCGTGTGTCGCCCTAGCTTCGTGGAATTTTCTTTATTTTCTTTCCACGAATGTTCGAGTTCATAGATGACGATTTTCTACCTGCTGTGTCTTAGAAAATCTCAGTTTCCTTTGAATTTTCGCCGAGACCGTCAGTAGGTACCTGCATTATTACCTAAATACGTTTACCTTTTTAGAAATTTCATTATATAGGCATTTATTTACATTGATTTATGCGATCAAAATACACGCAGCTTTCTTCGGTATTTTTTTTTTAGCAATCTCATGTTGATATGATAAAAATAAATGCTATTCATTTGTTATGTATTACACAATTAATTAGTATGGGTATTACCTACCAAATTCAAACACATCACAATTTGAAAACAAACCAAATAGTTTAATAACTTTAAAGCTCTTAAATTCGCCATCCAGCGACAACGTCTGTGGTGAAAATGTGTTGTACACTGAAGGGCCTAATAGCACTTAAAAACTAGGGAATCGCTGGCTATAATTAGTAGTGAACTTTAATTTTGCCAACTCTTAGAAAATTCCCTGTACATAGGGGAACTTATATGTATTTACCAAGTAACGTACATGAATTTTGCACTTGAGACAAATTTGCAAATAATGTAAGGTATGCTATGTAAATGGAGTGTTTTCAGCAAGTACATAGCATAGGATTTCCGCTTGCATAACTGCTATCAGCATTTCGACACGCCAACTAGAGCGGGGCGTATGCAACGTTCCTGCAGTTTGTAACCGAGTTTAGTAACCTCCACAACTGTATTGGCCTCGACTGTAGCGTCGTCCTTTTGAAACAATGCCTCGTGCATATTTGGATCAAATTTCTGATTGATGGGATCTATAGGCTCTAAACCATGACGCTTGAACACCTGTAGAAGCGCTGCGCGTGTCATGGTTAGTCCCTCGAATAAGTTCTTCAGATCAGCATTGCCGTTAAGCTAAGTATGTGAACCAAAAGCATTGAGTTGGAAGGATATGCTACGGATATAAGCTAAATATAACATACTTTTTCCTTAGGTACTGCTTGAGTTGCATGACCTAGTGTATCGGCGACTTCAAGTAGATCCTTACAAAAGCTTTGTATGCCAAAGATTTTGGCATCGTTAATTTGTTTGTTTAGTCGTGTGCGCATATTCTCGCTATCAGCCAGCGCGCGCTTGTATTTGTCTAGAAGTTCGCTGTTTTGTTCTTTTGCTGCCGCCAATTCTTGCGTCAGCCGCTCGATTTCCGGAGATAGCGTCTTTTTTTGTTCCGCCGCTGCGGTGTCATCCCCCACCGTTTGCTGCTGCTTTTCTGTGCTATATCCGCGCAACAATTGTGGTTGGGAGTGGCGCAGTAAGTTGCTGGGATTTGGTACAAAAAGAAAGCATGATAACGTGCGTCCAACTGAATATAATTACGTCACAGAAAGAGACACATGCGGTACATTGCAACGGCGCTTACCTCAGACGTTTGGTGCTTGCCACGGTCCTAATGTTGCTCAAGCGAATGGCTAGCATTTGCAAAGTTGAAGACGCTTTTGTTGCCATTGATGTTTTCGTTTTCTTAAAAACTATGCAGCTTTTCACTACTCTTAGAATAAAAACTTCACAGAAATAAATTTTGCCGCAGCGCTTGCTGATTAATCGAAATCTGTAATCGATATACAAAATACCAAATTTCAATTGGTATGTTATGCGCAGCATTGAGCTTTTTTTCAGCTTGACAGCGTTTATTCAAATTCGAGGCTAATGATCGCTCCAGCCAACACCGACTAAAAAGAATGTTGACTTGTTGGTTAGTTAAAACAAGCAACTAACGCCGATTTTCCTTAAAACTTAACTGCAAAAGTTTATGTTATCACTAAAAACATATGCAGAAAGTGACCGGACTTTACTTATGCGTAAAAGCAGTTTAGTTAAGGCAGTTATTGCCTTGAAGTCGTTATAATTGTTCCACCTGCACTTGATACGCATAAGCCGCCGGGTGAAAGCAATTAATCATACAAAAACATAAAAATATTAAACATGTAGATCTTGGACGCAAACACGCCCAAAACTGTAGCAAATTGATGAGGCCCACATGTGTGTGTACACATATACCTTCATACATACATACATACCTATATATGTGTACCAAAATGTATGCAGTGTCTGTTGTGAAAAATGCAAATTTTGTTCATACCCAGCAACCATAAATATAGGAAAAAGGGGAATAATGACCTAGTATTACAAATATAACATTTTTGATAAATATAAACACTCCAGTCGATCTGTCACCCAGATGTCCAGGAATTCGCTTATAAAATTTTTATGTGGCGTAGGACCATGTGCGTGGTATATTTAGGTAGGGTACTCTCGAATAGGGAATTCTTACTTGTTTTGTAATAAGCGTTGTACAATTGTTTGGAGTAGGAATCTTTAAAATTCAAAGTACGAAAATGTGTGCTTATTCAATAGAGTATCTTACAATATACATACATACATGCATGTATGCGAACAATGTATCCATGACTGTGTATATTTACGTACGTATGTAAATACAAGTTGTATGCATGTGTTGTATATATTTTAGAAGTTAAGGCATAGAATCCCATTTAGTTGAAATTGAACACTGTATCAGTGCAGTTGAAAAAAACATTTGTAGTGTAAATATAACAAATAGCTATCCTGTTAAAATGCGTGACGAGGATATACAATTAGCTCTGCAAATGGCTGCCAACTCAATATCTGTCGAGGATGAATCTCTTGGCGCAGCAATAGCATCACCTGAGAATTCTCCGAAACCATTGAGGAAAGCAGTCGTATTTGATTTAAATGAGAGACGTAAACAATTTCGGTAAGCAAACAGAGAACAAATGAAAAAGTAACTATAAATAGTATGAGATATACAAAAGTATTTTTGACACGCTGAATATTAAACATCCAAACATATAGACATATGCATATTTCGCTTTTATTGTTATCCAATTATTATTTTGTTTATTGAGTGCATTTATTTTAACAATTTTTTCTATCATCTATAATTTTAAACGACTTCTTTTTTTCATTTCGCAACACTAATCATTGCTTCCTCGATAACGATTACCGCTTTGCTATAGCAAAAACATCATTAATTTCAAACCTGATTAACCAATAAAATATTTGAATTGGAATATACCATAATCAAAACTGATTAATATCAATGGTAAAAAATATACTTCATAAAATTCCGAAAATTTTTTGGGAAACAAGCTTGCAGGCGTGTGTATTTTACCAGTATTTTTCCGGTCCAAGTCTACAGTCACACTCAAAGGCAAATTTATTACGGCTAAGGAGACTTAAAATTTGCAGTGGCCGCTTACTTTAAAATGTCAACATTATCAGACACCCCCAAACATATCAAATCAACACCGCTTCAACAACAGGCAAGCCAAGAAACCAAGGATAGCAATAGGGTCGATGGCAACGAGTCGTCCAGTCGAGTCAGGGGCAGCAGCTGGTGGTGGTAAGCTTTATCATCTGGCTATACGCGCGCAATTTGCAGTTAATATTTTATTGAAAACCCAAGCTGACTGACACCGGGTGTTCGCTCATTTTAATTGTTCACACTGTTGCCGGTGTTTGCGCTCTGAAATCAATATCAGTCGCTTTGCACTACGGGATTTACATTGTTATTTACAGTGATCGTTTCACTGCTGTTGTCTGTTGTCATAATGGTTAATTTGTCGGCTCAAACTGCAGCTGCGGTAATCATTAAAAAAAAAGCCACGTCCGCCGACTTAGCATTTAACAAACTTGATTTGATTAGGTTTTTATTGCGAAAGTTTTGTCGACTCGTCCCGTACACTTTGGGCTTAATTCAAACGAATATAAAGGTACCTTAAATAACTAATGATTCCTGCAAGAGATGCGATCTATGATAGCAATAAACACAACAGTGGAGGCAGCCATGCCACAGAGGTGCAGCTTAAGAGGATTCAAAGTTTTCTTATCTGATTTTAATTAATGACTACTTCTTCTAGGCGTACACGCAGCTTAAACGCGCCGTCACCCTTTCAGCAGTTTGGACCATGTGGACGTATCATGAAAAACTCAGCAGTGGTAATGCAAATCCAGGATCCCGCCAGTCAACGGCTGACCTGGTACAAGCCACCACTAACTGTTCTGGTCATTAAGAAAGTCAGCGATGCTTCCGTGTTGACGCCGTTCGTGCAGCTGGTCCTTTGGTTGCTGCAGGAGAAGAATATGGTCGTCTGGGTGGAGTCTGCAGTACTAGACGATGCTTTACTCAATGAGGACGTTCAATTTCGTGCCATTCGCGATAAGCTGGTGACGTTTAAGTAAGAATTTGGTTTTATAACTTTTTCAATTAACATTTACATATACATACTCACAATGTTTCGTGCCAACATTTTCTAGCACAATATTTGTCTATATAATAACCATTTTGCTTCTTCTACCACAGAGATGGACGGGATGATCTCACCGATCGAATTGATTTTATTGTCTGCCTTGGTGGTGATGGTACTCTGTTATATGCCTCTCTACTGTTTCAGCAATCGGTGCCGCCAGTTATGGCCTTCCATTTAGGATCTTTGGGCTTTTTGACACCTTTTCGTTTTGATAATTTTCAAGAACAACTTACCAGCGTTCTTGAAGGTCATGCGGCGCTTACATTGCGCAGTCGCCTGCGCTGTGTGATGCATCGAAGAAGCGAAAAGCGACACGAGGTAAACCTAGCTGTGGATGTGAATGCACCCATGTCCCCCTTGGCTAATACAATATTAGTTTTGAACGAGGTGGTCATCGATCGAGGCCCATCGCCCTATTTAAGCAATATTGATCTGTTTTTGGATGGCAAGTACATTACATCAGTACAGGGCGATGGCTTAATAGTATCCTCGCCCACGGGCAGCACAGCCTATGCGGTAGCTGCTGGTGCCTCCATGATACATCCGTCTGTGCCGGCTATTATGGTTACTCCGATTTGTCCGCATTCACTAAGTTTCAGACCAATTGTGGTGCCCGCAGGTGTTGAATTGAAAGCAAGTACTCTTAAAACATGTTGCCAACTTAACTTAATGCATGTGTTCCATAGATTTCCGTTTCACCTGAGAGTCGCAATACTTCCTGGGTAAGCTTCGATGGCCGAAATCGTCAGGAGCTGTTTCACGGCGATAGTCTGCGCGTGACAACCTCAATTTATCCAGTGCCCAGCATTTGCGCCCAAGATCAAATATCCGACTGGTTTGCCTCTCTAGCCGATGGACTGCACTGGAATGTACGCAAACGTCAGAAGTGTCTTGATGAATTGTCAGACTTAACGGCATCCGGATCGGAAGACACGTTCGATGAGATTGAAAATACAAAAATGTATGATATGTAGTACGTAAGTTTAAGAATTCTCCATTGGGGATATATAAGTGTGTCACGTTGTAAGCTTTCGCTGTAGTCAAACTATGCAATCGCTGCATGTATGTGTGTCGTTTAACAGTTTAACATATTGTAATTTTTTTGGATAGTCTTAGTTGTGTAACTCGAATATTTTTATTACCAATGTTGCATAGGCAATTAAATATTAGTTTTTCTCTACTAGCAGTTGGTGTTAATATGCTAAGGCTCAGCCTGCAGCTACAAACTCAAGTAGGTCAGGTGGCCACAGAGATTTGAGTTTAAATATATTTGTATATAAGTACTTATTACTTGTATGCATGGCCACTTGTTGGTTACATGTTGCTCACCTCGGTTTAAACTGTTTGCACTGCCTTACCCAAGTTATTCGCAGTTCCGATAATACTCATTTTGGCTTATCGAACGGCGTTGGAAGGCTATTTGCTTAGCAAACGAAACTGAAAGTTACGCCGTTATTGCCGTTTCCAGTTTAGAAAAACTGCCCTCAGGCCGTACATGAGATGTGCGACGAGTTACATGCTTTAATTTTTTTTTTGCCATTGTTTCATGTTGTCTGTGTTTTGCTTTTGCCTTTTTTGTTAACAAATTCAAGGTGTGCGAATGAATATCAAAATGCGTATTCGTGTGATTCTGTGCTTGTGTCCGTAAGCATCGTGACAGGTGTGCGTGCTTATCTAGTCATGAAATGCATAAAATCTTGGATTATAGGTGTATGCAATAGTAGACTCCGAACGGTGCCAGAGTACGGTTGTGTTTGTGCGTGGATGTATAAGTTAATTGTATTTATTGTTAATTCAAGTAAGGTTTAGCAATGGATGTACGAGATATGGAGCGGGCGAGACAAATTCTTAAAGATGAAGCAGCAACGCCGCCTTGCAGGACCACAGACACAATGAAAAATACACTAGTGGGTAGTTTGTTCGACAAGCGAAATCAGTTTCGGTAAGCAAACAATATAAGTTTATTCAAAAAATAACTGAAACTGGGTTGTAGCAGTCCAATTATTGCGCTCAGGCTGCATTCAATTTATAACATGAACTATCGATAAATTAAATAGCTCCTGAAAGCACCTTTCAAAAATGTTGAAAGTGGATAATAATAATCGAATTTTAGCATATCGAATATGTCTGTCTAATTAGTTGATGTAAAATAAGTGATAGCTGTAGTTGTCGATCTAAAAACTGCAATTATGAATAATCGATTTTATGTTAAGAAACAGCTGTGTAACCCTTAAGCTTAAAAGGAACAATTTATTTCGATGCTCTATAATAGCTGACGACTTTATAACTGTTTGTTTTTACCAAGCCGACATTACTTTGTCTCGTTTTCAAAAAAAGATAACAGTTTTTCTCTGTTATAACCAGTGCATCAAAATGTTATGCTGAAATCGGATTTAATTTGTTCATTCAGTGAGCCAGTTAATCGAACTAATTCCAAACGATTCGATTAACTCTAGCATATACAATGGACTTCAGTTTATAAATAAATAACTGAAATTGTACCAATGAAACTTTGCTAATTACTACTGCGGCATTTATACGAATATTCGCAAATAAGATTCGGCCATAAGCTTCATACATCTACGCGGACAGGTGCAAACGTTTGTAGTACGACTGCAGCAGCAAAAAAGCTTCAAAAGCATGTTGGATAAATTGAACGTTCGCAAATACATTAAAGTTGCAGAAAATATAGTGCCGTGCTAAAAACCCCATTAAAAAAATAATATTTCGTTTGCGCGCTTGATCGCCCAATGAAAGTTTGGCCCGCAACCATTTGTGATTGTTAACCATGTCGTCCTCTAACATCCAATGCCCAAGTCCAACGTCTAAGGCGACACCTGCGCAGTCTGTGCCAGGTGCGAATGAAGGAGCAAAGGCAAGGGTCTCCCATTGCAGCAACTATGATGAGCATGAAAATCAGCTGCTGAATGTAAACACCACACGCCAAGGCCATGTCAACAATGGATCCGCATCATCTGCTCCTGGGCCTGGCCTGATGACCAATGGCACTGCAAGCGATATAGAAATGCGTTGGTGGTGGTAAGTAACAAAGTGAAGTATGTTACACAAGTCATCTTACATATGTGCAAAGACACTGCTAATGGAGCCAGTTAATTAGTACAAGCACTTCTTGGTAAGCACACATTTTGGAAAAGCACCATTCAAGAAGTAGCCAATCATATAAGCTTGACTGAGAAAAATTATAAGAATTGAACATGTAATAATAATTAGGCAACACTGGCTGCCAATTACTCCGTTGTTTACATAAAATGCTTACCGTATTTTTTACATGCCACCAGATTCCAACACCTGTTCGCTTGCTTGGTCTCTCTCGGTCTCCGTTGATTATACGATGCGTGCTCACAGTGTGCTCAGCTGTTGTTTACAACCTGATCGCTGGGCAGCGCTGTGCGACGTTTGGAAACGGCCGTAAACTTTTATATTTAAATCGCACACAGATTTACAATTTAATCACCTTTTTGGTGTTTCAGTTCAGTTATCGCTCGTTCACTGGACAGCTCGGTCGTGTTTGGTGAGGTCGGTGCGCGGCGCGCTCTCTTTCTCTCTCTCTTTGCCTCTCTCTGAACCTTTACCTATGTTGTTGTATTTCTGTGCCGCGTATTCACTCTCTCTTGCTCTCTGTCGGTCGTTGGCTTTGCTTTGAAGCTCGGGCTTAAAGTTTCGTGTGCTTAATACGCCATCTTATATAACATGTAATTAGATGACTTTTTTGTTAAAATGCTTTTCTAGCTTAACGTGACTTGGCATTTTCCATTGAGAGCTTACACGTTTTAATGTGCCACCCTTGCCAATCGTTAGTATGTAAGAATCAGCGAGGCCTCGATCCAGCCAATGATAACCACTTGAGTCTTGGGCTCGTCTAGCGCATTTGTTGACATTGCCTTTTGCCTACAATTGATTACTTGTTTTGTTTTTGAAACGTTTCTTTGTTAAGTAAATCGTTACAAATTCGCTCGTCTATTGTGACAATGGGGTGTTTTCTTTGTTCACAAGCTCACACAAGTATATTTTTATTATAATTTTTGTAATATATCATTTTATTTTGCAAACGTCTTTGAATTACTTCCTGGTATATTAATGGGACTGAACTCGTAAAACTTTCACCAAAGAAACGTCACATGAAGATTGAGTATATAGACTTTTTCTCTCTCATTTGGATATTTTCTTAAGTCTTCAAATGTTAGGCAACCTTCACAGTTGATCAAGTTATAACAATTTATCAAAGACGTGTCTATTTGTGGAAAAACTATTTACGTAGTTGTCATTTTATTAGGATATCAAATAAATATAAATAACGGCATGTCTGTTCATCCCTTAACACATCCATTAAGGCTGCTGACTAATGACAACTCAAGCTTAGGAGTCAGTTCTCTGTCTTGCTCCGTTTTTGCCTTCTGCTCAGTTTGCGTGATTATTGGAATTTCTATGCAAATGCTAATGGCAATTAGTTGACGTCACAGCCGGAACTAGGAGCAGGTCGGAGATGGGTACGTTAGCAAAAACAACAAACTTGGCGTCAACAATAATTGTTATTTTGTTCTATAAACCTGTTGCCAAGTAGCAAGGTATTGAGCATGGTTTAAATCTGATACTTTCATTTAATAAACATTCAAACTTTTATAATTCATATTTTTTGGACATTTCCTCGCCAATTTGAATATTCGGCACGCTGTCTGACTGACTCAACATTAAATGCGTGGCTTTTATGGCTTAAGTTAACGAAGTTAACACCTTTCGAAGAAGGGGGCAAGGTTAAGACTGTTAACATTTTTTGAGCGAAAAGCCAACACTCAGGGTCGTTTCAAGTCGTTGGGCTAGGAGTTAACAATGCCAAGTAAATGTTAAGCTTACTTAATTAACCATTCTAGCTGAATTAGATGTTACAATGTGCTAAAAATCTATACAATTCGAAATTAAAATCTGTGGGCGTTAAATTGTAACTTTCATCGCTTGTGAAGTGAACCATTTGCACCTGATCCATGGCCTGCCGTTCGGACATTGATTTGGCCACTCTACATCAGAATCGCCTTGAGGAGCGTTGGCACTATGGACTTGCTTGGTGCGGTGCCCACGGAAGCAGTCAGCAGCAACAGTTGACCCACTACAACGAAATGCTGATCCGCCAGAGCGGCAACCAGCATCGTCAACGCGCCTCCAAAAGCGGCACCTATTACAAGGTATACGATGCCAATAATACAAGTGCGGCAGCCAGCAGGGTTAAGGAAAACGTAGCCAAAGACCATCAAAATAAAACTCTGGAGAGATTGGATGATGATAATAGCTATTTTACAACCACGAAGCGTCGCACACGCTCCGGCACTTGGCCGTAAGTAACGACAAGTAACGTCAAAATAAATAAAAATTTGGTTTAAACAAAATAAGACTGTTCAAAATTCGTGTAAATTCAAAAACTTCGAGAGACTATCAATAAATTGTCAGTCGTGAAGAGCAAAGGGAAGAAACAAAACTATTCATTTTCCATCATTCATTGCTAGATTAATGATTTATTATTATTTTAAGCAACAAATAAAGTTAAATGAGACAGTGAAATACATTATGCTTCCCTTTTGAAGACAATTTCGAAAGCTGAGTATAATAAACTAAAAAAGTGCATCGAACCTAGTACATAGTTTATTATTTTTTTTTTCACGCTGATTACGAATAAACCCTCCAAGAAAATGTTCTCAAGTTCACAATAGTAGTATCATCATGACGGACCTGATTTTGTTATCAGCTGTTTACTTTCGACGTTTTGATGGGTTTGTTTTTAATATTTATAAGTATGTAATTAGGAACTAATATTTATGGTTTCGATCAACGCTTTTCAAGGGCAACAATTTCATTCAATGACTGTGCCAGAAAGTATAAATCAATATGAATTTTAAACAGAAATTGAATATCTGAATTTAAATCCAAATCTGCGTTAGAATTGAAGAAAAGTATAGAGAAGTATTGACGAAGAGTATTGCGATATCTTTAGGTACAACCTTATTAGATTTTTAGTTAATAATTTAGATCCTAACAACCGTAAAGTCCTTGACCCTTCTGCACAGATGTATATATATTTTTATGAATATTTATCACCTTTTTTCAGGCATTTAAAAACAAGTTTGCTAACACCTCGAAAACCCAGACATACATATGCTATGATGGCGCCGCGTGTCAATTAAAGCCGATTAATAAATATTAAGCACCCAAACCACTTTTTGATCTGTTGTTGTTTTGGCTACCAGCTACTATATTTATTAACGATTTGTTTAGAAAAACTTTAGGAATTGAATAGTCCGATACCAATTAATTCATATGGTGCCAGCTTGTGCGAGGCGCGATTCATAAATAAAACACCATATCGCATATCGACAACTGAAATAAAGCTGATGACGGGCTCCAAAGGTGCAGCGGGTCAAAAGACGACTTAACCTTCAATTTGCATATAGCCGAACATTCACAGTTTGCTAAACGAACGACAGACAGCCCTTAATTAATACCCTAGTGAAATTGCTAGATAGATTTTTAAAAGTCAATGAGGTGCGGCTTATAGCCAGTCATGGTGCTCCGCACTGTGGGGCCGCACCTAGAATGCATTTTTACAAAAAAAAAAAAAAAAAACTAAACAAACAAAAAGTGGATACAGGTCTTGAAAAATGTGTACAAAAATAATTGCCGTTTTTTTTTATGATAATTACAATATTTTTATCAACGCAACAAATCAAAACGTCACACTGTACATCGGCTCTATCAGTATAAGGCCTGCCTTCCTACTTTTCAATTATTTCAATTAGTCTGATATCGTTTATTGGTACGCGTAGAGCTTTATTGGCCGTGGTCTGACGCGGAACTTTATAAATGTGTAAGTACTGGTTGGGTACGAGAAATAGAAAGTTCAGAATAGGGGAAGAATTTAAGGCAATTTAGTGGACCACCGTAACAGAACACAGCAACGGTTGCTGCCGCTTTTATTGTTATATGGGGAAGCTGTGGAGCAATCTATCGCCGCACACAAATCTTGGATTGGTGCGTTTTATCAGTTTGTTGACAACTGCAGAGATCATCCACATAACATCCACAAAACATTTAGCCAAGTTTTCTACCAGTGCTCTCTCCCTCCCTCTCAGTCAATCCTTCTATCTCTCTCTCTCTACCTCTGTCTGTGCTATTGCCAATGAGCGTGCAGTTCCCGTTTGTGGCGATTATAAGACTAAACGAGTTTCTTTAATTTTTCTGGCGTCACTTTTGTAATGAAAACACAAAACCTTTACTCCCAAAAAATGTTTTGGCCTGTCAGTGATTTTGTAACCTTCGAACGAATCGCACAAAACTGCGAGTAGTCACGAAATTTTTAACAAGTTTTTGTGTATTTTATTTGGGAGTTGACAGCAAAAAAATCGTTTCATAGCTATTAGGTGGCAAAAAAGATTGCATAAATAAACGCATTGCATAATTAAATATCTTAGTCGTTGTTAACCATGCAGAATAAAAAATTGGGACTTGCGTCGTTGCGCTTTGGCCTAGTTTCCCAGCATATAAATCAAGTTCAGGGTCAAAACCCCGACTTTTCAGAAGCCAACACAGAGCCTGTGTCGTCAAAATCCGAGGCGCGCATTTTGAGGTTTACCTTAATTCGTTTTCAATTGTGCACATTTCCATTTCTTACATATCTGTTTCAGGCGTACTCGCAGCCTGAACGCACCTTCGCCATTCCAGCAGTTTGGACCATGCGGTCGCATTATGAAGAACTCCGCCATGGTAATGCAAATACAAGATCCCGCCAGTCAGCGTCTGACCTGGTACAAGCCACCACTCACTGTACTCGTGATTAAGAAGAAAGACTCGCTGGTGCTGCTGCCGTTCGTGCAGCTAGTCGAATGGCTGGTGCAGGAGAAAAATATGGTGGTCTGGGTAGAGTCTGCTGTGCTGGAGGACAAGTTGCTGCGCGACGATGTCAAACTGGAGCAAGAGAGTGCTAAATTTCGTCAGGTTCATGAGTATTACAGTGGAGTGCGTTCACGTTTTCTGGCTCTGCGAGAAAAGTTGGTAACCTTTAAGTAAGTACAGAGTCTAATTGAACAAGTAAGAAGCACTAGTCGGGAGGTCCCGACTAGGGGATACCATGAACCCTCTTCTTCCAACACCAAATGCTGCTTGGGCTACGCGCTCGTTTGCTTTAGCAGTAATAATATTAAAATAAATAAATAAAAAAAATAGTACCCTCGGTAGGGTTCGAACTCGCAAAACAGACCACACTAACTGCCTCCGCCTCTACTTAACAGCCACACCAATAATTGGGTTTGGATGAGAAAAAAACGGATTAAAATATCATCAATTCAATGAAGACGCGCATGAATGTGTGTGTGCACATGTATATAGAAATTCTTGCAATTTGCGCTAGCTGCCGCAAGCACGAGAACAGCCAAAACACATTTTCTTTAATAACTTTTGTGTTTCTTAACCGATCTTGATGAAATTTTCAACAGTAGATTTAATTGTACTTTATAACGGACGTGGCTTATCAAGAATATATATACTTTATGGGGTCCGATGTGCTTTCTTCTGCCTGGTACATACATTTGCACAAATACATTATACCCTTTTTATCCTTTTTTAATGGGTTCAGGGTATAACAAATAGTTGCAGTAGTAATGTTGTGCTTTGTATTGACAACTATGCTAACGATCTTGTTTCTTTTATTTATTTTTTTTTGGCTAACAGAGATGGGCGCGACGATCTCACCGATCGCATTGACTTTATTGTCTGCCTTGGAGGCGATGGCACGCTTCTGTATGCTTCACAGCTATTTCAACAATCGGTGCCACCAGTTATGGCATTCTATCTCGGCTCGCTGGGTTTTCTGACCCCCTTTCAGTGTGATAACTTTCAGGATCAAGTGACCAATGTGCTGGAAGGACATGCTGCGCTCACGTTACGCAGTCGTCTGCGTTGTTCAATTCATCGCAAGGGCGAACGGCACAGGGAGTCTCTGCAGCAAGTAAGCAATAATATGCTGAAGCCTAGTCTGCGACTGCACAATTACAGTGCGATGGGTGACCCAACAGTTAGCAACAACAACTGGAGTTCATATTCAGGACAGTCGTCTGCAGCCAACAACAGTATTCTTGTGTTGAACGAGGTGGTCATCAATCGGGGACCGTCGCCTTATTTGAGCAACATCGATATATTCTTAGATGGAAAATACATAACATCCGTGCAGGGCGATGGATTGATTGTGTCTACGCCAACGGGCAGTACAGCTTATGCGGCAGCCGCTGGCGCCTCTATGATACACCCATCTGTGCCAGCCATATTGGTGACACCCATTTGTCCCCATTCACTAAGTTTTAGGCCAATTGTTGTTCCAGCTGGTGTTGAACTGAAGGTGAATTGATATTTTTTATTTGTTTGCTTTACTTGAGCCTAAATTGTTGTTTACCCTAGATATCAATATCTCCGGACAGCAGGAATACGTCTCGCGTATCTTTCGATGGACGAAATGATCAGGAGTTAAATCATGGTGACAGCCTGCGAGTGACAACCTCTATTTACCCGGTCCCAAGCATTTGCGCACAGGATCAAATATCCGATTGGTTCGACTCACTGGCGGAGGGTCTGCATTGGAATGTGCGTAAACGTCAAAAGTGTCTTGACGAACTTTCGGATTTGACGGCATCCGGCTCAGAGGACACGCTCGATGAGTTTGACAATCTTAAAATCCAAGATTCGTAGTGCTCAACCACAATCTAGTGTAGTAGTGGTTTAGTATATAGAGTTAGCTCGTGTGCAATTTGTAAACATTTAAAGTTTCTAGCTAGAAAAATACTCCGTTCTGTTGTACAATATATTTGGTTGAGTTTAACGTTATTTCTCTATTTTAAACTAGACAATTTTTTATTTCTTGAGAACAAATCAGTTTAAGTGTAGGTCCTAAGATCAAGCTCACGCAAAGTGCCGCGGAAATGTTAAAACTGTGTGTGTGTATATTTTGTACTAGTAATAAATTATTTTATTTACTAAAACCAAATTCACTCAACTTTTTTCTCTAGTTTAAGAATGTTATATTGAAATGTATAATCTCATTAAGTTATCACTTACTAAACCCCTCGCTCTTAAATTCGTAGAGTGTATCTATGTCCACTTATTGGTTTATTGGTTAAATTTAAAGATACAATCAAATAAATTAAGCCTATCCGAGTAGACACAACAACACCGTAAAGCACTTAACATAGTCTATGCATTGAGACAAGGACAAGAAAATTAATTAAATTCGTACATATGTCGAAATTCACATTAAGTTACATAAACTGCGAACTTCTCAAGAGTAAACAGATAATAAAAAATGTTTTAAACGAAATCCTTTTAATATGTACCTACTTTCGCCTAAAGAGACAAATTATTATTATATCGTGAACTTAAAGAGCCTGCAAAGAACCCAAAGAATTGAATACAGCTGGATAGATAAAAATAACAAAAGGGCAATCGAAACCATAAATGTTAGCGCAATCTTTTCATGGATTGTGCGGATGTGAGTGAGCATTGAGTTATTTTCCCACTTTTATAACGCTTAATAATAGACGCCAACCGCAGACCCTACTATGTCAGTTGCATTTCCGAGTCCAAGCAACAAGTGGGTCGAAACGAACCGCAGCGACGCGCAGCATCCTTCCGTTACAGCATCGCATATCTGACTGGCGGATAGGAATACTGCGTGTTATCCGGCAATTACGATTGGCGGAGCTTGCTCAAATGACACGCCCAAGTATATTCAGTGCGCAGGCCTCAAACTGAACATGCGTCATGGGCTGGACAGCTCAACAATTTTATTATGCGTACATTAATGTGAGGCTTTCTTCTCCAATATATATTTCTTAATGCTTACATAAATAATAAATATATGTAACCCTGTATGTCGCCTGTCGCCTGTCTGATGAACGGATTGGAGATCAACGCTCAGCCAAAGCCCTAAGAGATACCAAGCTGTAATTTTTACAATCTGACCTTTGACCGTCCTATCATGTTAGCGAACTCTATATAGGATTCAAAGAGAGAAACCGATCCCGCTAAGAACATTTCAAAATTTGGAAAATAATAGGCTTATAACTACAAATCTTACTTAGAAATAACATTTTCACAAATTTCCCGCCGGCATATTTTGACCTATACGTCTAAAGCTCTTTTTTACGTAGATATATGAAAATACGTTTGAATTCCATCAGATTAAGAACCAAAAGTTGGAATCAACAGTTTCCGCCCATGTTAGTCTTGTGGTGAGAATCTTCAAGCCGGAAAACAAACAATGTTTTAAGCTAACTACAAAGCTTAAAACATCGCGCGAAAAAACTTTGGATCGAGGAAGCTTGGGATCTGCGAAAACTGTGAAGCACCGCTCAAATGAATTTTCATAAATATCCTTGGAAAGGAATTTGAGCCCGAATCTAACCAAATCTTTGACCCGCATTTAAGCCAAGGAGAAATGGATTTTCTAAAATGTGTAAAAGACCCCTAAAATGAATTTGAACTTGAAAAAAAGATCTTTGAAAATGAGTTCGGGGCCGATAGGATGAAAAACAAAAAAGTTTCATACAAGCGTGTTTCACGATTTATGCCATACTTGCGTGTGAAATTTTTGAAAAGCGCTTCTTAGCTTGCATCTCCATCAGATGAGACAAATGCAGTGAAAATTTCAGCCTCCTGGATCTAGAGGCTTGGGGCTGTACGTTGATCAGTCAGTCCGCCAGTACTCAGTTTAATAAATAGAGATAATGTAAATTGTGTTATAATCAGTGTTAGTATTAAATTGTAATTATTGTTTTATTAATACTATTAGTGTTTAGTGTAGAAGTAAAACGTTTATATATTCTTACCCTTTGAATGTTGTTATCTAAAATTTATAAGTGCATGTGTAAATATAAATGATGATCCAATTGTGTTTATATTTAATATATAAATATTATTAGATCTTTCACTAGGAAGTCGTTAACATCCCATACCGGACGTGAGAATTATTTTCAATGCGCCACCGCAAGATATTTTAATTCTCTGGTAGAAGAATATAATCCGAAATATGCTTGGAATTTCTTAATGAAATTGGTCGTCTGAGCTTAAGACAAATGGTAAAGTAAAAATGATGAAGGGCAATTCGAAATAGCGAACTAACTTGGCATAGTATTCGAAGCTGCCACGGCACGTGCTGATATTTCAATTGAATGCCACAAAATATGTGGCAGGCACCCTTCTGCCATAAGGCCAAAGGCATCTGTGGAACAATCTCGAGCTGAATGAAAAATATTTTCCTCCACTGCATACGCACAGGCGCATCACTTGACATTTGAACTTTGGCTGGGGCTATTTTAAAGCATGCAAAGACCCGATAGTATTCCAAGTGCTGATGACAGTTGAACTTTCCGCTCTTTATGTGTTTTGATGACTGGAGGGCTATCTCTGCTGGAGTTGCTTTGAGTTGCGTTGAATAAAAGGAAATTAAACATTTTCACTCGAGTTGCTTTTGTTTTCGGATCCCTATGATAACAGTTGACCAGCACAAACAGATTACCAAAGTTATTCCTACTCGTATGTGAAGAGCCCGCAGTTGTTCGCAAAAAGCAGCATCAATCTCGTCCACAAATTGCTTCCATATTTGTCATATTTCTGGACCTCCATTCGTGGAGAAATTAAACTCTTGGTCCAACGATAATGGGACAAAGGAAAAGACACGTTTTGCCTTTAAATGTAGCTTGGTATTTTGATACGCCTTCAATTATAGTCCCGTAATTTTTTATTGTCCTGCTTTTACTAAAGCCGAAATCTATATTCCCGCCTCCCACACAAATATTTACGTGTATGGACTAAAACGTATTACTTTATGCCATCCCTCAAATGTCTGATTTCTAGTCCATTAACTTTGAAGTTATTTGGCGACGCTACTTTAACACTCCAACGGATTTTGGACATTTCGATTTCAAATTTGGTTGCTTCTATGAGTATTTGTGCCCTTTTATTTTGGTCTTTTCAATTGGTAAAAGTTCTGTTTTTTTTTTCCTTTAAGTGTTTTGAGTGCTGTTTGCACATAAGGGTAGAAATTTCATATGAGTGCATATTGAAGGAAAAATTAAACACCATTTTATGCAATAAAAAACTGAAAACTAACATGTGCTCGTAATACCCAACCATCCAAATATTTCATGACAGCCTCACAGTCTTAATTAGACGGCGATAATCGTCACTTGTCTCTTTCCTGTCCGTCTAATTGCATAAATTTGCAATTTAGCGGCTGATCAATTATACACTTTATGCCTGCAAACCTGACCTAATTTAAAGTATTCAAAACTGTTGCATTTTATGTGATATAGTCTATCATATGGCTTGATTTTACTATCCTTACCTTTACGGGTAAGGAACACATATAATAATTGACTAAATCACAGCAACAACACGTTCGTTCGTAAACCGAACCGTACTCAGAACGCATGCCACCTGTTAAACTCTGTTAAAAAACGAATAGTATTGATAAAAATCATCCAAATGTATTAATTCATACTCGGTTTTGTAAACTTTTTAAAATATTTATTTATTATTTATGTATGTAAATTTTGATTTTGTTTAAAAGAACATAAAATCGACTTGAGGCGAAAATGTAACCGAAGTATCAATTAGGCTTAATATGCTGATCCTAGTTGTTTTTGGTGCTCACTGCCTTATACATGCTTATACATATGTACAGATTGCATACTTACAGGCGCATAACGGAATTGACAGTGAAAATAGAATCATACGGCAAACCCATGCACACACACTTACACAGATTTCTCTGCCTCCGACTCACACACACTCACACAATGAAGGCAATTGAGCAGAATCATTGCCGCTGGCAGTTTTCTTCAGAATGATTTAAGAGGAAGGCGGGCACTTCAACAGGCGACAACAACAACAACAAAAATCGACGACGTCGACGTCGGTGTCGGCGTCGGCGTCAACGTCGCTGTTGCCGATTCGCATACAACAAGTGGCAGCGAATACGACGCAGCTTCTGCTGCTGCCCTTTCACATCGCATTCCAAATCCTGACGCAGTCAAAGGCGCTTTGTGCGCGCCTCGTGCGCCGTACACAGCTTTTTTTCAGTGCGAGATGAAATCTCGTGGCTGATGGACGTGTTCGTGTCCACGTTTCCAGTGCTCCAACCGCCAGACACTTGTAGCACTTTAGTATTTATAACACAGTGCTCAGAAACACTACTCGACTCAGTACATTCTGTTCAATGCATAAAGAAAATGCAGTTCACAATCAGTATATAAAATATAATAAATCCATTAAATTGTGCTTATTGAAGTTAGAAACAAACAAAAACCCCAAGTCTAATCTGAAAATATGTAATTTTTCAGAGAAACAAATGTAAGTCCAAAATATGATATGTAAATTTAAAAAAATATAAAACATTTTTTGATTTGACTTTGCCCAATCTCTTAAAGTGAATAAATAATTATGGTTATATTTGTCAAATTAAATGTGAAGCTTTTCAATGTGTATTCATAAGTGTGTAGGACACAATGTAATCAATATGAGCCGAAAATATTGTTCTAGTCAACGTAATTTCGTGCACAATGTATTTGTTTGCACTGCGTTAGCTCGATTGCGTCGGGTCTTTGGGGCTTTGCTTTTATACAAAAAATATTTTGCTCAAATACCAATTTATTTGCATTGAGGAAGTTAAATAGAAACTTTTCGCAGTGAATTTTTTGTGGCATTCGAATTTTGCAAGTCGTTGACATTGCCAGAAATGATGGGCATTGAATACTTTACCAAAATATTTCCATCAAGGCCATAGTCTAATTATTTATTTCCTCATTTACTTGCAGGAATACATAAAATCTTCACCCCCAAATGCAGCAATAAACCACAAATTGATATAGCATCAACAGCTAGGATATTCAATCGTTATAGCTGCAATCAGACTACACAACAAAAACGCAAATAATAAATTATTTGACAGGTAACTTCTTCTTTCGCTAAAAACTGTTCGAGAAAATGTATACATATTAAAAGTGGAGACTCCTTAGTTGCAATCATTCTTTAAAAACAAACTGAAAGTAATACATATTATGAAAGCTTGCCCTAGTTATGCCTTTCAATTAGCTAATTTCCAGATGCAACAATTGCCGAAACACAGGAGCCAAGAAGATTAGTATATTTTACTAGCTCTGAGATGCATGAAACGTGACCAAATTTGCTCTTAACGACCCTGTATATATATGTATATACATATATATATATATATATATATGCATTTGTGTCTTACTCAGAGTCGCGATTCAGTGTCGTATCGTAAGATCAGGCTGGTTTTCATTAATATTTATTTAATATTAGATCTAAAAATGTTCGCAATTTAATTTTAGTTGCGTGCTAAGCTCAGGAAATCAACAATTTAACGTTGGTCGTGTGGCGTCTGTTAAGTTTTGTGCAATTAACGCAGGCAACATATATTATATAATATCAACAAGCATAAGAATCTAATAATATCATACACAAATATTAAGCTAGGCAATCCCAGTCGCACATGTAAACGATAGCTTATATTTTGATAAAGAAATATCCATTTGTTCTGTTCTATTCCATTCTATTCTATAAAATATAGCAATAATTGAAGTAGAAGTTGTTTTATCACGTAAGTATGACTTTTTTAAAGGAAAGAGTGTAACAAATTCGACTTGAAAGCATTTGTATTGTTTTTTTTTGTGCTTTTCTCGTCTACCTTTCAGTTGCGAGCATAGGGCACACGCGACGTATGCGCATTGTATAAATTAAATATTATTTACAATTGAAATTGATGAATCAAAATAAGGTTGTCGGCATTAAATCTCTCATCCTTCTATCACTCGTTTCTGAAAAAAAGCGTTTTAAACATTACAAATCTGCATACATTTTTAATTGTGCTGCCGGTTTTACTTTTTTCTCACGCTTAGAAAAGAATCGCATGCCCAATGCTAATAAATACTTGGAAATATTAATATAAAACACTTTTAAAATGCATTCATTTGAAATATGAACACATTAAAGCCGCGGGCTGTCTGAAAAATCAACGACTAACACGCGCGAAAATCTAAAACAAAAATTAAATAATAGCAACAAGTTGTTGTGTTGCATTAAAAAATTCGTTAACAAAAGCGCCAAGCGACACGCTAATGATTTTAGTTTCAGTTCAGAGTCCCGACTTGTCGGCAGAATCAGTATAGATCACACCGTAGTCCCAGCAAAATAAAGACGTAAAGACGTAAAGTGAACCTTTTTGATAACCATACTGTTTTAAAAAGTTAATACCATGCGACCAATACAAATTATTCTTAAAACATAAGCAAAGTGAAACATATTGAGAAAAGTACAAAGCCCTACGAAGAATTTATCAACAAAAATTAGAAGCACAACTCTTGGTAAGAATACTATGCAGTCGTAAAACGAAATGTTAAAAGCTTGGCAAATTTATAAAATTAATTATGATTCACTTACATTCGTAATTTATGGGAATAGATGTATTCAATTATACCCAATGTTTGTGCCTTGAATAAAAATTTAAAACATTTAATTTCATAGTTCTCTGTTTTAGGCGAATTGAAATCATCTTCAAAGTACTTCCATCTTCCATCTTGTTCTCAGTTGGGGCAGCGTTTTGATTTAATTGACTGCAAGTTAATTCAATTTTTGATAGTCGCACCCAGCACTTAACACTGAAGTCAAATTTTGTCAAACAGACATAACAAGAAAACTCCTCCCAGTCACGAACAACGGGTCTTAACTAAGCGTGGGCGTGTGTGTGTGTGTGTGTGTGTCTGGGGTGTGAGGGTTGGGTACTATGTAATGCCTTCTAAACGAATTAGATGTAGAATTCAATTTCAATTTGCGACGCGCGCCTTGTATTACAAAGTTTGTAAATTGTAAAGACCAAATTTAAATGTTACGAAGCCAATTATATAAATATTTAAATTTGGCCACATTGTCTTATAAATGCATAGCAATTATTATATTCGAATTATTGTGTGAAACTGAAAAGTCTGTGAAAAGCATTTTTTAATTTGCGCGCCCCCGAATGCAATACAATAATTGAATTAAAATTAAAAAACCGAGACATATAATTTAGTTTTAATTGGTGTAATCATTGGAGCGTAACATTGGAGCGAGGGAAATTTCTACTCACCCCAAGCGGCTTACATTTTGATTACATTTTAAAGACAATCCTCTTAGCACAAATCTGACAAGACGTTACGCTTCTTCGTTTACCCTAGCAACAAGCGGCGGGCGACGCAATGCAATCATCGACTGATGCGGGCAATAATGGCACACGTAAATATACAGCACAACAGCAACAACAGTCGCAACCATCGCCAGGAGCTGAAGCAGGAGCAGGAGCAGGAGCTGGAGCAGAAGCAGCGCCGGCTGCAACAAACCAAACAACGTCTTTTACCGTAAATGACAACAGTCAGCAGCAACAGACGAGTATAGGCAACACATCTAGCAAAAATCCGTTCAAGCAACAGTTGGATAGCAATAAGCAGAATGGCAACATGGAAGCAGACTACGGCATTATGGGGACTAGCGGAGCAGTCGGCACTGACCAACAGCTGCCATCGCCAACAAGCCAAGAACAACTTTATGCATCACGCAAATTGACAGGCGGTCAGCCGCCGCCGCCGCCGCCGGATCAATATCGACAAGAGGATCCACGTGCAGCCGGGACTTGGTCTGCTGCCAAATCATGGATGGTCAGCTGGCGGGGCTCCAACCGGCTCGTTCTGGTCATTGTCGCCATAGCTCTCCTGCTGGACAACATGCTGCTAACAACTGTCGGTAAGTGAAGCCAAATTTACATTCTTAAATATATATCGTAAAAGCCGCATATTTCTGCTACCCATTAGCATTTCATGACCATTTATCTTGGCAGCCACCTGACAATCCAAGGCAATCACCTGGAAATTATTCATTTTCATTTCCAGATAGGTGTTTAGCACTCCTTTGGCCATAAAATTACCACAAAGCGCCACTTAAGCTAATGAATGTTTTCTTGGCGTCAGTCACTCAACAGTTGGCTTTCAGTTCATCAATTCAGCTGTCATCGTGTGATGCCAAGGGATTTTGATTAGCTTTGGGATTTGCTATAAAAGTACACCTCGTCTTCTAAAAAATATATATACTTAATCAATTATATTCATATTTATGCACACATTTGTATTCTCGAGTACAATAGCTATCAATCGATAAACACATTCCTTGTTCGTAGTCCTTTGTACGAAAGCAACTCAAAGAACCCCAAACCAATTCTGTTAAGCGAACTCAACAAATTTTCAACCAACCACAGCAACTAATCAATTGTTGGAGTACTATTGCTCGGCAGCAGTGTGATTTGCCCGTCATTATTAAAAGCCGACACAGGCAGAGGCAGAGGCAGTGACAGAGAGGGATTGGCAAAGGGATTGGGATCGTGACGAGGATGAGAATGGAGACACTCAAAGTGCGGACAGTCAATTAAATAGACACGCGACCATTGCTACTGCGTGTGACACTAAATCTATGTAGGGGGAGGGCGTTGGTGGTCGAACGGTCGGACCAAGTGCTTATGTCAAGTGTCTGGACAAACACGTGGACATCAAGTGGCCGATGGACCGACGGACCGCAGCCGTACTCCAGTCTGACCAATGTTTACTGCGGCTGACAACACAAAAAGCGATTGAAGTTCCTTCTTCTTCTTTGTGTTAAACGTTCATGAAATTATATCAACAAGTAGGAAGTAGCCAGCCGAAGACAAATAGCTAGGCGAATGCGGCACTTAAGCAACTTGTTGAAAGATACGGAAAAAGAAGTCAAAGCAAAAGTGGAAAAATGCTCATGGAGCGCGCAAAAGTCAAAGTGTTGGCTCAACCCCAAAAAGAGAAGCAACCATCCGAACCCCAGGACTCAGCTCCCGCTCGATGCTTTTCTAGTTTCCGTCCGTCCGTCTGCCTGTCTTTGCTACAGCAAATCAAAGTTAGCTCTGAATGCCGCATGGCAAGGGGTGTATGGTTAAGTGCTGGATTAGGGGAGAGGTTACGGCAAATATGCTTTTAGCGTTTGACTTGAGGCATTTCCACTTAAGTGCTTTCACTTCGCCGTTAAAGGTGTTGAAGTGAAAATTGCAAGAAATACATGCTTATTACATTTGATCTTCGGCAATGAGCATAAAATTCTCATAAATTTGATTAAGCTGCCAAAAGGGACTCATCGAAGGAACGACGTCTTACGAGCATGCTTAGGCGACTTTCTTGATTTATGTATGGGTCAAAGTCTTATCTGTAAGTGCTTTATTGCATAAATAAACAAAAGGTAGTATGTATGTACATATGTATGTATGTATGTATATGGTTTGGTGGTTTGTTTGTTAATGAACAAGTGAGAATCTTAAAGCTAACAGTACTCGGCTATTAGATACATACCTCGTATCCTGCTTTAAGTTAAATAGTCAAAATTCTACATCCATTAACACAAGTAAAATATTTCGATTTTAGCAATAGTTGCTTTATTTATTATACACCAAAAAAGTGAATAATTGGACGCGTAGACGCTGTAGGCTAGAGAGCTCGCGCTGGAATATGTTGTACAAGCTTTTCGTAAAATTGTGAAATTTCAAATTAGTGTAACCATACTAATTAAAGACAAAAAACTTAAAATATATCAATTTCTGTGATGCCAGATCGCCACAAGTTCATAAGCCACAAATTCGCATATAAAATATATTTTATTGCTTATGTGCATTTATACACTTGAACAGCACGAAAAAAATGTATATACATAAACAAATTAAATACATAAAATACAATTATTTGTATTATTCTTGTCCGTTCTTAGCGTCACCGATATCGATACTTCAGGCAAATTGCGCTGAATTGCTTATTATCTTATCATATAATATGGTTACATTGATTAACTTCAAATTCACATTCGGTTGGTTGTCGATCTTACATCATAAACATTATGTTTTTTAAACTTGCGTGTATTAGTATCCGTAATTCATAGAAGTAAGCTTTGCGTTCCTTCATTTTTATTAAGGCTCAGCATTATTTCTGATTTGCTTTTCCGTAGTATCGAATTTCTCTAGAGAAGCTTGCGATCGATTTTTGATGGGCGTAGTTCCCAATGAACGTGCCTTCATAGCACCATCGCTACTCTCCGGCATTGGATTGAGCAGCTGATAAAGGCTGTCGGATTCGTTCCTTGTGAGAGAAGCACTGCGTGCGAAGGGAAAGTATTCATTAAGTTGTCGCTCCATAACATCCTTATTAATGGTGGTCTCCCAAATTTGGTTTTGGATTATGCTGCTGTAGCGTGCCTCAAAGCTGTGCTGATGGCGCAACAGATTCGATGCACCACGTGCGTTTGTGTTCTGTGCGAGTTTGGGTTCCCACTCCGTTGCCCGTTGGGCGGGCTTGGACGTGGTCGGCTTTAGGGGACTGCCCACGGTGTCCTCATCCGTTGACATTTGCCAGGCGTACTAATTACCGGAAAATTAAATACAAAAATTATGCTTGTTAACCGGAATAGCACTTGATATCGTTGCCGAGCCGTAAAACTTGCAACCTTCCGCGTGGGGCTCAGAATCGCGAATAAGTCACGGCAGGCATTCTACTGTCTTGTTAAGCAACTATTCTTAGCCGTTTTTCTTACCAAACAGGCAAAAACTCAAATGTCAGACAAAAGTTTTTTTTAGCTGCGTTGTAATTGCGAGCGTGCCTTTTGTCTTTTGGAAAAAGTTTTTCGAGGCCTTAGGGGTTGCTAAAGATTGACGTTATAGGCGTGGTGCCTTCCTCAGCCCAAGCCTGCGGCGACAGGTTATCCACCGCCAAAGGTCACAAAGTCCTGCCGTTTTTGGTGTCGCCTTCGATGCTGCTATGGTAAAATTACAGGTGTGCCAGGTGTCAGAGGTGCCCTTGCATGACGGTTGAAGCAACTCCATCTCACTCTCTCTCTCTCCTTTACTGCGGCCCCATTTTTGATCTATCATATATTATATCAATAATTGATTTATGACCCTTAATGCATTGCTATTAAAATCTATAATTATAATAACTTACAAGCGGAAAGCAGCCCAGTACGTATTTAAAATAATATTAAAAAAAAAGTATTAAATATTAATGTATATATGAATATCTAATTCAAATCTAGTTAATCCCATAATTATTCCACCCAACTTTAGATATTATTAATATTTAAATTCTCTGGCTCGGTGAGCTCTCGAGTAAAATCTAAAGAGAATAAACCCAGTTAATTTAGCCATATTTTAGAAAGCAAGATACCCCGAACGCCAAATAAAAATCTAGTAAAATTCATAAATTTTACCCTGAACATTCGACGTTGTTAATATTCCCCCAACTTTAGATATTGTTAATATTCAATTCTCCGGAGATTACTTTGATAGCTCGGTGAGCTCTCGAGTAAAATCTAGAGAAAGCAAGATAGACCCGAACGCCAAATAAATATCTAGTAAAATTCGTAACTTTTCTTCTGAACATTCGACGTTGTTAATATTCCCCCAACTTTAGATATTGTTAATATTCAATTCTCCGGAGATTACTTTGATAGTTCGCTGAGCTCTCGAGTAAAATCTAGAGAGAATAAACCTAGGTAAAATATGTATATATAAGAAAGCAATAAATACGCCAAATAAAAATCTAGTTTAATTCATAAATATTCCCCTGAACATTTGATATTGTTATTATGCAACGATTACATCGATAGTCCAATAAGTCAGGAGCGTAGAGGTGCCGGCCCAATCAAAACAGAACTTACAATGACAACAAATAAGGAAAATATAAATTAAGTCAAAAATCCTGACCCTTAAAGAAATTAAAGCATACTTTATTATTCCTCATAGAAACAAATAGATGTTTAAATTTTAGCGCTTAAAAATATAATTCACTAAAACTAGCGCTTAGCGCATCCTCGTTACTTGATGCTGCTAGGAGCAGGCCCTTCTTGGGCAGACTTGGCATGAAGATGTGCAGCTGTTTACGACTCTCCTGTTGAGTTGCGGTCAATCCGCGACTGCTGTGTGGCGGAGTACGTGCGTCTTTCGCAGTGGGTACTGCAGCCGTGCCATTATATAACCTGGCCGATGCCAACTGTCCGGCCATGCGACGCGTCGTGCTGGCGCTGTTGCTTAGCGCACAAAGATCAATGTTGCGAGGCGGACGATTGAGGCGAACGGGCACTCCCTCCTTGTTAAAAATGATGGTAATCGGCTTGGCATTGGAGGAGTTGGCGCAGTAATTCATCACCGCTTGCTTTGTCGCGGGCTTCCTAGGGGCTTCACGCTGTGCAACTGTTCCCGTGGCACTACGCTTCAGGCCCATGCCACGTTGGTTATGCCGACTGATTCGATGGCTCCTTGATAGCATTGCACTGCTGCTACTGACTGGCACTGGTGTCGATCCTTTTACAATATCCGCACGACCCGCCAAGTCCAGCCAATTGATCACACGTTCCGCAAGACGTTCTTCCGGATTGACTGTGCTCGGGGCCAGTGCATCCTGAAGCGAACTACGCCGTGAGTGCGGCTGATGATCTGTAATGTGGTCCAGTTGATAGCCCTTATCGCTGCTCAGCAACCAGGCACGTCTCTTGGAATGACGCCTGCTGTGCAGCACGGTAAAGGAAGCACTTTGCACTTTGTTAGACATTACGCCTTGCCCCTGGCAAACTTGCTGTTGGTGCTGCAACGTAAGTTTGGTCGCATCCAATAGCAGATACTCATTCAAGGTATAATCAGCGTAATTCTCTGTTGGCATTGACTTTCCGTTAAACTCGTTGGATTCGCTACCATAACTGATGTCTGTCCGAATTTGATAAGTTTGGTTGAATTTGGTTTTATCCCCATCAAAGGTAATTCGTTTTACTTACCACCACGTTTGGCATTTTGTCGTTGGCACTGAATCCACCGCTGACGCTCGTGCGGCTCATAGTCGAGTATGAAGTGGCGTCGGTGGCTGCGCCCCGTATCCCCGATTCTCTCCAACCAGACAGAGCGCACAAACAAGGGTCGACTGGCCGACTCCCAAATGGAACGAGATGGCCGTCGCATAGTCTCCTCTGGTTGTCCACTCCACCATAAATTAGAGCCCTTACCTATTACCTCTTATGCAGAAAAACAAATGCAAGCAGATTTCGATTGTCTCGCAGTCGCTGTTGTCCTCATAGTTACTGCCAACTGTCCTCGCTGTCGTGTGTGCCTATACCGCCGGTTGTCGCTTTCCCACTGTTGTCGCTGTTTGCCTGACGACGCCAACAACGGCTACCGCAAAAAAACTTTCCTTTCGCTAGGGATGGCCAAAAGTCACGGAATTGGAATCGCCTTAAGCTAAAGAGTGATTTTTTCTCAAACCTTTTCAGTTTTTTGACCCTTAGTGCATCAATAATTCATGACCATCTTTGGTGTTAAGTAAATGGTAAACCCTATTTTATTCGAATTACCAATAATCACGTGGAAAGCTTGAAATTTGTTTGCTTAAAGTATCGACTGATCACGTAACTAATTCCAAGCAAAAGCCGTTACAGATTATCAATTTGTTTTATTGGGCGCTGGAATCGCATTTGGTAAAGACCAAGCGAAAGATTTTTAATGTCAAAAGATTATGTAGCTTTTGGAAAAATATGAACAGCAGATCGTGAGAATAAGCTCACAAGAAGCCTATACTGGGTTCGCACGAAGAAGAGCCAAGAGCAGAAATAAGGTAGACAATTATAGCTACAGGGCTGAGCTATGCTCAAATCAGTGCATCGATCAGGCAGGTAGGACAATCAATTTTATATATGTATGTTGATTTTTATTCTAAGAACTTGTAAAAGTTAATGTCATTCGTATTGTTCCTTACTGTTAATATTGTATGTTGAATTATGTTTACACAATCTCTCTTTTTGGCGAGTCCCTGGTCGTCATGGTGTTTTGTCTGGTCGCCCATCACCCGCCGGTTGCTTTTTGCTTTGCCTTGCGGCTTAAGTGTCTTCGACACGCGAAATGTAACCCAAACAACCAATGCCCAATCCCCTTTTTCGAAATGCTCGACTCCATTAACCGCTTTTCAGTTGCACGTGCCTTTAGATATTTGTATGTCAAAAACTGGGAGGTAGTTTAATGACTTGTACAAAATATCCATTATTTATTCTACAAAATAGTTAATTATTTGTGGTGAATTATAAAGTCAATTAAACCAACTACTCTTTGAATACATTTCTGTTTGCTCACTTTTTGGTTTAAGTTATTTTCATATATTTTGCGAGTGCCAACAATTAGGTTGTCAAGTTACATATCCAACATATGTACATACATATGTATGTATGTATGTGGGAGCTGTTGCAACTGTAGTAGGATAAATACATGTATACATGTATGTATGACATACATTCATGCAGACACATAGTCAAGGCAATTTACTCAACGATTTCCCGTTTATCTTAAGTTCGCTCAATTCTACCATTCCTCTTGTACTCTTATTCTGGAAGAAGGCCTCGACAAGTCCAATTACTCCTTGTCTCGCTCATACATGCATAAACTTATTGTCAATTCTCCTTTAGTCTGAGAGCATAAAAAGAACGCGGAGTCAGTCGCGATCGAACATTCGAATAAAAAAGACGTATCGAGATGATTTTGTGTTTTTCTTCGCAAGCGACATTTGTCTTCTACACAACTAAGAACTAGAATTATGATGGTGATTTTGTATGGCGAATTTCACATTCACCGACTTTTCTATAACCATGTGAGTGTAAGCAACAAATAGGTGTATAACTTGGACTTAACGTAATACATTTAAGCGCAATAAGAACGTTTCCCATTAAAACTATAAAAACAAAGTGATTTAATGAGTTTATACGCTTCCACGCTTCTTTCCAAGCTATTAACGTCATTCATTAGAGTCTTTACTACAATTCTCCCTTACAGAAATACATACATACATGTGCATATGAAGATACATATGTATATATCCCTATGAATGACAGGCATATAACTTTGATTTGTTAAACAGCTACCAAATCAACCGCAATGCTGTCTAGTTGCCATCCACAAACTATGACAACAACACTTCAAACTGAAGCAACTAATGCAACGATAAGCAGGGACTACAGCTATCGCCCAACACTTAGCAACTTGCAAATCCAATTGAAACGAGAAAGAACGGCTATCTTCAGCACGCCGAAGATTAAATACTCTTGCAGACCCTACCTTTTCATAATGCTCATAGGGCTTTGCCGTATCTAAGAAACACAGGGAAAATAGTTAATGCCGATATGCTAGAACCTACTTTTCGACCAATCGCTCCTATGGCAGCTATATGATATAGTGGTCCGATGTATATAAGATTTTGCATAAATGTAGGGAACATAGTGAAACTTATAAATGGCGAGTTTGGTCAAGATATCTTGAAACACAGAAAGGTTTTCCATACAACTAATTAATTTCCGAACGATCGTTCCTATGGCAGCTATATGATATAGTAGTCCGATATTGATAGGATTTGGCAAATGTATGAGCAGCATAGTAAAACTAATAAATGCCGAGTTTGATCAAGATATCTTGATAAACAAAAAAGTTTTCGACCGATCGTTCCGATGGCAGCTATATGATATAGTGGTCTGATCCAGCTGGTTCCGAAATATGTACTGCGTTTAACAGAAAGAAGACACGTTCGCATAGTAACAGACAGACGGACAGGCGGACATGGCTATATCGACTCGGCTGTTGATACTGATCAGGAACATACATACTTGATGGGTTCGGAGATGTCTCCTTCTATGCGTTACACATTTCACAACACAATTATAATACCCTCTGTAAGGGTATAACAAGACCTCACACATGAATGCAATTGCAGCAACGAAACAAGCACTTGCCAAGGTAGGTCTAGACTGGGTCTGCGTCTGCAACGGATACCGCTGGCTACGGGTGTTGATAATAAATATAAACAGAGTCAAAACATGCAATAAACAAATTCAATTTCATACAAAAGGGTAAGGGTTGAGTGCCTTTTAAGTCAGCGCTTCCGTGCGAAAGGGAAAAGGGGAGCAAGCGAACCGAGCTCCACTTGAAGCGCTTCCGCTTACATGCCTCGACAAGGCAAGGTGTAATCGGCGTATGCGCAATTTGTGCAACCTTGTCGGCATGGCCGAACAACTCAATTAGACCACGCAATCCTTCTTCGTGCAGAAATGCCTAGAAGCCATTATAAACTTTTAGTAACAACAATTTTGCGGGCCTTTAATACAATTAGAGAAGCGGCTGGAGAAAATTGCTTTCCCAGCGTCATCTAACTGCAGGCCGTTAGGCTAATTGTACCTAAATTCTTTGTTGCAACTCAATTACAAAACCATTACCCGACTGTTTCTATTTCATAGTTCCCATCATACCCGAGTTCTTGTACGACATACGACATCCGGACGCACCTCTCGACAGTTACCCACGCACGCCTCTCACCCTGAACACTCCACCACCACCAACGTCCTGTCCATGTAAGGAGGGTGGCAATGATGTGGCGGTACCGATCGAGGTGTCCACGCCGAGCGCAGAAGGTAAGCACGGTAATTGGGAGGAGTTCAGGCAATTAAACGTCTGCATCTTCAATAGAAAATGAAACATACTACCGTGAGCTAGAGGAACGGCACAATGAATTGGTTGGCGAAACTGTGGAAGTTGGTCTCCTCTTTGCATCGAAAGCCATTGTCCAACTGTTGGTTAACCCGATTGTAGGACCATTGACCCATCGGTGAGGAATTGCTTGAATGGTTTGCGTAATATAAATTTCATCATACTCCTTAATATTACATTTCAGCATCGGCTATAGCATACCCATGTTTGCCGGCTTTGTAATTATGTTCTTGTCTACGCTGAGTAAGTATAAAATTAATCTGCTTTGGCTGCATCTCTAACATTTTTCGTCTAGTTTTCGCCTTTGGTCGTTCATACCTGGTACTTTTCATTGCTCGAGCCCTTCAGGGCATTGGCTCATCGTGTTCCTCTGTCTCTGGAATGGGCATGCTGGCAGATCGTTTCACAGACGACAAAGAACGCGGTAATGCCATGGGTATAGCCCTAGGTGGACTTGCGCTTGGTGTGCTCATAGGACCGCCCTTTGGTGGCGTTATGTATGAATTTGTGGGCAAGTCGGCGCCATTTCTGGTGTTGGCTGCGCTGGCACTGGGCGATGGTTTGCTGCAACTATTCATGTTGCAGCCGTCAATACAGAAATCCGAGTCAGAGGAGCCACCGTCACTGAAGAGTCTGATTAGTGATCCTTACATTTTAATAGCGGCTGGTGCAATCACCTTTGCTAATATGGGAATTGCTATGCTGGAACCGTCTTTGCCGTTGTGGATGGTGGACAACATGGGTGCGACGCGTTGGGAGCAGGGTGTGGCATTTTTGCCAGCTTCTATTAGCTATTTGATTGGTACAAATCTGTTTGGACCACTTGGACACAAAATTGGAAGATGGTTTGCCGCCTGCTTAGGACTGGTTATCATTGGCGCCTGTTTAATCTTTGTATGTACATTTAGCAGATTTCCGGCATGCAAAATTACAAATGCTTCTCCTTCAGATACCCATGGCTACCTCTATCACGCATCTGATTATTCCCAATGCTGGTCTCGGCTTTGCTATTGGCATGGTGGACTCTTCGATGATGCCGGAGCTGGGCTATCTAGTCGATATACGGCACTCGGCCGTCTATGGCAGCGTCTATGCCCTGGGCGATGTGGCATTCTGTGTTGGCTTTGCCGTAGGTCCAGCTCTCTCGGGCTCACTTGTGAAAAGTATTGGGTTCGAGTGGATGTTATTTGGCATCGCCATCCTGTGTTTCATGTATGCGCCGCTGTTAACCTTCCTTAAGAACCCACCGACCAGCGATGAGAAAAAGGTGCGTATGGCCACTGAGGCTGCTGCTGCTGCAGAAGCAGCCGCCAATAATTCGATTGCTCAAATAATGACATCCTGTCCGGCTATCATGCACGATGCTTCGACGGATGCAGGCAAGGCGAATGAGGCTTTTGAAAATGAACGATTATGAGCCCTTAATTTATGTTTTTAATTTAATTAAAACGTACTTTTTGTAAGGCTTTTTCCTCTGTCTACTTGCAATATGTCTACAACAATAAGATGTATATAATTATGTATATATATAATTTCTTTTAATTTACATTAGTTTTGTCATAATTATTGTACATATAAACTCGTTTTGATTTAATGAAATTATAAATGTAATTTTTGATTAATATCAATTTATTTGTTTATTTTAGTTTTCGGTTTCGCTGCTGAATTTTATAATAAATTTTATTTTATTATTGCCTCTGTGTTTACGCATTCACTTGGTCAAAACATTTTTAACGTATTAACAATGCACCTCTTAACTTTTACAGTCATTAATTTATGGACGCGACCGCTCACAGGTACGTTATGTAACCTATCAAAACTACGATGACGATGAATAAATTTTCCGAATTATACAAATATTTCTTGGCAATGTCAATAAAAATGACAAAAAAATGTTGAAAAAAAATTAACGAAACCAAAAAAAATAAACAAGGAAAACAAAAATACAACCAAAAATATCAATAATATCATATGAACTGAATGAAATTGTTATAATTGTTTGAAGAAAGAAAAAGTTAACCTTAAATCCTATGCTATATGCTTACAACAAGAACCACAAAATATGGAACAATCTTTAGCTAAACCAAAATTAAAATAACACAATTTAATTAAAAATAATTCTCCCAGATAGATATCAAAAGCGTTAAGTACATTTTTTTTTTCAAAATAAATGACAATGAAATGAAAGTAAACGAAAGAGGAAAAAATAGTTAGAAATAATTATTTATACTCGAAATAAAACTTTTCACCTGAAATAATGGCAAGCGAAACAAATAAGAAAGTCATCAAGAATTAAACATTTATTAAACATATACCAAAAAAAAAAAACTTAAAAATATACAAAATTAAATTTAGATTTATTCAGTATAGAGAAATAGCAACATTTACAAAAATCAAAATATACATATATGCATTATATATATATATAAATAGACATATATGTACATTTTACTCCCAGAAAGGAAGGTATTTGCGTGTACAATGTGACAAGTGTCAGCGTCCGGAATTGCATTGATTTACTGTGAATTCCAAAGACTAGTCAAATAGAACGAATTTGTATTTAAGGTAAATGTATGTTATATTAAAATAATAATAATACTAGCGAATAGGACGCGAAAAGTTTGGAATTGACATAAGACGGCAGACGCAATATTGAGCACGAATCCAAAAATGTATATGAAAATATTTGAGGCTGGTACAGCGTTCAAATAACTGAATAATGAAGCTATAATCATCAGTCGCATGACAGTTATCCTGACGTTATATCAGCCGCAAATATTTGGTTTTGCAATTTATAAGCGCATCGTGCGCAAATTATCCGTATAGACATTGATGCTGACATTATAGGGCATGGAAGCTGACTCTTCGTTGCGGTAACCATCGCTGCTGCAGCTGCGCCTCCTCTCGTGAACTGGGCATGCTGCGGGCGAGGCATTGCGGACTCGCACCCTATTTAATGAGAACTCCGTGTCCTCACCCACCGGCTGCGATGTGGTAATGCGTATGGGCATGTTGTTTATGCGCGTGTGTATGGGCTGGCTTGAGCTGACGGGCATGCCGTTCACGTGAAGATTCAGTAATTTACGCTCATTCAGGCGAGTGGCGGACAGACGTCGTTGCTGTAGACTGGCGTTGCTGGCACTCCCGAGCACACTGGCATTGTAATTAGAGCTACCCGAGCTGCGGCGTTCCAGTGTCCTGGCTGGTGGTGGATCATACTGCGTCCGCTCCGGCTGTGGACTTATTTGCGGCTTAAGGCAACGCAACGTTGTCAGATTCCGAGTGCAGTTTTGCAAGCGCTCGGCTCGTGCCGTCTGCGTGCTGGCACTAGCCGCGGACTGATGGACATAGCAGGGCACCATGCCTGGCAGACGATCAGTCGAAGCTGGCCTATATAGATGTGATGTCATAATTACAGGTGATGCAACTGACGTTGGCAACGACGTGGCACGCATTGGCAGACGCATTTGTCTGTCCTGCCACAACTGCTCCTGGTAGCAACGTACACGTTCGTACTCTCTTTTTCGCTGTGCTTCCCGCTCTAGCCCACGTAGCCTATGCCTTTCCCGCTCCGCCTCTATCTCCAGCAGCCTTTCATGATCGCGCTGTCTTTCCAGCTGCCTGAAACGCTCGCGTTCCTGATCACGTTGCCGCATACGCTGGTGTTCTTTTTGTAGCTCCTGCTGACACATCTGTTCCATACGTTTTCGCTCCATATGCACTTGCAGCCGTTTGGCTATCAAAAGATCTTGTTCACAATTCGCCTTGCGCAACGAATTAGTCTGGGCCCGGGCTTCGGGTAAACTAAACTTGGACAGACGCTTGTCAATGACAAAACTATCTGAGCTGCCGATGCGCGCTGTCGATTTATGTACCTTATAATTGTCCGTATTGTTGTGCAGACAGGCATCTGTTTCAATCTTGATTCGCAAACTCTTATCCAGCTCTGCCTCAGATTCCAGTCCATTTATATTAATGTTGATCGCACAACCGCTACAATTGCTGGCGCTGCGCCTCGGCGACACCTTAAAAGTGCACGTTGAGTATTTTTTCTCTGGCTCCTTTAAAGTGCACACGGAGGCACTTCTGCCACATCTGCGGTTCACATTTGAGTTAGCGGTGCTCTGCCTTATTGTGGTAAAGCTCTGGCCACGCCGCATCGTCTGATATTCGTCTCGATTGCAGCAGGTGCGCAACAGTGGGAAGTTAGAGACCGCAGCGGGCGGACTGCTAGCGAGCTGGCGACGAGTCAGTGATATATCCTTTCGCGGCTCAGTGGACACCATTACATTGTTAACTTTGTTCGGCAACGAGGAAATGCATTTGAAATCATTCAAAAACCTGCGACGCCTGTTCTCAGCGAAGGCACTCGTCGCCGGAGCAGCCTTGGGCTCTTGACACCTGGTGATGAACTTTGGATTCTGGTAATAGGTCTCGAAGGTGAGAGGCTTCGATTGCGGCGGCTCTGGTCGTTGGTATTGCTGAACGTGATATACGGGTCGATCAGCGTAGCGAAAGTTATACGATTGAATTTTGAATGGGTCGTTGTAAAAGACATCCGTAGACTGGCGGCGTGTATAAATGCTACTGGGAGCATCTGTCGATAAGAAGGCCTTGAAAATTGGTTCATTTCGAAAAATTGAAATTGTCAAATATACTTACACTGACCGCGACTCATTTTATGCAATAAATTTTGTGCTTTTTAAGGACTTGGGCCAAAGTTTTGCAAAATATTGCGCAATCATCTAGATTTTTTTTTTCAAAAATATTGTTCATGCCAAAAAAGAAAATTTTGTCAACGACGACTTTGTTTAACCGGAGAACCGACGAATTTGGATTTGCTTTCATCTACATACTTCAAAGTTCGGGCTTTGGGGCGCACATTAAAACTCTATCAGCAATAGGACGAAGCATTTGTGCAGCAATTCGGTTGTCGAAAACCAGCCTTCCTTAAGCAAATCAATTTACAAATCAAAAAAAAAAAAAAAAATCATATTAAATGTATTAAAAGTATATAATTGATTTTCAAAATGTTTATGTAATTGTCTTTAAATAAATATAAATAATATATTATATATACATATGTATGAAATAAATATGTAGCTACACTTACAATATATCTGACGCAATGAGGGAACTACACATAAGTTTAACAATATTAAGTATTCTTTACATTTTGAAGTATTATTCTTAATACATATGCGCGTACAAATGGTACAATTATTTTTCATTACCAATACAGACATACTTAATTTTAGTAAATAACAAAGATCAATTGGATCCCTCGGATACTTACGCGAGTTACTTGAATGGCTGCAAGTTTCTCCAAGCGTTGTACGCCTTAAACGGCGACGTAAAATCCAAATTTTTAAATCATGCACATCGCCGCCATCTTTTGGGCAGAATATTAACATTTTTACGCGCATAGAAAATTTAAACCTCGTAGCATGCAGTTCCAATAATAACTGAGAATCAGAAGAAAAGATTTTGAAAGGAAACATTTATCAGTTAATCGTATACAATGAGGTTTTATTTACAGTTGTACATAAGCAAAGCTGAAATACTTGCTGATTATCATCGTTATTTCATTGCACTAATATGCCTAACGTTAAAAAAAAACAAATACAAAATATTGAATACAACTATCTATCATAACTTACATAAATATAAATGTACGCTTAGATTATGTGTTGTAACTTTAAACGCTTGTAAAGAATTGCAAAATGCAATCATGCAGTATAAAAACCATTACGAATTCCCCAATACACTTATAAAATTATGTAGTACAAAAGCATTGTGCAGGGTAAAAACAGCTGTTTTCCTAAGAAAAATTACTTCAACTTTATTATGCAAACGTTTTGTTCACATTTACTTGTTGCTTAAAGCCTGCTTATCAACATGGTCTAACAATCTAAATATACTTGTGAATTAGACAATATAGCATAACCATGAACATATACAATCTACTATATAAATACATCAGTTATTGTTCAATAATATTATAGATATTGCATTACATAAAAAAAGCTGGTATGGGGTCAAACAATCTATAATACAAATAGCATAATATTTGAAAAATATCAAACGTTTTGTGCACAGTTTTAAGACATACTAAACGCAATGTATTTATTAATACTATACAAATTGATGTCAAAATTTAATAAAATACTAAACGCATATACATACTCTATCTAAAATAATAAAATACCGCTAACAACATTCAAAATTCTTATAGCTTAGTGCGAGCATACTAGTCAAAAAAAAAAAAGCAATACTATACTTACTACTCATATAAAATTATAATGCTATATTTATTAACTACATTAAGAATTTAAAAACCTGCTTTATCTATATAATAAGAAGTAAAACAACAATAAAAGCCATGTGTAATCATGTGAATATATGTCAAGTGTTGCGTTAAGTTTTTTGAAAAGCATTTGTAAAAGTATTGGAATGTAGAAATATATATACTGTGCAAATAAAATACACAGCTAAATAAATACATATATTATGTTATCATACAAGGAAATCAAAAGTATATTATACAATCCGTAATAGTCAGTTGACAAAAGTTTATCTATTTAATTGTAATCTGATAACTAAGCTGCTAATTACAAATTCAAAAAGGAGTTAAGTTTAACATACTGGCAAATTGTACTCTTACAACTAAATAAATACACGAAACACATACATATGTAACTAAAGTTGTTGGTGAATAATAAAGCTAGACCCGAAAACAAAACAAATCTTAAAAATAAACTTAATCAGTAAATTCTAAGTGTACTTTGCATTATGGAGGGATAATTTTGCAGCCACGTTTTTAATATAGACAATTCAATTAGGAACAAGTCTACGGTTCATGCTAATTCAAAGCTGACGTAATCCACATTAAACCCTTTGAGTTTTAAAAAGTGATGATAGTGTAAAATGTTGCGGGTAGAAATGTATATTAAAGCATGTCGAGGTATTAACTGCAAGTTCATCCTGAACTTTGACCGAAAATTTACAATTCAATTTAAAATGTACAATTATTTAAGAAGATAAGCCAGGCCAAAAAAATAATTCTGCGTATAAATCGGTTGAGTCTTAACAGCGTTATGGTAGTGTAAATTGAGCATTCCGACTTAAAACGACTTTTAATTTTTAGCCGATCACTAACAAAGTGTGTAGTTTAACATCTGTGAGCCTATCGAGAAAAATCGATTCTTTGGCGAACAACTGAATCCATCACATTGAATATTGGAACAAATACAACAATTGTATCTATATTGTCTTTAAATCGACTGCTTTTTCAGTTGTGTTTTTCAGCCCCATTCAATCTGTTTAAATAAACAAGCTGACAGACATTCAGTTCAATTTTATACGTGGTAATCGAACTTTTAGTTCATAAAATACACTGTTGTACTCAGATGGTGGTGTTAGGAATCCGTTATCAAATAACAATGGAGCTATTCACGATTTTCACCATTTTCCCAAACATATATGGCTGAAACAAATTATAATTATTATAATAAACAAAAAAAAATTCCTCATTTTTGCTCAAGCCAGTAGCAAGTAATATTTTTCTTGAATATTATTCGTGTCGCTGTTAACTAACAGTGGATCAAAATGTTATGTTGTGTCGCTGTACAACCGTGTGCATGGGCTACAGATAAACAACTGTAACCTCATCGCCAACATGCAGTTGTAAATTTTGTCATTTAAATTGAATTTTGAATACTTTTTTCGGGAGGTATTAAAAGTGCAAACAGAACGTGCATATTAAGTCAAGCTGTAGACAAAGTGATTAATTTTCGTAAATGCGCAGTGCTCGCACCTCAACGGTATCAAACTTACTGCCATAACTGCTGTTCGTGCAGACAGAAAAAGCAGCCATAAGATTTTCCTTTTTTTGTTTTGAGTTGTGCGCGCACACACAATCAAAACACACAAAACAACTGATACTTTGAAAAGGAGCAGCAAAAGAACAATGGACACCACTTTAAGCGCTGGAGCTGGTAAGTAGCTGAGTCCCCTTAAAAGAATTTGTCATATTTTAAATTGAATTTCCAACCTCCTACGGTCGGTGCGCTACAGCGCGTGTATGTCAGTTGGACAGGCGGCCTATATACATACGTATGCTGGCGCGCAAATTGTTGAGCTAAAGCAATACTGCGGCCGCACGACATATACGCAGTCGTAGGTTTCCATTAGTTTAAACAGATTTAGCCACCGATGTTGAATAATATTAGTTACATATTAGGTCGCAATAGCAAACAATTTGCTCAAATACAGTACATAGTGCTTTTTAACAAAGTGAAACATCCCAAAATACCCCATATGTAATCTGGCAACTCCGAGGCGTGTGATAGTGTGTGTTACTTTCGATACAGGTACAGTCTGTGGGGAGATTTGCTTGCAATTCGACCATTGCAAAAAATGAACATTTACACTTCCGAATTGTTTCATTTTAAAATTACGGCGGGAAACTTTGGCTTTAAGTGAGCGTAGACAAGTCATTACATTTTTTATAAAACGGCGGCACTCATAAATTTCTGAAATAATTTAAACAAACTTGCCACCCCGCACTGCCTTACAGCTGGTACGTATTTGAGTGGCAACACTTTAGTGACCCGATCTGGCAGCCCCGATGAGCAGCACATTTTAAGGTTTACGCAATTTTTTCCAATTCTTCCCAGTTATTAAAATTGAAAAAGCTAGCATAGCCGTTCATATTCGTTGTAAGTAATTTAATACTTGTGAGGTACATGTTGCGCCATTAAAGTAATTTGAAATTAAACTATAATAGGCAATCCCAAAGTATAACGAAAATAATGTCGCAAGCATTCGCGTCTGCCGTTTGCCGGACCGGAGCTACATTACGCTGCAGCCGGCGTGCCTTGTCCACGGCGAGATTGCTACGCAGTGTGACACGCCCACGTCTAGCCACCAGTACAGCATTTACCAAGAGTTTCCAGGCTGGCAATTGTCCCCCTACTTCTAAGGGCAATCTGCAGCAATATGTGCGCGAGTATGCAAATGAAAAAAAAGTGTTTGAGCGCACCAAGCCTCATTGTAATGTAGGCACCATCGGCCATGTGGATCATGGCAAGACTACACTGACGGCGGCTATAACGAAAGTACTAGCTGATAAAAAACTGGCGGAGAGCAAGAAATATAATGAGATTGACAATGCACCAGAAGAGAAAGCTCGTGGAATTACCATCAATGTGGCGCACGTTGAGTACCAGACGGAGACCCGTCACTACGGTCACACAGATTGTCCCGGTCATGCTGATTATATTAAGAACATGATAACTGGCACCGCACAAATGGATGGCGCTATTTTAGTAGTGGCAGCCACAGATGGTGCTATGCCTCAGACACGGGAGCATATGTTGCTTGCCAAACAAATTGGCATTGATCATATTGTGGTGTTTATCAACAAAGTCGATGCAGCAGACCAGGAAATGGTAGATCTTGTCGAAATGGAAATACGTGAACTGCTGACTGAAATGGGCTACGATGGCGATAAAATTCCTGTAGTAAAGGGTTCAGCATTGTGCGCTCTGGAGGACAAGAATCCCGAAATTGGTTCCGAGGCTATACTTAAATTGCTTAAAGAAGTTGATAGTTTTATCCCGACACCAGTGCGCGAGTTGGACAAACCATTCCTGTTGCCTGTGGAAAACGTGTATTCGATTCCTGGGCGTGGTACTGTCGTTACGGGTCGTCTAGAGCGCGGTGTGGTCAAGAAGGGAATGGAATGCGAATTTGTGGGCTACAACAAGGTACTAAAGTCCACGGTCACTGGCGTAGAGATGTTTCATCAGATTCTTGAGGAGGCGCAAGCTGGCGATCAGCTGGGTGCTTTAGTGCGTGGCGTAAAGCGTGATGATATTAAGCGTGGAATGGTCATGTGCAAACCCGGTAGCGTCAAAGCACTAGATCAGTTGGAGGCACAAGTTTACATACTGTCCAAGGAGGAGGGTGGTCGAACCAAGCCCTTTATGTCGTTCATTCAGCTACAGATGTTTTCTCGCACTTGGGATTGTGCTGTTCAGGTGCAAATACCGGACAAGGAGATGGTTATGCCTGGCGAGGATACTAAACTAATATTGCGTCTGATACGTCCCATGGTTTTGGAACAAGGTCAGCGTTTTACGCTTCGTGATGGCAACCTAACCTTAGGCACAGGCGTTGTAACAAATGTAATGCCTGCACTGACAGAAACTCAGCGTTCTGAGCTAACGGAGGGTAAAAAGGCGCGTGAGAAAAAAGTCGCTGCCAAAAAGTAATAGCCTTGTATTCGTCAGAAGCTTATTCTAAAAGTCGGTCGTAAATAAATAAATATATTTCTAATTTAATTATATTTTATACATATTGAGTTAGTTGTTTTGATGCGTTTAAAATTTAAAATCATAGGTCAACCATTAAAAAAACAAAAATAATAAACTTCTACCTACACCAAACAAAATAGACTTGCTAGTAACCAGTCAATGGTTCGTTGTTTTATGGATGCAACTTTAACTATCAGAATCCATACTGAACAACCTTGCAATGATAAGCTCTGCTTAAGTTTATATAATTTCTAGCCACAAGCTTATGTCTGTTGAGTGAATGGTTTGGGAAATTTTGAAGATCAAACATGATATATTTTTACAACTATCGATAATAGCAAATAGCAGCACTGGTCTCAGCGGGACCAGTGTTGGTCAATGCGGTGTTCCAACCGCTACGCAGCTGATGTTCATGCTAGAAGTTTTTGAAATTGAATTGAAAAAAGTTGATTGTCTGCAAATATGTTTGCTAACCGTTTGTCTGAGCTTTCGGGTACATTCGAATATTGATTGTTTATATTCAATTTAAGTAGTTTCATGTTAATTTGCTTATCATCCACAGACGAACTAGGGGATACCACGCCATTGCCTGAACTTACCCTTTATGATTTGCTGGAGTCGCCAGCAACGTCTAAAGAGCACAACATGGATGTTGCAGGTCATAGTGGTAATGTCGATAAAGATAGCGAAGACCAGTACGTGGGAAAAAAATTGACGTCAACCTCATCCAGCGAATTGTTGAATAATCCGGGGCCAAAAAAGACTCCAATTGTGCGAATACTGGAGAACAAACGATTGACAGCGCCTATGGGCACAGCTTTAAAAAATATGCTAGGTGGATCTGTTAGGGTAGTAACAGCGCCAACAAAAACGACGCAAACGATGGACGTTAAAATCCTAAACAAGCTGCAGACGAAGCCCTTAAATGCTTATGGCAACGCGGCTGTTAAAATCGGCAGCACCACAATAGCAGCACCATCAGGTTCAATCCCACCACTAACAACCCAGATGCCCAAAAATATTAGCGGTGTCACCATGACGCAAATTAAAACAGCTGACGGCAAAGTGCTCTATCTACATAAGTCATTGCCCGTATCAGGGGGAACCGCGGCAAAGCTGCCAGTGAATGCCACATCTCGCTTGGTGAGCCAGTCTATTCTTTCTAAAGGTGTTACTCTAAGTGGCACAGTCCCAATCAAGAGCACCGCGCCGAGCTCGTCAATAACAGTCAGAGGTTTAACGGCCATAGGAGCGACTAAATCAACACCACCAACATTATCAAATCCCTTAACAACAATAACAACTTCACAAACATCGGGTTTGGTAAAAAGTCCATCATCAGCAGAACCTGCATCTGTACCAGGGTCTTCTAAGATGCCAATACAAGTGGTGCGCACCGCCGAAGGTAAGATAATTAAACTAAATCAAGGAGTTCCCTCTGTGCTTCTTAATTCCAAGTCAACACCGTTGGCTGTAAGAGCTTCAGCTAGTACTGCACCAGCAGTACCAACGGCCGTTTTAAGCAACAGTAGCAGTAGGTTATTAAACAAGCCCTCTACGCAAGTGATCATAAAGGGACCGTTGAAGCAGCTACCGGCAGGCTCATCACTTAAGCCTGTCAACAACAATACAAGCAGCAGCAATAATGCAACTGGCAGTGGTAACACCAGTAGCAGCATAGCATCAGCAACAACAGGGGCAACAATGCCATCCGGTAAAATGCTGGTTCAAAGCTCTACGGGCAAACAAATTGTTGTGGCCAGTAAGAATATTATTAAGTTATCGCCGAAGCCAGGCGCAAACGCAACGACTAATACAAATACGAATACCACGCCCAGCGGTCTGCATGCCATTCAATTATCGGGAAAAAGCGGCGTGCAGTATGTGCGCGTTTTACCCAACAATAACACTGAGCCGACCACTAGTCCACAGAAGGTGTCACTCGGGCGTCCACGCACGAGCAGCAACAGCAACAACAACTCAACTGTATCTGTCAGCAACACCAGCAAAATCGTAATGAAAACAATGGGCGGTAGCATCGTGCCGCTACCGTCCATGCAAACTTTGGTGCCCAGGGTGAGTAGAGTCAGAGTCCAAGCGGATACTTTAATTTTTACTATTTGTAAGATTTGCTTTCTCACTAAGTAGTTACAAAAAGCCTACTAATATAATATATAATAAAATATATATTATATATAAAAAAAATTAAAAATATAAATTAATAAGTTTTTTTTAAACGGAGTGCATAAATTATTTTCTATAAGAATATATTAGGACAAAAATGTATATTTGAAAGCTTTTACATTTTACAGCGAGCACCTGGCACGACATCTAACTCAGTACACGCTAAGACCCCCAGCAACAGCAATAATTTGGAGGCCACACGCAAGCATCGCCTATCCGATATCAATGTGCAAATAAAGCATTTGACAAACGATAGCATCGGCGATACCGGAGGACCGGACGCGAAGAAGGCACGGTATGTTATTGCCATGCCCCACACTTCGACGACATCGGCAACGATGTCAACGACAACAACTCCAGCGTCCCAAAAACATATGCAGAAGTTGACGGGAACGCGGGCACCACAAATGCAACGTGTCACGGTGCAGGGCGCTAAAGTTGCAGACCAAGGGCGAAAGGTCTACAATCTGGTCACAAAAAGTGACGCCAATGGCGTCAAGTATATGATCTGTAACAAAGGAGGCGAGGGAAAACCACGCACAGTCTTCAACACCACAATGCGACGTGGCTATACGCTCGCCGAATCAAAGCTGCGTCGTCCTGTAACGCTTACTTCGCAACAGTTGCGCTTCAAGCAAATGAAACTGCAGCAGCAGAGACAGATTGTTGCTCAGGCCAAGTTGCGACAACAACACCTACAGAAACAGCAGCTGTCTACCCAAACAAAACAACAACAGCAGCAGCAAATAGTAAAGTCTAAATCAACACAGGATAATAAATTAACTGTGCCGGCCAAGCCATTATTTGATATACTAAAGCCGCCGCCAACACCGGCTCCTGCAGCAACTGCAGCACTTGATGCACTAGGCGGATCCCGAAGAAAACATTGCAACTGCAGCAAATCTCAATGCTTGAAACTTTACTGTGACTGTTTTGCCAATGGTGAATTTTGTCAGGATTGCACCTGTAAGGATTGCTTCAATAACCTGGATTATGAGGTCAAGCGAGAGCGAGCCATACGAAGCTGCTTGGAGCGGAATCCCAGCGCATTCAAGTAAGTAACTAAGACAATTTAACAGAAATATTTTATATTCTTTATTACTCTCTCGCGTACAGACCCAAAATTACGGCGCCCAATTCCGGTGACATGCGTTTACACAATAAGGGCTGCAATTGCAAACGGTCTGGGTGTCTAAAAAACTACTGCGAATGCTACGAAGCCAAAATACCCTGCTCTGCCATGTGTAAATGCGTAGGTACGTATCTGACAATCGAATATGAAATATGTAACACTGATATAGCATTGATATAGCATAGTAGTGAATAGCAACAAACTGACTAACAAATGGATATTATACTATAAAGTCACCTTATTGTTATAATTCAGAAAATATGTATATGTAATTACTTGTTTGGTGAACGTATATTGAAGCAGTAAACTTTCCCATCAAGAAATAATTTGCACCGATGTTAATAAGATTTTACTCATGTTTAAGGATCATAGTAAAACTAATTATTGCCGAGCTAGATTCAAATATCTTTGAAAAAAGATTTTCAAAAACTCAGTTTTCGATCGATTATTTCTATGGCAGCTATAAAAGTATACAGTGGTCTGATCCGGGCGGCTTCGACATTGTTCTGCCAGCAACAGAAAGACGGGGCTGTGAAAAGTTTCATGCCGATAACTTTAAAACAATAATTTGTTTATTCATGCTAAATATATGTGTAATCTTTATTAGCTCAGAGATGTCTTCTTCTATGCGTTACACATTTCATGACAAAATTAAAATACTCGACAGGAATATAAAAATAAAAGCTAATTTCGTTTAAAATTTCAAGGATGTCGTAATATGGAGGATCGTCCCGATGTTGATATGGACTCTATGGACAGCCTGGCTGATGTGAAATTACAATCGAATAAAATGAAAGAACTAAACGGAACACATCTACAGGACAACCGCTCGAATGTCTATCTAACAGACGATGTGATAGAAGCGACTATAATGTGTATGATATCGCGCATTGTTATGCATGAAAAGCAAAATTTGCCAATAGAGGATACGGAACGTGAGGTAATGGAGGAGTTGGGCGAAAGTTTAAACCAAATTATTACCTTTGCCAAGGAGAAGAACGATACATTTCATATGGACGATACCAAGACGATGGCTTAAGAATAGAGCTTGAAATCAATTTATATTCTTACATTTTAAAGATCCTTAATTTTCAGTCTTGATGCACATACTATATTATTTTTTAAGTTCAAAGCGATCTGACCTGTTTATTTTTTTCAATTATTAATGTCTCTTAAATAAGCTTTCCAAAAGTTGACCTTAAAGTGTAAAGTGCAAATAAATTATTAACTATATGCAATTGCATGTAAATAGCATTTACAATAGCAATAGCTAATGTAAGAACAAATCTATCTTTTGGTATCGTTTTTTAACGCTTTATACCAATAACACCCAATCTACTGTGTATGTAAATAAATTAAAATTCAATAAAGCAGAAATTTCAATTACTCCTATTTAAATTTGCAAGAAAACAAAAGATATTGAAATATATATGTAAACTTTGTAGTCCGAAGGTCTTCCTTTACGATTTGCAATTCTTCAACGCGACTTCGAATTCGCGAACGTTGCAGAAACTCTGAACTTTGTATCTCTGACTCTGCTATATAGTAAAGCTGATGGCAATTAAGCTAGATTCTTTAAAAACCTTCTTTTTTTATTAATAAAATGAGTAAATAAACATTAAGACTATTCAAACATAATTAACACTAAAATACAATACACAATCATTTTAGAATTCTCGATGATAGGCGCAGAAAAAAATTCGAAACATAAAAAACTTTTTAAATAAATTTGAAAAATAGATCGACCATTTTAAATTCTACATAAACTCCGATGATGGTCTTAATTTAATCAAACGATTGCGAAGCGAATACGCCCTTGACGCATTCCCATTGCTTTCCCCAGTTTCTTCATTTACTGAAGTCATTCGCTGACCGTTTCGAGGCGAGGGTTTTTCTGGAGTCATGTCCTCTTCACAGTCTTCCAGCTTGTTGCCAATGACAACCTCATCTCCACTAATATTGCCTTCGTCGAAGGTGAACTGAAAACGACGCACTTTTTTCTTGGCGCTAAATATAACACCGTGGGCACCAGACTCACGTTTTTTGGTTCCAGGCGTTTTTAAAATGGACATGGGCAGCTCAGAACGTGGCGTCATCTGCTGACGAGATACTTGCTCCGCTGCGCCCATAATAGCAGACTTCAATAAACTATTACCGCCAATGGATTGCCGATTATCGGTGTCACGTGATACCCGAAGCACGGTTCGTGCCGGCGAGAAGGATTTGCGGTCGCGAACCACAATAAAACGATGCTGTGAGTGACGCTTCGGAGTAAGGTTTGGCTGGCTGTTTTGCTCGTTGATTTCGCCAGATACCTGATTTATTCGCTTGGCTGCATAAGCCTTTCGCAAAAAGCTTCTTAAGTCGCTGCTTGGCTTAGCGATTTGTTTTCGTTTTGCTTTAAGCCCCACTTTTGATTTGGTTTTGGGCACTGTCTCCGCTTCTGGATCCAGCCAATCGTTGGCTTTCAAACGCAGCAGATTATCGAAGCGTTTGTCTACATTTTCGCTCTGTAAACGTAACATATCCCACCACCCCTCTAAATCTTCAACGAACACAGGTTTAGAAGCCTCACTGCCATCATTGGGAGGCAAACCAATGCCGGTAGCACCCGCTTCACAGCGATCAATAAGACTCTTAAACTGCATTAGTTTCTTGCTGGTAAGCAGATTTGTCTGTCCAATAGCCGCATCTATCATGTCCTTTGCCCCATTCTCTAGAAGTCGCACTTCATTTTGGTTGTTATATAACTGCCACTCGGCACAAAGCGAATGCAGGCGTCTAATTTCTTTATCCAGTTGCATTCGAAAGTATTGTACAGAGTCTAGTGTGCTACGCACAGCAACGGGAGTCTCCGGTTTTTTCTCACTTGGACTCTGTGTGCTAGTGTTGTTGGCATTGTCACGCTGCATCCGTGTGCTCGCTTTTCCACGTGCTACGGTCACAAAAGGACTTAGGTAAATTGATTGACTTGCTTGTGTACGTATCGGGGACTTCGCCAACATTGTCATGTCATCTAAAATTATATATGTATGATGATTACCATTTATTAGAATTTATGAAATCGACAAAAAGCCCACTTACCCTCTTCTGCAGGCAACGTGAGTTGCGGCTCCGTTAGTGTCGGGGATCCTGTCAACAGTCTCTCCGCAACAGACACTATTTCATTGGACTCATCGGCAACTGCCACAGAACTTATATTGGGTATCTTTCCGTGGGCCTCTAAAAAATTATCGCTACTTTTATTGGACCTGCACTCGGTAGATGTCGCCGCTGCATTGAATAAATGTTTATTGCTGACAACATAAAGTGACGTATCGGGGCTCTGCATATCGCAAGTTGATTGCAGTAGGTTCAGTTTGGACAATATTGCTTGTCTTTGCTTGCAGTTCATGAGCGCTGGCTTTTTGGACTTCATGCGTGTCGAGAGCTGTGAGGAGAGATTGTTTTTTGATTTGGTTTTGCACTGGGCTGCACCACCTCCTCCCCTGTTTCTGCTTGTTCCGGGTAATTCAAATGGCTGTGTCATCAAATTTTGCGGCTTTGATGCGTTTTTAATGGACCCCGCCATATTTTTTTTAACTCCAAGGGTTGTTGGTGGCTTTCGTTTAGGTTCAGGGTCTATTTGTGGCTTTTTAACTATAGATTCAGTAGATGCTTGCAGAGACTTCGTTGTCTGCCGCTTATTTACTGCTTGATTATCAGATGCTGCTAGTGGCGGCTTCGTCGAACGATTCAATTGAGGCTTCATTTCAGCATTTTGTAGGTTTCGGCCAATAGCGAAAGGCTTAACTGATTTGGCCACAAGCTTTGACTTAACTGCAGCTGTGGAAGCAACAGGAGACGAAGGTTTTTTCGTTGTGGGCACTTGAAAAGGGATGTGCTTACCTGCATTCGCGAATGCTTTGGACTTTACTGCACTAGTAGCAGCACAACCCACAGTTTTTTTTGCGGCCGGCATTTGCATAGATATTGGACCTGTTGTTACCTTAGGAATATCTGGAAGCTTTTTGCTTTTCGATGAATTAGAAACCGGCATCTCTGCTTTGGATTCATACATTGAGCGACGTTTTTGCTGCTTATCAGTACGTATCGGGGTCGTCGTCAACATCGTCATGTCATCTTTAATTAGATAAGTGTGATGATTGACAATTATTAATATTTTTGAAACCGACCTAAGGCCCACTTACCCTCAACTGCCTGCATCGTGTGTTGCGACTCCTTTAATGTCGGCGACGATGTCAACAATAGCCTCTTAGCACCAGACACTGTCCCATTGGAGTTATCGCCAACTGCCACAGGACTTATATTGGTTATGTCTCCGTAAGTCTCCAATAAATTATCGCTACATTTATTGGACTTGCACTCAGTAGATGTCGCCATTGCATTGAATAAATGCTTATTGCTGACAACATGAAGTGACGTATTGGGAGTCTGCAAATCGCAAGTTGCTTGCAGCAAGGTTGGTTTGGTAAGTATTGCTTGTTTTTGCTTGCAATTCAGGAACGCTGGCTTTTTGGACTTCATGCGTGTCGAGAGCTGTGAGGAAAGACTGTTTTTGGATGTAGTTTTGCTTTGGGCTACACCACCTCTTCCCCTGTTTCTGCTTGTTGCGGGTAATTCGGTTGGCTGTGTCCTAAAATTCGACGAACTTGATGCGTTTTTAACGGACCCTACCATCATTTTTTTAAGTCCAAGGGTCGTCGGCGGCTTTTGTTTAAAGTCAACCTCTCTTTGTGTCTTTTTTATTATGGGTTCAGTGGGTCCTTGCAGACTCTTCGCTGTCTGCTTCAGATTCCCTGCTTGATTATCGCATGCAGTTAGTGGCGGCTTCGTCGAACGATTCTTTACAACTGTTTGAGGCTTTATTCCAGCACTTGGAAGATTTCGGCCAGTAGCTTGAAGCTTAACTGCGCTTGCCGCAGTCTTTGCAACCGCAGATGTAGACGCAATAGAAAGTTTTGTCGCTGTGGCGATAGGTGCATTCGCAAATAGTGCACTAGTAGAAGCAAAACCCAAGGGTTTCTTTGCGGCCGGCAATTGCAAAGATATTGGAGCAGTCATCTCTGCTTTGGACTCAAAAACGTATAGTGAGCGTCTTTTTTCCTGCGCTTCTACTTCACTATTTGAATCTGGTTGCGCGTCCTTTTCTTCTTTCCTTTTCTTCTGCTTTTCAGCCTCCTTCCACTCCTTCCACCCGAGAAAGCGTTGCAAGTAATGGCCTTGGCGCTTTGTTATCTTATTGACAGGATTTATATTTGGCGCCGGGAGTGCATTTTCTTGCTGGTTTTTTGCTGCAGTCGTTGAAAGGCTGTTCAGTTTCTGCTCCTTTTGTGTTAATGTTTTTGACGAAGTGGGACTGATATCTATTATGCGATTGCTTTGAAAATGTGCGTCGCTTAACTTAGTTCGCACGACGCGTTGACGCTCCCGGTTAATTTCAATATGGTTGTGCGGACTTAGCACCCTCGATTGCATCTTGAATAAGTTTTAGCGATTTTCAGTAGTTTGTACACAATATCACTGCAATTTTATTTTCGAATAAATTTGTACAAAGTTACTTTTAAAATCCAACTGTATCAAAAATAAAAACTACAGTTTCTAATGTCAAATGCAGTACTATTAGAGCGGTCGCTTGGGATGGCGATATTGCCACATTGCACGATTAGGTGTGACCACTGTCATGAAAAAAAATACATTTTTGAATACTAAAAGATTAAAAAGGCGTACATTTGCGGTAATTTCAGTAACAATAGTTTATTTATAATAAAAAATACGTTTAAATTACAGCGATTCTGTATTAGACATAATAAAATTAATTAAATAATTTGTATCGTGAAAAAAACAAAAATTCGTCGAATATTGCATGAGTATGTGGCTTCAAATGAGTGCGATTGTGTGTGTCTAGAGGGGTTAAAAAAAATAAACAACAACAACCTTAGCGATGAGCACAGCGGCATTGCCAGCAGAAACTACACGCCCTGCTTTTTGACAAAATGAGTTTTATTTTGATGTCGTCTGGTGCATACTGATGGTCACATGATTATTTATAAATTGTGCGATATGTAGATCATTAGCGTGTTTATTATTTATATTTAACAGGGCGGTTTTATTGGTAGTCCGTAAAGTACACGCTGCTGGCAACGCTATGCAAGCTCAATTCCTCTCGTTTTCTTTCTATCTTTTTCACACACGCATACATATATGCCCGTCATTCTCAGTTGTTTCGTCGTGAGTGCCGCTATCACTTCGTGTTTGTTGCTCTGTTGCTGGCCTGGCTGCGGCTCCGTCATCGTCGTCGGTGTATTTTTAATCACTTTTCTCGCTGTCTATGGCTTTGAAAATATTGTACTAATTTGGAGACGTGCAATCGAATATATGAGTTATTGTTTATATAATAAGTTTCGTTGTGTTGTGTTTTAAATGCAGATGTGAAAATAAACGAGTAAATCATAGCATTTTTCAAAAAATAGCTACGAGAGTAAGCACCTAACAACAATTGCATATATGCATGGGAGTATATATGTACATATATGTATGTGTAAGCAACAAGGCTGATTAAGAAAAGTAATTCAACTAAAAGTTAAACAAATTGTACTTAGAAGAGCAACAATTTAAAAACAAACCACCCTCTACAAAATGGAAGCAATTGCCAAACATGATTTCTCTGCTACTGCCGATGATGAACTTAGTTTCCGTAAAACTCAAATTCTAAAGGTAAGAAAAATTAAAAAAAAATTGACTAAGATTTACATTTTGTACATCTCTGCAACAGCTTACAGGTCTACAGTTTTATAGATGACTGTCACCATATACTGCAATTATCGCCGTCGAGTTCTGTTTATAATTTTTTCATACAACTTGATTCATATGTTTGCTTGCAATATTTGTTGCCTGAGTTGCGGTCGGTTCCCATGTTAACCCAAATTCCTCTCCAAAGTCTGATGTATTAGTTGCAAAGGACTCCAGAGTGCGTATAATTTTGCAAATGGATCAAAAGCGCATCTCGCAAGAGCAAATGCATATGTGTACAAGCAATGTATACTTGCAAGTATATGTGTTTACTCAGGGATTTGTCGGAATGGCCCCGCTCTTTATACAAACTCTGTTAGTCAGATAATAAATCCGTGCGAAACCCTATAGGCGCAATAAACATGAATTGAATGTTAATTAGAATAAATAGTACACATTTCACGATTTTCTACATTTGTAATGTAGAATTGTTAGATTCGTTTGGTTCTTATTTGCAGTAGACTGCAGTATTATCATAATCTTTGTATTACGATTCGTCATGTAAAACTTTGCAGAGCAAAAGGAGCACATTAAAATTTACCGATAGTGAAAAAAAGAAAAAAACAAAACAATTCGTTACGAATAGCGATTATCTGCAAAAACGCTTCTTTTTTTTTGTGTATATACTCTTATATTTGTCTCAGCTGGAGACGGAGTCCGAAACCCAAAATTATGATGAAGAATCTGGTTTTCTCCCCACTGCACTATTGTCTTGGTGTGCGCTTGCCATGCCTGGGGCCCCTTTAAGCAATTGGTTCTCTTTGTTTTGGCAGGCGAAATTTCAGGTTTTTAGTTTTCAGGCGGTGTAAGCTGACCTGACTGCTGCGTTCTTGTTGTTATTGTTTACTGTCTATCCGCTCTTGTCGTAGGTTAGTCACTTAGCGTGCCAGTGGTTTATTTTTGTCTTGTAGGGTCGCTTTTGGGTTGTTCATGCTGATTGATGATGTCAATGACTTGGACTACGCTTTATCAAACAGCTGCTGTTTCTGGTTATCAAAGGCTTATCAGTTGCACTCAATCCAGATCAAACAACTAATCGAGCGTCTTATCAGTTATTTTTGAAAATGCTGGCAGCTCGATTAAAGCTTCCACAATACAGTATAAGGAGACAATGATATCAAGATCACATCCCCACGTTTTAATAGGCTTGTAAAATGATGCGTGGAAACACAAAATGATTTTATATGGCTTATACATAAACTGTCGACTTGGCTTCGATTGGTCATGAATCAAGTTTGAGAAAGATTGGATTATGTATCTACCATCAAACATTCAAAAAATACATTTTCTCTGTTATAACAAATTTGGGCGATGTTTTAATAAATAAAACAGATACCTAAAAATAAACCAAACTATTCTTCGCTTGTTTGAGAAAAAGCGAATTCGCCAATAGTTGAACATATAGAAATACTGCTGCTGCCAGCCAGCTTACTGAATATATACATATAAACAAAATAACATAAGTAGAACGCATATGTAAATAGTTTTTATAAACGCAAAATAGTGACAAATACGAATCACAAATTTTATAACAAAAAAAAAACGGACAATTAAGAATCCTATTTGAGTTTATACGTTTTTAGCATTGTACCATAAAGAATCCTGCGTATCTGTAAATTACACACATAAAATATAAACCGTTTTATATTTAGCCAGTTTATCTGTTTATCTGACATGGTTTAGATAAACGCATGAACTAGCGAAGCTCGGAAATTTCGAAGAAGGTAAACAGATGAAACACGACGGAGTCTACTTGCATTACTAAACGAATACTATTACTCATTTATTAGCATTGCCTCCGGAATATGACTCACTGTTTGCTGTTGAGACGGTGATCATTCCCATATTTTTAAAGCCAAACCTTTCCTATTACTACTGTATTGCCAACCATAATTAAGCATGTTTTATTCGCAGATATTAAATATGGAGGACGACTCAAATTGGTACCGTGCCGAGTTGGATGGGAAAGAAGGGCTTATACCCAGTAATTATATAGAAATGAAAAATCACGAGTGAGTAACTATGAACATTAATCAGTACATTTTAAAATATCGTGATAATTCTAATCATATATTCAAGCTGGTACTATGGACGCATAACCCGCGCCGATGCGGAGAAGCTGTTGTCAAATAAACATGAAGGCGCCTTTCTGATACGCATCAGCGAATCTAGTCCCGGCGATTTCTCCTTATCCGTCAAGTATGTAGCTTTAATGTATCAGTCAATGATTAGTATAATATCCTTGTATGAATTCACAGATGTCCTGATGGGGTCCAGCATTTTAAAGTACTACGGGACGCACAGAGCAAATTTTTTCTCTGGGTTGTCAAGTTCAATTCTCTCAATGAATTGGTCGAATATCATCGAACGGCGAGCGTATCGCGATCACAGGACGTAAAATTACGTGATATGATACCTGAAGAGGTATATTATATTGAGTGAAGGCCATGCAACAGATGTTTTCATATAAATAAAAATTGTTCACGTTTATAAACTCGAAATATCCCGTTCTTTTGCAGATGCTCGTTCAGGCGCTATACGATTTTGTGCCACAGGAATCTGGTGAACTGGACTTTAGACGCGGAGATGTCATCACCGTTACAGATCGTTCTGATGAGAATTGGTGGAATGGCGAGATTGGCAATAGGAAAGGCATTTTTCCAGCAACCTATGTGACGCCATATCATTCATAATATTGTTCACCCCAACACACACATACATAACGCATAAAACATAATTCACACACTATACTATGAAATACCAATTTTTAATGCATATTATTATATGTACTGTTCAATAATTCGACATGAGCATTGCATATAGATACATATTGTATAAACTGTAGGCATAACAGCCGAATGCATTTTTTTACGTCATTGACAAGCAGTTTGCAGCCATATTCTAAATTAATGCAATATTACAAGAAAAATTAAACTGACAACTAAATCCTCTTGTATGGTGAATATATTATACATCGCACTATATTATTAATGTAACAATTTTTGATATATATACATATATATATTTTTATTTAAGTCCAATCACATGTAGCTTTCCACGTACACCACTCTAAATGTGCTATTTATTTTGTGTGCGTGTATGTGTGTGAGAAAGAGAAAATTTTATGATAATTAAATATATTATAAAAAAAATTACCAATAACAACTCTACACAAACTACCGCTTATTTGACAAAAAAATTTAAAAATAAAACTATGACAACAACTTTTGCCTAAATGTCTCAAAGCGAAGACAAATAAAATTATTATCATAATTAACAGTCAAATATAATATATTTACATATATGTAATATATATATATATTTAACAGTTGACGTTAAGCATACATTTTTACTGAATTTCACTTGTACGATGCGCCTATAATCAAATTATATAAAATTTGTTTTCTCATATAAGAATTTTGTGTGATTGACATTCAGTTGCTGGCATTTTATAAACTTTTGCAACCTTTCAAAACAATATTACTTATTTGCTATTGATATACATTGCGTTTTAAATGAAAACATACTATTATATATTAACTTTTGTTTTGCATAAGCGCCTTTGGTTGTCATAATAATTCACCGACAAGTAGTTGCACACTTCTAACATTACGTACAATATGCATTAAAATAAATACGAAGTTGCCAATATCAGTAATTACACCGAAAAACAATATTTTTATATGTATTTCCTAACATACACGAAAATTAAACGAAAAACGAAGATGCCTCATAAAAATTTGTCAAAATTTATTTGATAGCTATAGTTATGCATGCACAGTTCAATCGGCCGATGGCATACATTTTTTGAAGTAATATGCAGGCTTATATAATAAATATTTTGCTTAGTCCACGTCCTCTGAAAATCAAATTAAAAACCTAGTGGTAAACTAAGCGTGGGAGAGTGAAATGGTTAGAATCGGATTATTCAATTAGTTAGATTTAGAAATCTATTACAAATTCATAAGTATATATATATTTGTGGAAGCAATTAGTGTGCGCACTGATTCATCTAATTAAAAGCAAACCTATTTACGTTTTTATTTGTTTTAATTTAAATTTGATCAACATATCTTATACATATGTATATAAAAAAAGGTTTTCATACAAGAACCTACTTTACGAACGATGATCACCATATGCAAGTTTCAGAACGATAGCTTTAAAACAGAGACTAGTTGACATACAAACAGACAGACGGAGATGGTTATATCGACGCGGCAGTTAATGCTGATCAAGAATATAAATACTTTATTGATTCGGAGATGACTTCTTCCTCTTCTATGCGTTACACATTTCATCTACAAGGATATAAAGAGCAGACCCTTTTGCGTATTTATTATTTGTGATATATTATTAGAAAATAGATTACGAAAGATGCAAAACTGTAAAAAAAAACCTCTTAACGCCTAACCTAATATTTATTTCCGTACCCGAAAATAACAGAAGATTAAGTATTGCCAACAAAAATGTAATGTATGGAAACTTACTGGTTAAATGAACGCATAGCAAAACCAATAAATTCGCAATTGACATTTTGCATTTTTAACACAAATCCTATTTTCTAAAGTAATCACATTTTTTTTAGTTTGTGTCATAAAGTTTACATATATTGTAATAATCAAATAAATTTAGCTTGGTATTTTTCTGGAAAATTTAGTATATTTTGTGTATAGATGTACGGTCACATTGCATTCGTATCGACGACGGAAAGCATGTCAGGCGAGTTCTTACGCGCACGACAGTTAAAATAATTTACTATATATGTATATATATATATATATATATATAGTATAAAGCAAAAAGAACACGTACGAATATACAACAATCATTTAAATTAAATAAGCTGAGTTAGTCTGGTGTATTGTGTAAAAGAAGACCATTGCCAAGCCTTTGAGATTGAGTGTTATATGTGACTTATCAAGAAAAATTTTGACACACGGCACACACACACATACATAATCGTTTCATAGACGTAGTACATATGTATATGCATGCGAGTGAAAATTGCAAGTAACAAGCAGGTGTGTGTGCGAGTGTGCGTGTGTGTGCAAATGCTCTTTCGATAATTTACGCGCCTTGTCACACAGTCAAACAAAATTGTTGGTTTCACCTTTGCCACCTGCTTATACAAAATGCCGATACTTGCCTATAAGGAACAGCGCATTCTCAGCCCCCAGCAACTGCGCAAGCTAAGCGAACACAAATACTCATGCTTCAGCGCAAGCCTGCTGGATCCCTTGCTGCAGCCCTGGTGGAATTGGTTGGTCTCCCAAACGCCACTTTGGCTGGCACCCAATCTGATAACAATCGTCGGTCTAATACTCAACATTGTTACAACGCTGATATTAATTTGGTAAGTGCTAATTTTGTATCAATCTTTCTATCAATTATGTACAGGTGCGTTATTGCGTATGTTCATACATATGTGTGTACGAATCTTACAAATAACTCAATTTTGGAACTCATTATATACGCGTTGGGTAGCTCTTAGTTGGCGTGTTGCGGTTAGCCGATGAACACAGTTGATTAGATGCATTAGAAATCTACTGAGTGAAATAACCTTTCCATTTCTTTCATATTCCCACATGTTTCTTTGCTATCGTTATCGTAAATATTTCTATAAACATGTGTATAGACGGAATTTCATACATTCAATAGCTTTAAAGATATGTTATACAGTTGCCTTGATGATCTCCATTAGTTCTTCTCACGGCTTCAAGTGAAGATTTCAGATCTTGAATGAATTTTTTATTTTAACTAACAAAGTTGAAATATTAAGCGCTTTATTATTATAATCCATCCAAAGGAGGAATTTTCTTGTTCTGCGTATAATCGATCGATGGTTAGTATTATTATATACATATTCAAACCTACATTAAAAATTGGTAGTGTAGCATTATCTACAATCATCTGAAATACAGATGAGTCGTTTCCCCTAATGCGTGGCATTAACCTTATCATGGCGTAACTTGCACTGTTAGTTCCAGTCGAAATGTCGACTCTGATAAGATAGCAACGGATCGTCGGGGTCGCAACTCATTTACTTTTAAAATATCTTGTTTTTTTACTGGGTTGAATTCAATAAATCAGAAAGGTGGTTCAAGACATACGAAATAAGTAGTGGAGAACTTATCATCGACTAGTTGTTGTTGATTACACTCCGTCTGCTTGCTTTTTGATATTGCCCGACTTTTTGGCTTCGCATGTGCACAAAAGTTCAATTGAATTAACCCCCGAGTAAATTATTTTCAAGTACAATATTTTCATTATTCTTGCTTATGCAATTGATGAGTGCTTTGATTGAATTAAATAAAAATTTGCATTTTTAATTGATTCCCATTTTGCAAATAAACGACTAACTTTCGAGCACTACAAACGCCAAATTTTGAGCTATAATGATCCCACCCTCATTTATGTCAGCCCTTATATTTTTATAAAGTATACTTCCAAAATTAACTTTTGAACTTTTTTTTTAAAACCGAATCGTAAAGATTTTGTTGTGACTAAGAACTTCAGTCTTATTATTTTTTCACTAAATAATTCATCTATTCGGTATTTAATACTAATAACTAGAAACAAACATTGGACATTCAAAAATTCATTATAGTTTTATTTTTGCACAATCAACCAAGTGTTAATAAAAGGCGAACTCTGTATATAGTTCTTCTTTTTATATACATTTAAAATGACAATCTAAAGTCTTTAGTCTTTCCAGTTGAAACTTATTCGATGTTTTTACTGGTGTTCCAATCGAACAAAACGCGACTTCAAAAGTGTTTACATTAAAAGTTGCATTGAAAAATCGCATCTACAGCTGTAAAATGTCAATTTAAGTATAACTTACAATTTTTAAGAACTAAGCAATATTGGCAGACCAATTGACCACTATAAAAAACTTGAACGTTTGGCATTGGCGATCAGCTACTTCTATTTTGCCGTCTAAAATATCACGATTTCCAAGAGTGCAGTGGCAAAAAAAAAAAAAAAATCATAGTTCGCAGAATCCGTCGATCATCCCTGCTATTATTTGGTTAGCCCCGACAGCCCCGACTTAAAACTCAACTGATTTCGAATGATCTGCGACCAATTGCATTTTACTTGTAAATTGCCTAGAAAAGTTATCTGATTGTTTGAGAGTTTCTTTTAGGAGTCTTTATCAGAAAACGATGATGGCAGTGAAATATTAGCTTGACTATGTCAAACCTGCTATTCTATTCCTATTTAGACGTTAAAAATGCAGTTTGCATTAAAATAGGTTATGTATGACAGTGCACTTCGGACTCCCTAGGAATCTCGCTAATCTCTCTCCCGAGAAGAAAAGTTATGCTTACTTCAATAAACTGTATTGAAATCCTGAAAATGTTGTTTTTGAGCGTTATACCCATGTATGTGTGTACTACAAATATATTTTTTCTTACAGCTATAGTCCAAATGGGGTTGAACCACCGCCACGTTGGACCTGCTTTCTCTGTGCTCTGGGTCTGTTCGTCTATCAAAGTCTAGACTCAATTGATGGCAAGCAGGCGCGACGTACCAACACGTCATCGCCGCTTGGCGAACTTTTCGATCATGGCTGTGATTCCATATCAACTATATTTGTGGCGCTTTCGGCGTGCATATCCTGTCAACTGGGTCACTATCCAAATTGGCTTTTCTTTCAGGTAAGTTGCTAAACTTGAAATACTTCAACGATTTTTTAATTCGATATGTGTTATTTTCAGTGCTTTTGCGCCATTGCGTTGTTTTATTGCGCACACTGGCAGACGTATGTATCTGGAACGATGCGCTTCGGCCGCATCGATGTAACTGAGGCTCAATTCTCCATTATTGCTATACATTTGGTTTCGGCCGTGCTGGGACCCGAGATTTGGCTGACGAAGGTAAGCCATCTGGGTGGATTGCCATGTTGCTCATATTTCCATCTTTATATAAATAATCCCCTTATAATATTGATTTCGTTTTGAACCGAGATTTTCAGAAGTTATATTTTAAATTTTTAACGCCTATTTTAGACTATAGAAACGCCTTTTTTAATAATGCAAGTGTAATTTTTCAATTATTATAATTTTTTCGTCATTTACTTATGTTTTAATAAGATAAATGCAAATAGCATCAATAGCTTGGCTTAAGTTCAAAATGCATTAAGTTTACTAAATGCTTATAATATAAGAAACTAATATATTAGAGACGTTAAGATAGAATGCTTATTTGTTGTTTTGCGTTGTAAGATCTTTGGTTCGATTTATTAAGTTTATTATCATTGGGTTGCAACCAAAAAAATAGTATATATTCCAAAGACAAATTCATTACACAAAATTTAACGAAACTAAATGAGACTGCAATACATACATTATTATTAACTTTGTATTAGCTAGAGCTTACATAGAAAAGCTCTTTTTCACATAAATAGTTACAAAAAAAAATAATTCGAAAACATATTGTAATTGTCTCAATACCTTTTACTTTTATGTTGCATTCAAATGTGTGCCACTGCCACAAAACAAAACAACACAAAATGCCTAATCTACTAAAATCCAACAAATATTTAACACAAACACACAATCGTATCCAATATACAAACACAGATTGGCATTGGCAATATTGAACTTTGGCATGGTCCTGCTATTACGACCATTGTGTGTGGTGTAATCTCCTTAACCTATGTATTTTCCGTCGTTGTGGCCGGTGGTGTTGGCAAAAATGGCTCCACAGTTGCTGTAAGTCTGAAACATTCACACAAATACAAAAAAAACGGAAATATGTACAAAAATGTGCACAAAACATATGAGATAAATGACTGCTAACAAATATTTTGGGGTTTTTCTTTTACTATATTTACAAATATTATGAGCTACTGACTGTGAGCATTTAATATTTTGTTTGTTTTGTACTAAAAGTAAAAAGAGAGCCGTCTTCGAGCTCTGAAGATAGGCAGATGTTTCAATTATGATCGGCTCTTTAAGCAAAATTGTATAAAATAAACCTGTGATTTTGGTTACATATGTATGTAGTAATTCTATAAAAATATGTATGCCACTCTTTTGGCAACAATATAAGGAAGCTCCAATAATTTAAAAAGAATTCACATGTAAAACCCCTGAAATATTGAATGTTGTATGATGCTTATTTCAACTACAAACAGAAACAGGAAGACACATACAACAAAAATTATTTTGGCTCTTAATTCGAAAAATCTAGTTTAAACATTAATATTGCAATGCGGCTATTTCGTGGAAACGTGGTGTGGGTCCTTGTTTTTCCCTATTACCCCAATTGCTTGCATTAACTTTCTACATTTATACTTATACACAAATACATATTTATAAATTGTTCCGTCGTTATTGTTTCCTATTTAGTATTAAAGCCGCTGCTCTGCTTCTCCGCCTTGTGCTTTAACACATAACAAAACTTTAATATTGCTGACTCTTACTTGGCATGCTCTAATACTGTTGAATGCCTAAATTCAATAGAATGCGATATGCAAAATTTGTCTTTCTTTGTCACTGGTATGACCAGAAAATATATTCTATATTTGTAGAAGTCCAGAATCGTATTTTTAATATTATATGTATGTATCTATACTGTTGGCTAAGGGCTTAAGATTTACTTAATTTAATGTATCTCAAAAAATACGTATTTCCCTTGGAGTAGCATTAAGTTAGATTGGCACATTATATTGTGATAATTGCGGTATCATTTAGTTTTAAATTTTAGCTGAAAAACTATCGAGGTGCTGTCATTCGAATTTAATTTCTAATAATTGTGCTTTTTTTTACTGAATTATGAACCCTCGAGTTGTGAACTCGACAAGCAACCCTCCATTGTTTTAAGCTTACTCTATTACTTATGCCGCAAAAGCTCTCCGAGTTAGGTTAACGATTTTTAAAATTTCCATGAAAATTGTTCTGTTCTGTTTACTGTTATTGTTTTTGTTTTGTTCTGTGATCTCTTCTCATATACAATAGATGCCAATCGTGGGAGTTTCATGGAATTATACAATATTAGTATTTATCACATTCGGTTATACGTTGAATATAATCAATTTTCAAAAAATGTTTATTGAAGGCGGCAGTGGTAAAAACGGCTCATCAGTTGCTGTAAGCATTGCTATCCATAAACGGAACGAAAAACGTTTTAAATCAAATTTGAATTTGCTAATCGTACTAAACATTTAAATTAAAAACATCTGTTGGATTAACTCATTAGTTTATTTCCCACACATTGACACACGGACACTTGGCTCTAACATTTAATCCATTTGCAAATGTTTATATGGTTTACTAATTTTTTTATTTGGTTCTATTGCATAAAGTAAGACAATTTTATTGGGATAATTACTGAAAGAGGTTTGTAATTATATTACTCTGCCAGCATGAGCTTTTGAGTAATTTAACTTGCGATGGAATAAGTGTTTATTGTTTATAGAAAATATTTAAATATAAATATTGTAATTATTCATATTAGTCTCAGTGAAATGATATTGAAATATTTTCAAGTTATGCTTTCTTACTATTATTCTAAGGTTATTGGTAGCTTTAATTTTAATCAGCAATAATAGACCGCTTTTAAAACTTAAATTACTTGTGGCTATTTATTAGACAAAAAATTTGTATTAATATCTAATGCAGCGTAAAATAATTTTTTTTTTTCATTAATATTTATTTTATTACTTTCTTTCGAAATCCATATCAAATTAAATGTTTTAATATACCTATTATTGCATTTTTTTTCTTCTTTTAAACTTTTAAAAACGTTTGACAAAAATTAAAATTTTTTTGAATTTTATCAGATGCCTTATCTTGAGTGTGAAACACGCTGCTTGCCGTTTTATATGGCCAGTGGAGTTGACTTCAGTTTAGCATTACGTTACTCAAAATCCATTTTAAACGAGGGCTGTGGGAAGAATGGATCATCTGTTGCAGTAAGATTTTGTATTTTTGTATGGCACAACCACACGAAGGCATTCTAATTAGCTTGGTCGCTAGACAAGTAGCTAAAATAACGATAAAATGTATTTGTCATTATTTCTCGATTTATATAAATGATCATGTAATTTATACCCTTGTACAGGGTATAATAATGAAGTCGCAAAATGTGTTAGGCATTGCTGGTGGTGGAATCGTCAGACGTCTCGGTTAGGAGTTGTCTGCTTGTCAATTACTATCCATGGTTATTTGCATTGTCGCAAATTGATATAATTGGTATAGGTTGCTTAAATGACAAATAATATCGTAACCAAAAATTGTTAATTCCAAAAGAAATCTATCTTGAATTTTAGAGCTTGCTAATGCTAATGACATGCTAATTTTTAAAGCAGTTTTTTGTATTTTACTTAGCGCTGTGCTCATCGATTTATCACAGATTAATTAAAAAATTTGCGCATACGACTACAAGGGTATATAAACTTCGGCACTCCGAAGCTAAATGTCTCCTATTTTTAAGTTCCTTGTTGTATTGTTTTTTATACCTAATGATGCACGTCTTATATGCATATGTTATTTTTACTGTTTGCCATTTGGGGTTTTAAGACTTAAATGCTGCTTTCTTTTTTTTGGCATTTATTTTTATATAAATACTCTTACTTTATTGTTGGCTTGGCTTCTACAGCAAAAGATCCGCTCACATTTACTAACAAACATTCACACCCACAAATTAGCGCTAGACCATGTAATTAAAAAAAATTACCATTTAATAACGTAAATCCCAACAAACAAGAATCCCAAAATAAATGTTGCTTTTGGTCAACCTAATACTGTGAATTTGCAAAATGTGCCTCCTGGAACGTTAGCACATGCAAACAAATAAATGGCAGCAGCTTGTACAAAAGCGGTCACAATTTGCAATCTCACAATCGTAAAGAATTTACCAAGTTTGTATAAAACAAAATATTTTTCTATATTTCATCTATACAAAAGGGAACCAGTGTACTATCGCCTAGTATACCGCTGACACTTGTAGTGCTGCCCGCGCTGATGATAGCGCAAAAGTCGCCGGAAAATATTTTTACGGAGCACGCTTCAGTTTTTATTCTGGCTTTTGGCATGGTGGCGGCCAAAATTACCAACAAGCTGGTGGTAAATTGATCTTAAACTAAAAATAATCATTTCTTGTATTTTATTTAATGTTATGAAATATGTAATCCATAGATGGAGACATCTTCAACCCCATAATGTATATATATTCATAAGTAGCCATTTATGTCTGTCTGTAACTACTAAAAAAAAGTGTCTTGTCAATTTTGAAACTATCCCTTATCATTTTCCAACGGCAGTTGCAGGCAGTCCATACGTCAAAATCGGCCTTTTTAATAATCGGATGAAAAACTGTTTTGGTTTTCCAGAATTCTCGACCAAACTCGTTATTTTTTTTTTTTAGTTTTACTAACCTCCTCATATATTTGATAAATATTTGATCTTTACATCAAGTAGCTACCAATCGAATGATCGCGTTTTGTTTTTCAAGGCATCTCAATCAAACATTGCATATACAACTTCGAACCATCTTTCTTATATATGAGCAGCATTTTTTAAAATCTATATGGAAAAAAGGTTCTGTTTTCCAGATATATTGACCAAACATACAATTACGAATTTGATAATTCTGGCATATCTGCAAATGCGTAATCTTTATGTTATTCGCGTGCCAAATACTTCGACATTATACCGCTGTTTATTGTATAAGGATAAAAAGCTATATATAAATTCTAGATCAACAGGCTAGCCGTTCCAATTTTCTGTGTGTCTCTTTAAAATCTTAGAGACTATAAAAGAGATACTACTAAATAGATATATACGCTGTTTTCGTTAAATTATCTTTTGTTTAATATCTAATTGACACATTAAGCATCAAAATATAAGGTTGATTACAGATATTTTTACCAAAACCTTTAAATTTAAATCCTAATAATGTGTTTCTTTTGCGATGTAGATAGCGCACATGACCAAAGCGGAGATGGAGTATCTGGACTGGTCGCTGCTGGGTCCTGCTTTATTGTTCCTGAATCAGTACTTTAACTGTATTGTACCAGAGATTTGGCTGCTTTGGTTTACGCTAGCCTGGGGCACACAGGATCTTCTGCGCTACTGTGCGCAGGTTTGTCTGGAAATTTGCCAGCATCTGCGCATCGATCTATTCAGAATACCGTATAGCCCAAAGGTGTCAAATACCTCTTCGGTGGGAAGCCAGAGCAACGTTGGAGCTGACAAAAATGGTGGCACATCACATAGAAAGTCGAAAAGCAAAGCGCACTAGATCAATGTTCGCTCCGGTTTCATGAAAATTCATATATTTTTCAAATATTTACGGTATTAGCGAAAGCTAAACAAATTTTAAACTCAACCCAACAAAATTTACCGTCGAAATGTTAAAACATAACAAATTATAGCATAATTAATTTATAAATGTTGTAACAAAAAAACTGGAGGCAGACCTATATCAATTATATGCATATATTACAAGTATAAATATATTTTATATAATTCTGTAAATTGTAATATATACAGTTTTTTATGCTGTGCTAGATGTTTCATAGTGGAAAAAAAAAAATAAAAATATAAATCAAATGCCAAAAATATCATTTTTGGCGTACTCAAAGCTCAATTTAAGGTTAAGTCCAAGTCAATGAAAATTCATTGTTAGGATTTCCTTTATTTAATGATTGGATTTTATTGAGCGTGCGCCTGATTCTGAATAATCTATTTATGTTATTTGCGTACTATAAAATGTTATGTAGAAATATTAGCGCTTAATTTCCTACTCACTGAGTAATTAGATATAATTACATTGTATGTATGTATCTATGTAACGATGTCAACTCTGAAGTATAGTAACTTATGTAAAGAATGTAAATTGCCTTTATACATTCTAAATGGTAACTCATTTCAAAAAGCAAAATTGTTTATTATTTACTGATTGGTTTTGACTTAAAGTGTACACCCAAATTTGCACCGATTTAAAATATTCGAGTTGACTATTATCTTATGTTTGAACAGATAAACAATGCGTAAAATGCAAAAATAAAACGACTAAAAATGGGATTTATGGATATATATTCAAATGGAAATAGTGAAATATTGAGCTGTTTGTTAAAACAGAATTTTTATTAAATCTAAGGTGTCGTACAAAACCCGTGCTGCAAACCCCTATAAAATTGGTCGGTGACATCCTGCCTTGTGATACGGTTCGTGAGCATGCCTTTTCACATCCTTTACATCCGTAGATATTTCCAAATTGAAGTTGGCTAAATTAAAACCAGGTCCGCGTAAACAACACGTCAAATTAAAAAGATACTTGTTTACTAAAAATATGTTTGTTTAACAAAGAAGTATGACACAATTCAAAAGGTGATTGAGATATCACTGATTTTATAAGGTTGTATGTTTTATTTATTACCTATGATTATGATTGATACACATATGTATAATTATGAATGATGCATCTCAAAGATTACCATAGGTTTTGCAGAAATATGCCACCAACGCCATGTCGCGCACCTCTAACGTTACACGGCTGCGATACTGGGTCAGTAAGTAAGCATCCTGGAAGCGCTGGGTTAAGTACATTTCTGTCGCGGTCTGTATAGCCTCCAGGGCGCTCATAGTTATCATAAAGGGCGTTAAAGTATGTTCCATCATAATTTCGCGCACCAAACGCGAAAAAGGTAAACGCGGTATCATAAAACCTTCATTCTTTTGTAAACGTTCAATCTCACGGTGCAATTTTTTCATACGACCCTCCGGTTTATTTTGTTTGCGTCTTGAGGCAGGCCTTGATGCTAGTGGCGCCTGACGTTGGCTATTCTTACTCGCTGCGGATGTTTGTAGCGGCACCTTTCGGGGTGTGTGTCGTATTGCCGTTATTGCCGGTGGCTGATTCTCTGAATCACTGCTGTCTTCGGATCTGTCTATATCTCGACGACGGTCTTTTGGAACGTTTTTGCGGAGCGTAGAGCATCGACGTGGAGATGTGTTCACTTCAGCCAAACGGCTTGTAGTAAATTCCAATCCGTAGTCAGTTTCATTTTCACGATCCGGTGTTCGAAATGCATTCTCGTCATATGAATCCTCAATATTATCTAAATGCGATTCCGATTTCTTTTTTTTTTGAGTTGAGTTTTTAACAGTGCGTGGTCGCATTATGAAGTAAAAATATAAATTCCCTATACCCAAGACTTGGTTCGCTGTAATATACACAAATATCTGATTCCCGCCTTTTTTGCGCAAAACGCAAACATTTGCATTCATTTTACAACACTAAGTAATTTGAAATTAAAAATTGGTATATAAATGGATACAAATGAATAAACGTATATTTACAAATTTAATAGTATATTAAGAATACCTTTTTATTTTTAATCATAAAGCATGCACATAAATTCACAAAACTGTTTGACTATAGCGTGTGAATTAATGTCTGTTTTCAGACAGATCAGTATTTTAGTATTTTGACGAGACGGTCTCACTGAAATATCTAATTAATGTGTATGCTTGCATCCACTGTTTACTTTTTGATAATTTGACATAAAAGCAGATATGTCCGAAGATAATTCTCATAGCAGGGAGTATATCTTGGAAGCAGACTCTGAGCTTCGTTTCGAAATCGAGCAAAAAGATGCCAAGGTTCTTGTTACGGTATGTAATAATATTTTTGTACTCGGCGTGGTAAATATTCCTAAATCGTGCTTCAGCTCGTCACAGGTTTTGCAGAGCTCTTTGGTACCGAATTGGTGAAAAAAAAGAAATATGAGTTTGGTGTTGGCGCCAAAGTGGCTATATTTACCTACCAAGGCTGCGTGCTGCACGTGTCAGGCAAAATGGATGTGTGCTATATCTCGAAAGAAACACCAATGGTACAATATATAAACTGCCATGCAGCATTGGAACAGTTTCGAATCGAAGCCGAAGAACGGGACAAGCGCGGCCCTGTTGTATTGATCGTAGGGCCTATGGACGTTGGAAAGAGCACACTGTGCCGCATTCTATTAAACTATGCAGTACGCGTAGGCAGGCGACCACTTTACGCAGATCTTGATGTGGGCCAAGGTGCCATTTCCATTTCCGGCAATGTAGCCACTATTCTTATAGAGCGACCAGCCAGCGTTGAGGAAGGATTTACAAAGACAGCGCCACTAGTTTATCATTTTGGTCACAAGTCCCCTGGTGCTAATAACGTGCTTTACAATGCAGTCGTCTCAAAAATGGCTGAAGTAACACTGCAGAGTCTGGATGCCAATAAACGAAGTATGTTTAACAGCATATACTCTAGAAACTTGAAATATATGACCATTTTTTTTTGTAGCCAAAAGCTCTGGGATCATTGTCAACACATGTGGCTGGGTGAAGGGCTCTGGCTACGCACATTTGTTGCATGCAGCACGAGCTTACCGCGCTCGCGCCGTATTCGTATTGGATCAGGAGCGTTTGTATAATGATTTGCTCCGCGATGTGCCGTCAAACGTCCATGTTGTCCTGTTGCCAAAGAGTGGCGGCGTGGTGGAACGCAGTAAAGAATTACGCCACGAATCCCGCGAGCAGCGTATCAAGGAATATTTTTATGGTAATACACGTACACCGTTTTATCCCTTTTCGTTTGAGGTCAAATTTCAGGACCTACGGCTATACAAAATTGGCGCACCACCATTACCCGACTCATGTATGCCAATTGGTATGAAAGCGGAAGATAACAAAAAGAAAGTTGTACCGGTTACACCCACACCATCGCTGCTACATCACATTCTTACGCTCAGTTTTGCGGAGTCTACGGACGATGATGTTATAGGCACTAATATTGCAGGCTTCTGTTGTGTGTAAGTGTAACCAAGTGATTTTCGCACAAATAAATTTAATGTTGCCATTTTTTCTATAAAGCACCGAGGTGGACATGGATCGACAATCTGTTATGCTGTTATCGCCACAGCCACGGCCGTTGCCTCCAAATGCATTGCTCTTGTGGTCGGAGTTACAGTTTATGGACAATCATGCCTAACATTCACTTTTACAATATTAGTAGTATTATGTTTGTAAATAAAAGTATGAAAATGTTGCGTTAATTTTTTAATTTAATATAAATAGCAGTAATTTTTATTTTAAATCCAAAATGTGGCGTAAAATTGCACACCTCGCAGCACTGGAGAAAATTATAACATTTTAGGAAAATTTAGCAGTGCCATTGTGAGTTTAACGGCATAATAAAATAATTCAGCCGTTTAGTCTTACAGTGCTTATTTATTTAAGAGAACAGTGAACAGCATTAAAATGTTTTTCTTTTAGTTTTATTGTTTTGAGATGTTTCGATAAAAAATATTAATTTTATTTATGTGCAACAACACGCCAATTGCACAAAAATTCAAACAAAACAGAGCACGCGATGCTCAACATGAAAACACTCACGGATATTACAGTCCAGACAATGTTAAAGTTCATTCTGCTGTTATGGTGCTGAATTGCTGAATTGTCATTTGGTTGCTTACATGTAGTATCGAGTAGTATCGAGCGTGGAATAGAAGCATCACAAGGTGTAACAAATTAAAGTTTTACAAATAGCAAAAAAATGGCTACCCTCTTGCGGTAACTTTATTTCACAGCAGTGTGTTAGTTTTATATAATTGATTTTATCTACCCTCGCAGTGCTTGTGTAAAAAATGTCTATCGCCTTTCAAGTCGTGTGTGTCGCTCAAAGAGTAAAAAACAAGTTCAAACCAAGTGTAATTATTACCCATGTCTAATGTATGGACGGACGCAACAATATTATGGCCTGAATTAAACACGCGTAGTACGCATTTTTTACTGAATAACAGGCATCGTTTGATGCATTTCATTCTGAGTTTGAAGTAATGTAGTTCGGCGACGACTGCGATATTTACCGGCTTGTTGCGCCAATGCTTTAATGTCACATTTAGACCCAGACAAAAATCACTCCCTTAACATTGTAGCGATACGTACAAATGCAACAACGGAAATGAGACAACAACAAACATAACAATTACTGTTTTTAAGTTTTTGCTTTTTGAGCTTTGTGTGAATCAAAAATTTGTGTTTCCTCCTTTACAGTAAAAAGCAAAATATTTGTGCTTAGCGAACTAATCGATCTCTGTACTGCTGCACTTTTATATTTTGTTGTCAAGTTTTTCATTTCAAATGTATTTCGAGCTCTTGGCCAAGTGCGTGTAAAATGACTCGTAGGCCATACAGAAGTGAACATAATAATATTAAGTTTAAACAACTGTTCCAAATAAATACAACAAAATGCGTTAACAATTGTAGCAGAGACTATCACCACTTTAGTTATGTGATCATTTTTTTTATTTGCTGTTGCATCTCAAACAGCTTGCAGTATAAAAATGGTAAGTGCTCAAAATTTTTAAACAATTTAACACATATGTAAGTATGTTTAAGTAGTTGTATTGCACGTGTAATTAGATAATGGCCAGTTAATGATTAATTTGAGTTCAAGTTAAAAAGGCAATAATAGATGCAGTAGAACCAGGAGTGGATGTGTGCGTTTATTTAGTTTTATAAATCCCATTACAATCGTCGGAACTGTAGATGGCATGTCAAGCCATGAAATATGTCGGGTCGAAGATAATATCGGATTAACATAAACTCGATCAGTATACGACATCCAGAATATATGGATGCTTGTTCGTATTATACCAGCAATTGTTTTGTGTTATTTTTTAAAATGTATATTAAAGCGAACATACAAAATACGTACATAATTTAGTATATGTATAATTTGTAATTTTGTAGGCGGATTTCTATGTTGAGGTCCTCTTTATAAATCCGTTGGTGTTAGTCAACCAACGAATTAAGCGCAACAATCGGGAGAAAACAACAAGAGCAAGCCTTTTAAAGGTTTTGCTTCACCCACGTCTTCATTGCTAACAAGTTATTTACATATACACAAACTCATGTATTCTCGGACACGAATGCTCCGTTCAGATGTTTATACCCGTACAGAGTTTGGCCCTTTATGCTGCTCGTTGTGTTTGTCGTTGTCTTTATGGCAACTTCTTTAAATGTCTGAGTGCCGCCCTGCTGCGACGTCGACGGCGTTTACGTATTAACGAGCACATCTTTAAGAGAAAACCCTTTTCAGACCAGTCTGCGTCTCTGGTGATTTGTTTTCAGATATACATATATCATACTAGCATTACCCGGCCTTGCCCATGGCAAGTTTTATGCTAAATATTGTAGATATTCATTTTCCTCAATTGCGAGTGGAATTTGCAACGTCGCTGAAAGACGTATTAATTTAGTTTTAATATTGAGATTTGAAAATAAGTTTGAAGGCGATCAGACGAATATTACAACTTTTCACCCATATTCATCCAAGAGAAGTAGATTTTGCGAATATTGTGAAACACGTCCTAAATGCATTTTCACAAAGTATTTTATTTCAATCATTCAGTCAGTCAGGACAAACCTATTTAAATTAAGAGATGATCGACTTTTGACTTGAATGTTCACGAATACGCCAAATAAAATACATATATCGAGCCTAGTTTGAATATTCTGTCGTTTATGGCCCATTTCAAGTTTATTCCACTGTTTTTTTTTTGCTCTTTACAAATCGAATAGGTTTTTAATTTATGACTTATAATCTATATTTATAAGCATTTAATATGATGTTTGCCTGTGTTCTGATCTGTTCCGCCACATAATAATTTGGTGATAGTTTGTTTCTCCCAGTCCCAGTCGCAGGAGGCTAAGCTCCTACAAAGCAAATAAAAATAAAGTGCTTTTGATTTTATGAAATATTTACCTGATTTTTGTCTTTCCATAACCCTTCTGAATTGTAAACCCATATCAATTGATAATAATGATAATAATTGAAACACCTCAAACATGCGTGTGTAAAACTAGGTGAATGTTATCGTCTATGTTTTCCTTTCAAATATTAAATAAGCAGGGTTATTTTTGTTGTTTTTAATTATTCTATTTTGTGCGGAAATACAAATTGTTACAATATGATAAAAAAAATTATTTATCAAAGTCATAGAATGCAAACTGCATTTAAACACAGTTATTCCGACTTCAGTAAGGTGCTTGACTCTGTGCACCATGACCTTTTACTCTTTAAACTTGACCGTTTAGATTTTCTTCCCTCTCTAAGAGTCATGCTTGACTACCTCGAAACAGGTTCACGCTACTTCTGGTGTACCTCAAAGTCATCTTGCTCCTCTCCTCTTAACTC